TAATATCTTTTCCGGGAGAGGTATCCCGAATCTACCCTGAGAGGACAACCAGGCCCCCTCTTCTCAATTTTGGTTTTACCACAGGCTTACCGAAAAAGTCTCAAAAGTAAATGCAATTCCACTTTTACAAGACTGGACAATTTAAAAATACTTTTTGTTTGCACATTATAAAAATATCTGGAATTAATTTTATAATACAGATTATATTTTTTAAATTTAGCCTACCTTTTTCTTCTTTCTATCCTCGAGTATTCCCAGTTTTCTCCATCCGTCCCACATTGTCTGCTGGGTGTGTTTATGTAAAAAATGATTTTCTGGCCTGTTCCGCCAACGTCGAGCATTTTGCTAAGGCAACAACAATTAATTTGAGTAAGTAAAATGTGCAAGTAGTCTATAGTTTGTCGCTGCTGTTGTATTATAAAAATTTGTGAATAAATGTGTAATACTAAGATGGGAATAAGATAAAAAGCATGTAATGAGGTGAGAAATATACTCACACTCCACGGTGTGGAACCAAGATTTTCAGGTGGATAAGTGATGAAAAATCTCGGACGTCTGGAGACTAGCAATAACGGTTCTTCATCATCATCATCCTAAAAAAGTAAAAAAAAAAAAAAAAATAGTTTTAAACAAGTTAGTAAACCATTAGATACAATCTCAGAGTTTTAGCCCAGGAGATGGAACCCAATTTCTGCCAAAAATCCTCACTTTGGGATAGACAAAACTTAGGACAATCATCATCAGATTTAAAATTAAAAGATTAAATGAGATAAAATGATAAAATGAGCCATGGAAAATCTTTAATAGAAATTACATACTGTACTCATTTATTCAGCAAAATATTAGCACCAGCCAACTGATTGAATAGTAATATTTCATATAGTATTAGAAGAACCAATGTACGAATCTTATATATTCAATTTTACAAAGATTTTATTATAAAAAAATAGTATTACTTTGATCAGTTTTGTGAATAACTTTACAGATCAAACTTAACAAATATTATTTTAATACGTTTTTGAAAATATAACTAAAGTAAAGAGCCTGAATAAATTAGTTCATAATTTAGCCTGAGTAAATTATTTTTTATCAAAAATATCTAATTATGCAGGTTAAACTCTGATATCTTATCTTACTAATATTATAAACTAGCAGAATACCCGTCCTTCGTACGGGGTTGGCATATAAGTTTATAATATGCATTTTCAAAGTAGGATTGTTTACAGTTATGTTTATTGTTTTAATTTCATGAATAATTTGTGAAATTTTGCGAAACTTTAATAATTTATTTTTCTCTATTGTTTGGGTTAAGTGGTAGAACATTATGGCTATGGTAGATGTATAGTACTATAGTATACCGTCAATTTAAAGAAGCAACTTTTATCAAACTGTGTCCTCCCCCATTGCAAACGCAAAGCTTGAGTATAATGCCAATCCCTTTAGAAGGACGGGTTCTCTGCTAGTTGTATTAAGTTATATCTTTACTTATATTAAAGAAAGTAAAATATTTAGTGGTCTGTAAATTTCAAAAATTATTTTGTTTATGCTCACCCTCATAAAATGTAAGAGCCTCTCAAATCAAACATAAAATGATAATTAAGAAACATTTAAAATCCCAAAATGAGATAAAATTATCCCCAAATAAGTATTGATTGTTCATAATAAAGCCATGCATTGATGTAGATAGCAAATGAAGACAATATAAAATAGGTTTATGTAACTTATGACAACAATCCTAGTTCAGTCTCGGGGGTCAAACCAGTTTTTCATTTTCATGCCTATTGTCATCCTACATAAAATGATTTGAACACAATGTCGTGTCAATACACAATACAATCTCGTCATTGAATTATTCAATGAATTTTATATAGACAATAAGAGGCTTGAAAAATAAACAATTGTTGCAAAACTAGTCGCCCAAGACTAAACTAGGATTGAAGATGTAAACCTATTTTGAATTGGCATAAATCAATCTAGAGGCAATCTGAAAAAAGCAAATCAAGCATGGAGTCAAGATTAAATATATTTTGTTATATAAAAAAATTGAAAGATGAAATAATTGTATCCTTTATCACTACAATAGTTATTTGTGTAACTAGTGAGCAAAGTGGCACTTTGCTGCACACGAGAGCAATGTTTACGCACGAGCCGAAGCGGAATGATCTAGAGTGCAGCAAAGGCCTTTTGCACTCGTGTTACACATTATATTTTTCCTACAGTCACTATAAAGCAGTCTTTCAAACACTATACAACACGTTTCAAGGTTCAGCTGGCAACACAAATAGGTGCCCTAGAGAAAGTATTCTCCGGTCCGTATCACTCCGCTATTTTTTCCTCGGCAAGCAATGTGCTCCGCGACTTGAGAAAATAGTTCCGTATATTTTTGTAATTTGCAGTGGTTTTTGCGCCAAAAAATGCTTCAAGGTATTTTCTTGTTTATTAAGATCGTAGGAATGTTTTAAAAACGTTTAAAAGAAAAGTCCTGAAAGTTCAGAAATACCAAAAAGAGAACATAAACTATAAACACGAAATGACAGGTTAAATCGTAGTTATAATAGTCAATCAGCTGTTCATAGTATTATTTTTCTTTAAGTGTTGCCAACTTATTTCCAAGTGTACACGGATTACGTGCATAATAGAACCACGCTGTTTTGTGTTGTTTCGTTGGAATCCTGATGTGCGCCAAAGTATAAACCGTACGACAAAGTATAAACCGTACGACAAAGTATAAATATCAATTAGCAGCTTTCTGTACTATAAACAGTACAAGGAAGTCAACTTTGTCGGGTGACTGTAGGAAAACCATTTTTTATATGAATAATTATAAACAAAAGTTCACAGAATTAATGTATATTATATTTTAGGGTAAGAGATTGAATGTATAGCTCGGAGTTTGAGTATAACAATTTTGCACCATAACAATTCAAGTCAAAAAGCTGAAAGAGAACTTAAATGAACTCAGTTTTATAAACTAATGCTAAATAACAGTAAATAAAAAGGATTTGACAAGATTGCTCAATTTGCAAAATGTGATTCAAACGCATTTCATGAGATGTTTTATTTTTATAGTATTTTTAAAATGAACAAGTCAATATGAAGTTTAGAGTGTAGTTAATACAATTTATGGTTAAACACTTTTAAAATTAATGGGTTAATTAGAGGGAAAAATGGAGTTCAGCTCGTGAATTTGAAGATGGAGCCAGGCATTCAAAATCTATATTGAAACAATCTAAATTTGTAGTAACATTTGTACGGTATATCTAGATTTATCAATAATTGAAATAAAACATAGTTTATCCTTTGAAAATGATTTATCATCATAAGTAACAAAAAGAGTTGTTTCAGGAAGGACAATTGGGTATTATGGGCAGTCTGACTTTGAAACCTGAAACTGTTCGAAAATAGTTTTGCATAGAGCATTTTTGTTTTTACACATTCAGCATTTAATCGTAATTTATAATTGTTAAGTATTTTGGTATTAGTTCAATCCAAACATTGTTATTTAAGACAAACATTTACATGATAAATCATGGCTATGATAAGCACAAATTGAATAAGTTAGATTTCACAAATGTAAATATTTTTCCTACAGTTATCTGACAAAGCGGGCAAAGTAGCTAGTTGCTGCATTTACTTACTTTTGCCGCACTAATTTTTTTTCCACACTCCAGTATTTCAACCAAACAACACAAAAATACTAAGCTGATGCAGTATTTCCCATTTCGTTAAACACTTGGATTTAACCTAACCTAAAAACGTGTTGTATAATATTGTTTGAAAGACTAATTATTTCTGCTTTATAGTAACTGTAGAAAAAATATATAATGTGTAACACGAGAAACTTTCCACACTTGCCTGCGGCTCGTGCGTAAACATTTCTCTCAGCAAAGTGTCAAGTTGCACACTAGTTACACAAATAACTATTGCCATCTGTGAGTGATAACCTGAATTGAATAGAATATTGAACAGTCAGTCATAATGAAATATAAATTTTAACACGTTCGCTACTGCAATAGTACAACATTTTTAATTTATATAGACCAGCGGCGCACATATGTGACGGCTGGTTTCTACCCATAGACTGCTGTCGCATATATGCGACGGCACGTCACATTAAAATAGACTGACGTCGCATATTTGTGTCGGTGTTCTAATGTTATCTAAATGATTATATCTTTATAACGGTCTATTTGAAGGCACTGAATTCTCTGCAGTGGTCTACAGGGATGTCTGTCGCACAACTGCGTCGCTTGGTCTGTGGATATGATAGTTGGAAAAACTGTTCTTTACTTTGCTGCATCACTGTATGTATGTATGCTGCATACTCCCACATAGCTTTTATATTTGTTCAATTATAAACTGTTCTTGAAAAATCTGTTTTTTTACTTTCTTTCACTTAAAAACAAACAAAAATGAACTGTTGCATATATGTGGAGTTTGGGCTATTTCAATAAAAATATAATAATTTTCACTATTGTCTTCGCTATAGACCGGGTGTCAAATATGGGACATTAGAAAAGGGTATCAACATATAAAAAAAAACAAGAATATATTATTTACAAACAAAATTGCAGAGTATTACAAAGTAAATTATCACTGTTTAAAAGGTTTTTGCCCATGGTCTGTGTGTACTGTTAACCAAGTGACAGCCAGTCTATGTGTAAGATTAAATTCTATACCTCGGTCCGTGGCAATGGTCACGGATATGTGCGACGCTCGGTAGCGAACGTATTAAGAGATAATTAGCCAATTGCATTAGTCTTTCCTTGCTTACTTACAAATCCAGCCTCAAGTAATACCATTGACTATTGAATAATGAAGTCAAATAGTCAAACAGTTGTATAAATCAAAGAAAATACACACAAACAAATGTTCAAGCAATCAATTCATTCCCTTAAAAAAGTCAATATAAAATTACTTACCAACAGTTTTTTCTTCAAATGTATATCTGACAATAACTAATAAATATCAAACCACAGATAGAAAATAATAGAATGGGATACAAAACAATAATTTATATTTTAACACTAATATAACAATCAACAACAAATTCAATATTAAATATTAACAAATAAAGTAGAGTAGAGCTTAAATAATGACAACAAATTTAACAGCAGACATGATACAGCAATAATGTGAAGCCATTTGAAGATCCCAACAAGTCCCTGCAAAGAGAAACAAAAACATTTTACATCAGACAGTAACAGAACTGTAAATGTTAATAACAGAAAATTTTTAACACGTTGAGTGCTGTTGACAGGAATTCCCGTTATTGCTTAACATTGTAATAAATTTGACTTTCATGTTATAACATGTCGACCGCACTAATAATGTTAAGGTTAAAAAAACCCTTAAGACAAATTCGACAATAAAGCTGCATATAGAAAAATAAAGTGTCTGAATATTAGTTGGATCATAACTAGTTTGTTTATCTTTAACTATAGTGTTGTATACAAAAATGGTTTAAAATGGTCACCATACAATTTGTCTATTGCTTTTGTTATATTTTATTTATAATTTAATTGTTTTAAAATAATAGGTGAAATACTTACATGGATACAACGTTCCTATTCCATATTTTCTCCTTTAACTTCTTCACTTTCAATATCTCCGAATCCCAAGAAGTTCATCAACGTTGTAAAACCCCTCTTGACATGATGTTTGATAACATGTAAATGGCTACGTTTTGTTGTGGAAGGAAGCGGTGTTGTTGTAGTAATCTGTCTTCGAGTCATCCGTAAAAACCAGGGAACTGTGGTAGTTTCAACCTTCTCTACCGATAGTACAGTTTCCTCCGTAGTTATCGGATTAAAAAACTTTTTATCTTCATCATCAATTTTTGGCAACTTTTTAGGTTTCTCAGTAAACATGTTCTCCACTGATTCCCAGACCTTATCCAGCCTCTCTGGAGTAATTTTTGGCAAATCTTCTCTGGAAACTCCTACACCCAACAAATCGTACATTTCTTTCCACCCAAGTTTGCCAACTGTAGTCTCTTGTCTTGTTACTGGCATGGCTGTAGAAGGATAAACAGTCTCAATCCGTTGGAAGTCACTGAAGAAAAATGGCTGTTTCAGTCTTGGCCCACTGTATTTAGGTCTCATAGTAAGGAATGTAGCAAAAGTAGTTTCCGGTAAGACTGTTACAGATGGTGATTCAGTTACAGATGGTGATTCAGTAACAGAAGCTTCTGGTCTTGATCTAAATGTTGGCCATCTCCTAACAAAAGGGGGTAATGTCGGATGGTACGGGCGAGATGGTTTGGAACCTTTTATCCTCTGATGTAATTTCCAACTACCTTGGTGAACTTTCTCTTCATGTTTCCCCAAACTCTCTTCTGTTTTTTTATTTGTCATGGATTCAATTTCATTCATGAGGATCGATGAAATGTTTCTGCTTTCTGAGATTGTTTCTCTAAGTTTTGTTAACAGCTCTGTGGAAGATTTTACAAATCCTTTATTTTCTATGTGGCTTGTTTCACTTAGAGAAATAGATTTATCTTTAAGAAGAGATTTTTCTTCATCTTTTGAAGTAATTGAAGTTTGTTCTTTCCAAATCGGCTTAGTCTCACTTCTAGGATGTGGTAGGGATTCTTCTTTCAAAATTGGTTCTCTTTGCATCGGTACACTTTTCTCTTTTATGATCGGTTTCATTTCACCCCTCGATACCGGTATGGTTGTTTCTTCTAGGATTGGTATAGTTTTAACTTTTGCTATTGAAGCAGATTCTCCTCTATAACTTTCAAGCTTTTCACCGTCTGAAGTTCTAGGGAAAATCACGTTTAAAATCTCATCCGCCTTAGAGTGTGACAAATAATGTGGTTTTATCGTCAGTATTTTCTTGAGTATTTTGTTACTCGCGTGTTTATGAGTCAAGTCTATCTTGAGGTCTGTCATGCTGATAGTGCCATTCAGAGTCCTCATATCCTCAGGGTCATCCTGCGGCCAATACTGCAAGTGGTACTTACCAAGTTGATCAATGTGATGTACTTCAAACACTCCTTTTATCAAAGGATCTCTTACAGGTTTTGTTCCATGTATAATATTTCCTATTGATCTATTTTCTCTCTTTCTCTTGTCAATCATCGAGAACAGTTCCTTGGTCAACTCCTCCATTGTCTCATCACTAGGGGGGCCTGACAAAAGCTTTTGCTCAATAGCTTGATTCATCTCTTCCTCCATCGAGCCTGTGAACTCCACAGTCGTATTGTCAGGACTCAAGTTGTACCTTTCAAGCTCTCTCCGCCAAAACGGTCTCAGCTTCTTGGTAAGCTGATGAAGAATCTTTGCGTTATCTAGAATGATTCTCCTCTTTCTTGCCATTGTTTTCTGGAAATATTAAAAAATGGGTTTTAAATATTTTATATTTTTTTAACACTGAGTTGTTTGAGCTATTAATTTAACTATGAATTGTTTTTAAATTTCTGGATGTAACGAAAAAAAATATTCATAAGATTAAGAATTATGATTGAATAATGATGCATTTACAGCTCAATTCACTGAATGTCAAACTTTTGCAAAAATGTTCCTAAGTGGAATATGATTCAATTAAAAATATAACTTACCAGTTTATCACTTTTAAGGCTGTCAGTGACATTATCTCCCTAAAAATAAAATACCACAGATAATTTATACTCTGTAACTCAATTGAAACACAATATTTTTTAGCTAAAAATTTATTTACAAAGCCTTTCACTTAAAATAAAATATATAAAAATGTAAACCCATTGTTTCAGAGGAGGTTTCCTTTCGTAAAGTTGTAAATATTAATGTAAAAAGCAATTTCACCAATTAATGATAACTAAACCGAAACTTCAAAACTTACCTTAGCCATCTGCCTGGCAAAAATAACTCATTTAGTAGATAGCTGTTGCATAGTCCTTGGAATAGATACTGAAAGGATTTAGATTTAATCACTGACACAAACGTAAAAAATAAAATCCACCAATAACACATTTTCTCTAAATCGACTCATGCAAAAGACGAAAAAGCAAGTAAAAAACATGATATGTAAAGTGAAATCAAATTGACGATTAAAGTAAATCGCACAAAAATACATGTAGAACTTCATGCATGTTTGTTAAACTAAGAGTTCAAACAACTGATCTTACATTGTCAACCAGAAAAACTGATTCTGAAGCCTCCAAAGACTGCAGTTTGACGACTTCTGACCCTGAGTCAGGAGGTGCTCTGGTAAACACCCTCGGATATTGCTCATCTGAGGACCATCTATGCCACCTGTCAATGTTCTGGCAAACAACACCACAAGCAATACCAGCTGGTCATAGATGAGCTTTCAATGAGACAAGATTTCATAAAAAAGCTTTGCAACAGGAAGAAACTTGTTTACAATTAATTGAAAACCAAATATTTGTAATTTCACTATATTACAAACAAATTGTAAATTCCCAAATACAAATAACTTTACAAGTTCAGATGAGATAGAAGAGAGTGTTAAATTTATTTAAAAAGGGTCCATGTTGACTTATGGACTACTTATGACTACTTATCATGTCAACTTATTGTTGCCATAAGTATATTACTGTTTGGTAAACCATGGCTAATTAGGGTAATTATTTTATACACATATTTGAACAAAATGATGCTCTATTTCAACTTGATCTCTTTTGGGACTTAACTAAATGTTTTTTTTTTAAATATGAATATCACAGGCTTTCCAATACATTTTAAGAGTACTTTAAATCTTTCATTCTCTTCAGGGAAATCAACCAAGAGATCAGCCATGGGAAACAATTCACAACTAACAAACTTTTTTAAACATGTTTTCTCTATTTACCCTTAGTCCCTGGAAATACCGTTTGTTACAATGTAAATTATCTGAAAAATACCACACTGAGTGGCTAAATAAAAATCAGATATCATCATTCAGTGTCTTCAGGAACTTGCTGCAATTAAAGTTAAATAAAAAAACAAATGTTATACGAGGCATGTTTTTTAAGTAAGTACAGTTTTTAAATTTCTCAGTTACAGCGCTGCTATTGCCATTTTGGACATTTGCTCTGTGTATGTGCAATGTGCATCTATTGGCAAGCCTGTGCCATAAATTTGGCAACAATCGGCCATGTTTACATCCAGTTTTGAGCGTTCAAAATGGTGCCACCAATTGAGACTGCCACGGACTGTGAAATGTGAGATGTAATTCGATTTTTAAGTGCTAAAGGTGTGAAAGCCATCGAAATTCATCGACGGATTAGTAAAGTGTATGACAAGAACATTATGAGTGACGGAATGGTAGTCAAGTGGGTAAGGTCATTTAAAGACGGCCATATCAAGGTTCATGAGGCGCAACGCACTGGGCAGCCATCCGTCATTACTGATGAATTGGTGCGTAAAGTCAATGAAAAAGTGAAAGAGAACACTCAAAAAAAGTGAGAGAGATGGTTTACGATCTCATAATTATCTGACGAGTTTCCTTTAGTTTTGAGAAGTGTTCTTTATGATATTGTGACTGAAAAATTGAGTACCGAAAATTGTGCTCACGCTGGGTGCTGAAAATGTTGACTGAGGTGCGTCTAGGCTGTGCACTGACTTTTTTTGAGCACTACGAGGAGAAACGAGATGATTTGTTCAAATTGTCAAGGTAAAATTGCTACAGGCAACATGGGTGTCTTATGTTACGCCAGAGTCAACATCTTGGTGGTCAGCACCTAGACAACGATGATGAGGTCAAAACGGAAGTGACACAGTGGTTATCCATTCAGGCGGCAGAATTCTTTGAGAAAGGAATGCAAAAGCTCGTGGAACGATATGATAAATGCCTTAATATTGATGGAAAAGAAACTATTTCGAAAAGTAGATTAAGATACTGGGTTCCAAATAAAAATATAATTATTACAATAAGTATACTGGTTTTTGTTTTATTTTAAAACGGTACTTACTTAAAAAACATGCCTTGTAAGTTCCCGAAACTGGAAATTTTGTTTCATTCAATATTAAAAACTGTTAGTTAGTAAATCATCATTGTGCTCAGATATGAAAAGCTGGGTGATATGAACATTAGACCTGCTGCACAGAAAGTGTAATTCAATGATTCTGTATTTATGGAAACTTCTCAATGCTCAAAAAATTTTTTGTTTAGTGTGTTTTTTCTGACTATCCTACAACATTCTTTCATTTCAATACATGTTTTCAAATAGTTGTGAGTGAAGCTGATAAAATAACATTCCTTTATTTACAGAACCATTGATTTCACTTAGTACAACAACATCCTTAGTTCAATAAGAAGTAACTGCTAACATATACAGTATATACTGGAGACGAGGTAAAAAGTGTTCCAAATAAAAATATAGGGTTCTAGATCTAATTTCAGACATTAACTAATTTTGTAAAAAAAATGTAGGCCCCTAACTGACTTGAGATACTTTTTTTGATCAGTACTATATGATTAGTACAAAAGACTTTGAGCAAGTATTTTTCCAGAAAAATTCTAGTTTAATTAGTGTTTAATTGTAAAAAAACCTAGTTCCCTCAAGAAGAAAAAATTCCAAGTTACTTTTTGAGTTTTTGACAACAAGGTTTATTGTTCCAAAACCGTCAACTAACCATAAGATTTGTTCAATTTTTTTCACAACACTACTGTTCTTAACTTAAACTTGCAATTGTGTGAAAACCAATACAAACAATTTAAAAACCCTGTTGAACTTTTCATAAACATTTTAGATGCAAAAATAATCAAAACACGAAATAACCAAAGAGATTTTAATATAATTGAAAAGGATTGCCATAAAAATGGAAACAATGAAAGAATGTTGTATTTATGTAGGAGGTATATAGCGTATAATGAGAAGTGTCCATAAACACTTACATTAGGTGAGTCAGTGGTGGGACTGTGTCGAGCCCCGCGGTTATAAGTCCGGTTGCCACTAGCTCTCCGAGTAGTCATGAACTCAAACGGATCTACTTCGAAGAGAGCCATCTGCAAGTTACAAACACACTTCTGAAATCTGTATTGAGTAAATATAATAAAATTTGAGCATGACATTCGTACGAGAGATTCAAAACTACATAAAATGTTATTAAGTGGATTTAAAATGAAATAATATTTCAACCATTGCATTGGCTGCCTGCTATTTATAAGGGATTTTTTTTGTCCTAGAACGCTAGGCACGAGCATGGAATTGTTTTTCACATTACTTCAGGCTAGACCTTGGGGTTGCGGTATTATTACTTAGATCAAATCCATTGGTGATTTGGCAGGATTTCAACCCGGGACCCCTGGAACCGGAGTCCCGCGCTCTAACCACTAGACCAGCTCGCTCCCCATTTTTATAAGGATTTATAAGGGATTAGAGAGTTATAAAATACAATACTCCAGTGATAATCCTGTGTAGTTGATGCAGATTTAAGTGAGAACTTTGTGAAACTTCCCTAATAATTTTTGTATTTACTACCTAAAGTAACAATTTTGCATCTAAATCACATAATTAATCTTTTTTTTATTATTGCAAGGAATAGTAAGAAAAATCAAGTCACACTCAGTAATGTTTATTACTAATTTTGATTTTTAGAATCCAGTGGCTACAGGCACGTGTTGTCCAATTCTATAATCATGGCCACACTCTTTTTGAAATGTTTTAAAATATTTGTATGGGTTTGTGTTACGTATTTCGTAAGACAAATCTTCACACACTTTAGGTCAAAGAGGATTGGCCATGCTTGGTATCCATGTAAAATTGAAAACAAATCCATCAAGGCCTTCATTAATATTACCTACTATTGTAATAATCATAGTGATTCAGAGGCTACGCCACAATGTATGCGATGATAAAAATTACACAAAAAACATGCAAATTTCCACAAGGAAAAATTATTTGTAACAGGAAACCTCCTCTTTTAAAGGGTAAAAAATTAAATAGATCAATCTACCAAGATGTCAGTAACATCTACAACTGAGCCTAACTAGTAAAATATCATGAGACACTCACTGTGGTTCTCTCGGGAGACGGAGTCGAGTCGTCTTCCTCTACAATATTGTGGTCAACACCATCAAAGTAGGAGGCAAACTGCAACCAAGTAGAAATAAAACAGTTAATCCATCACTGGAAATTTAAAATAAAATAACATAATTCATTTATATCTTGCTTTATGACCAATTGGTCCAATAATCTTGAACCTTGGTGGAACAAGGAAATACTTTACTTAAGTTTTGAAGGATTTTAAGACATATTGCAGGCCGGTATGGAGCAAAAGTAGGGAATGTATGGGGAAAATGAGGCAGAATACCAACTGTAGAATTTTTAAAGAGTATTGCGAATATCAATAATTATTATTAATGATCAATAATTATCAATTGAGAAGGGGACGCCGCAAAGGTATGTATTTTAATCCAAATACGAGTGCTGGCCCCGTGGTCGAAAACTCGACCAAAAATATATACTGTGCAAATTTCTCTATTTTCACCCCACGATGTAAATAGAACATGTGATTGGAATTTCTTCCATTTGTTTTGGATTTCTGTTTATATTTTTGTTGTTATTTTGTCACCAGCATGGCAAACCATAAGACACATGTTAATTTTTTTATTTCAAATTCATTTTTTGTGCTTATTTTTGAGCCTATTTTAATTTATTAAGGGATTCTGCACATCTACAGGAAAATATCTTTCATCTGGTACCAACAGCGTGTAATTCGGTCCAGTAGTATGGTCAGGCTACAGCTATCATAAGTTTTGCAAAAGTGTTTAAGTATATCAGATGAGTGAAGGGTGAGTGTAGAATGGAAAAGCTGGGTCCAGTTAAATAGAACAATGTATGTTAGAGTTAAGGATGAGAACAGGGAAGGGGATGAAGGTGGATAAAGGAGGAGATAAAAAACAACTACTAAGGTTTCGACAGTTGAATAAGAATATGAGGCGAGAAGATCACTAGGAAAATAGAGTGGCGGGTGATAGAGGGAAGAAGACCTGAAAGAAGGTTATGGATGAGGTGAAGAGGAATATGGAGAAAGGACAAGTGAAATGGAGATGTATTTGAAAGAATAAAAAGATTCAGGTTAAAAAAAGTTAAACCAGGTTTTCCCAGGCGCGAAACGTGGAAAGCGGAGTGCCGAGAAGTGATTCTAATTGCGGTCCGCTTTGCTTTTAGTAAAACAGTACCATTAAATTCCCGCAGACAAGAGGAGAGCGGACTCCGCCTTCATCTTCATCGCTTATGAAAACCTGATTTACTTTAATTTTTGTTTACAAACCTGAATCATTTATTTGCCCTCTTGTAAAACTATCATGTATTTTACAAGCTATATAATAAGCATAAAAGCTAAAAAGGGACAGATTCAATTTTGGGATGCACAAATGAATATGTCTTTAAGTTATCATTAACTCTTGTCCCTTAGGGATCCTAGAGTTGAGGTTTACACACATGTATCTAATCCTCCACATGTATATCAGGTTAATATATGATCTTGTTTACATATTAAGTTATGAGAATAACTTACACTGTCCTCGCTGTCTTTAGTTTTTCTCTTGAGACTTTTTGGCTGAAACACACGATTTAACATTAGTTGAAAGGCAGATGAAATAATTTGCAAACAAAGACAGTGACACTACAAATATAAAAGCTATTGAGAATTAAAAAATTAATTTGCCAAACGAAATGTCAAAACTCACCCTCCCTGCTCCTGGAGTACCCAGCCCAATTGAACGTTCATTCTTTGACTTGAAGTTGTGTTCTTTAGCCATCTGAAACATTTTAAATAATTTATTCTGAAATCGTCAATTTTTAGTTCTTAAATAATGCTATTGCCAAAAGTACAACATGTTGGATGCAAGTCATACTTTAGAACATAAACCAGGTAAAGAACATCTATTGTACATACCTGTAAACTGTTATACAAACATCCCTAAACTAAAATCGTCAATTTTCATACTTCACTGCTTTCTTTTTTTTTGAAAAATCTGAACAAAATTAATCTATGATTTAGTTATGACTACCAACAGGTTTTCAGTTTCCGCTAAATTTACAGTTAAATAAAAACTTAAATATCAACGGAACAGTGTATGGATATTGAGCTGCAGTTTTGAAATGAGTAAATATTTTGTAATTATTATACAAAAAGGTTATAACCTAATCCATTATAATATATATATATATATAAATAACACAAATGATTGAATCAGTTAAATTTAGAAATGAATACTGTTCTTATGTGTACCTAAAAATAAGGGAACAAAACTATAGGGTTGTGCCGAAAGCCTAACAGCTATTACGATAGAAGCTGTCTTTATACATGGCTTATTACATGTGGGACCAGCTGTTGTTTCATAATTATTGTATTTAACTTTATTTTATAATATGTGATGTGGATTGGAAAGGGACCTCTTGTCGGGTATGAGTTTTATATATATACAGTATATATATTTGAATTCTTTATTTAATTCCAAATCACTTGGTGCAAGTCCCATACATCTACGATTTCTTTTTTTTAAGTTATAGGACAGTTTTTTTTTTGTATTTAAGAAACGATTTTGGTATCAAAAGAAAGCTTGTAATGTCCTCTTTGGAGGCAATGCCAATTTTTGTCTTAACTCACGGTAGCTTTAATTTAAATAATTGTTTTATCGAAGCATGTTAATCTTGGTTTGTTGGCTACTCATCACATATATAAAATTATACACAATTTACTAAAATATGTGGAGGTATATTTCGAGTTTACATCAAAACTCATCTTCAGCCTCTGGTAACAACATATCAAGTAAATAAACTATGATTTATAATGTTTGTTTATAAATTAACATATGTTTGAATTATTTTAAAATTAAGTTAGTAGGAAAAATGTTGTTATATATGTATATATTATGTAGATGTCACACTTAATTTATTATTGTTTTTCCAATTTTAATTTTGTTCTCAACCTCTTGTCGAATCAAAGGTACAAACATGGGGCTGATTGTAGCACTAGGTTGGGATATTCTTCTTTTATCAACCACCATGCAAGCAGCTTCTTTAAGATTTCTTAAAGGACATGTCTTCTCTGAAGAAAATAGAATACATTGGACTGAATCGACTATGATCTACCAGGAAGCAGACTGGAAACTAAGAAATCTTAAAGAAGCTGCTTGCATGCGGTTGATAAAAGAAGCATATCCCAACCACTACTAACTTAATTTTAAAACAATTCAAACATATGTTAATTTATAATATAAACAAACATTATAAATCATAGTTTATTTACTTGATATGTTGTTACCAGAGGCTGAAGATGAGTTTTGATGTAAAATCGAAATATACCTCCACATTTTTTAGTAAATTGTGTATAATTTTATTTATGTGATAATGTAGAAAACAAACCAAGATTAACATTGATAATGCCATCACGAAAAAAACATACCAGAATGAATTATCAAAGCATGTTGTATAAATCACATTTCAGATTTAGGACCTCTTGTCGGTCCTATGTTATTTCTCCATAACATAAGAAAGGTACCTCTTGTCGGGACTGCAAAATTTGTGAGATATTTTGTTCTCCGTAAACTGAACTATGTTGCAATTCTCTAAAAGGCCGTGCAGAAAAAAGGTTTGGCATCACATATGTTTCCATACGGAAAATGAGTATCAGAAACTGGCTCTCATATTTTCATACCCTCAGCCATGAAACCACAAAGACTACAAATTCAGGATATAAACTAGCATTTTCTTATTACATTTCCTTTATATATCCGTACCAATTGTTACATTAATAATTAAAACTTCATTCAGCTCTTTTGCGATTGTTTTCTTATTCAAAGTAAAATCAATTCCAAACTGTCATTTTTACAGAAACGTGGGTGGTGTCATTTTGTTTGCATTTAAAATGCCTAAGAAACTATCAAATTTGTGAGAACCGTACAGGGAAAATTCATGATTTGGTGATATTTCATGACTTTATTGGGAAAAACTTAAGAATAAATACAATGAACATTACTTAAAATATATTTCCAATTTGAAAAGTTAACTACACAGATAAGGTAATGAAATTAACAATTCTTAATAACAACTAATTTATTTTAATAATATGACTATAAAGAACAATCTTGTTTAGTGTGTATGTAAGAGTTAAGAAAATATATTTTCTATCGATTGACTCCAAATAAAACAACAAAAGCATCTATTTAAGTTGAAATATAATCTAAACTCTTATTTACAGTACTATCCCTAAATACAGAATTATGCACTTTTTCTTATAATAATATCACATTATCTTCATTGGCACAGTTAGATGATTATTGTGTAGGAATCTGTAACAATGTTAAAATAAATTTCAATTGAAACATTCTTCTTATTATGGAATATAAATATATCATACTATATAAAAAAGTTACTTACAATGTATAAAGATGAACCAAACATTCCAAAAACTAATTAATTGGGACTACAAACTTGTAGCTTGTTTTTTTTTACTCAAACTTGTATACTTACTTGAACAACTTAAAATAAAAGTTTGGGTAAAAAGTAACATAAAAGAAGCATATTAAGGGGTAATTTAGATATAAAAAAAACTGTTACACAGCCATTCCCTAAGTCATCCAGTCACAAATATTTTACTGTACCAATCTTATAATGACACTAAATTTTAAAAGATTGTTTTGGTGTTATTTTAAACAGTGACTATCAAGAAGTATAATTGGGGCTGTAACACAATGTCTGTTATGAAGCAAACTCAAAACTAAATTACTTTCCTGTTGCTTAAGATTTTTGGTAAGGAATGCCCTTGGACTTAATTCCTACATTAGCAGGGGTTTAAAATTATAAATAGTACATTTATAAATTTGTTTACGAAGATTGAGCAATTTATACTGATAAATAATGATAGGGCATAGACAAATATCAGTAAGACTTCACAAAAAACTAAAATTAAATATTCAATTATTAAGAAGGAAATGCTTATGGAAAAAATCAAAACCATTTCATGTCAAATAACTTTACAAGCATCCATATAAAATTTCAACAACAATAAAAACTCTGGTTAAAAATTAAATTTTAGCCAAAATTTTATTTTGTATGCACATTACACATTAACAGTATAACCTAAGATTAAGAAAAAGTCGAAATGTAAAACTATGACTCACTGACCTGGGTGGAATGGAAAATTTGAAGTCTTCTTTAACTTCATGAAATTTCTTCTGGAAACAAAGCTTAACAAACAGCGAAACTCAAACCTAGAACTATATTATTTATAATGGAAATAGTAGAGTCGTTTTTTAAACTCTTCAGGCGATTCTCCATCCAATAGATAAAGCCATAATCTTTAAAAATATGTCATATATGTGATATTTAGATAGAAAATATACAACAATTTTTTTATACTAAAATGATTTATTATGAAACAGGTCAGTGAATCATAATTCATGAATCTTAACACAAATGTTTCACAATATGCTGATTCTGTTTGCTGTCAAATAGTGCATTCCAATTACTATACAGTTAAAATGCCTATAAATAAATTTTAGTCTTGAAGATTAGTTCATAAATATTTGAATGCTATGTAGTATGTTTGTAAAAATTACGATAAATCCATAAGTGAATTTAAAGATTTTTTGTATAGCACTTTTTAAAAAAAATATTAATTTACATACCTTATTTCTGGCAATGTCTCTGAGATTATTTTTTTCTGTCTGTAAATAAACAAAATAGATAAATAATAATTAATTGATAGTTATACTGATATTCTATTACAATGTTACACAATTTTTTCCCATATTGTATTACAAACCCTTAAAAAATTCACCAAATAAAAAAATGTATTTCGTAAATCAATCTACTGTTGATCTTTGGCGCCAGTATTGTAGTACCAATACACAATTATTGTTAAATATGTGTGTTATGTTTTATGATATTGGCTAAAGTTTGAATCACTAACCAAAATTAAAGATGTACAAGATAACAGAGCCGGTCTTTGGTGGTTTGGAGCCCAGTGAAATCATCCCTTACATTATTTTTGAACACGGAGAAAACTAACAAAATGGTTTTTCAACAGCACAGAACAAAGAAAACCCTACCTTATAAGTATAACTATTAATAATAGTGAAATAAATAGTATAAATGTCACAAAATTTTTTGGGATAGAAGTTGATAATAATTTGAGTTGGGATGGTCATGTTCAAAAAGTAACTAGCAAAATTCCTACAGGACTACACATTTTAAATAGGATGTCATTTTTATAAATAACTTCTTGAGCAGCATTGTACGTGTTATTAAATCTATGGAAAATAAATAAAAGAAACATCTTATAACACTTAAAACATATATTTACGCTTGTACTAACAAGACGGTAAATATAAAAAAAAATTCTAAAAACTCCTAAAATTCCTAAAATTATCAGACTTTTAATTTTAACAACTTTTATTATTTTGCAACAAGCCCAAGGTGACCCAACTGGGTATACGATTGCACCTATCCCACGTGCATAAGGTCAGCTCTGCGTAGTTAACTATTATCTGTGTTTTTTAAAAGGGCCATCTACATTCCATTTCTATGTGTAACTTAAAAGGATCCAATAAACTGATAATAAAATTGACCTGTTTATACATTTTCAAACAACCCAACACTTTGCTGAAGTTGTATTCTTACCTCTTTGATGTCTCTTTTCACTCTAGCAATGAGGGACATGCGATCTTTGTCTGGGGCCCCATCCAAGCTGTTCTGCAAGGAAAACAAAATATGTATATATAAAAAAATAATTAATTAGAAAACTGTATCAAGACTCAAGACTATAACTTTTGTTTGCATTTTAGGTAGATGCATCTACAGAAAAACGTGGGCTCCAATCCAAGAGGTCATGGTATTATCACAAAGCTTTTCCATTGGTTATATGACTTCTGTCCCATGAACCCTTGTGGGTTGTATATTTGTATGATTATGTAATAACTAGCTATGTGTGCCCGTTCTACTGACGGGGATCTTGTAGTCAGTTTAAACCTTCTTATATTCAGAACAGCAGTTGGTTTGCCCACCAGTTGGTATTAAGTGTGCATTTTTCTAGATACCTATGCTGGCAAAACTATTATAGGAATGAATATAAACCTTCGCAAATACAATATCTGACCGTTTCAAGCCAAAACAAATGCTTTGCAAAAAATAAGCTTTATAGATATATGAGGCATAGCCCTAAAGTAGGCCTATAATTGAAAGCTACTTTGCACACTGGTTAAAGGAAGTTATAATATTACCACAACCTCACCATCGCACACTTTAATCCGGTTAAAATTTTTATTAACAAAGGTGCTCTTGTCTTTTCTACGAAACACTGAGAAATAAGGACATTAATGCGTTACGAACAGACATACACACAAATATACAGAATTGAATTAGGACATTTGCTACGCTAACCAAAGCAAAGTACGTATAAAATTAGTATTTAAAATCTTTGTTAGTGTCGTCAAATTTTATCATATCGTATGTACTTAATATGCAGTGATAATGCTGTCTGTAATAACAATTTATATTTTTGCTTAATCCTAAGATAACCCGAAATGGTGTTGTAATGATGGCATACTATATGAAATGAAGTATTAACGACGATTTAAATTGGTAATTTACACGAATTAGAACAGAAAGCGGTATGAGTCATAAACATGAACAAATGACGTAACTGGCCCGATGCTATTGTTACTAATAGCATCGACTTATGGTTTAGAGTTTTTCATTTGAGCAATCAATGCTAAATAATGTTCACTTATGGGCCAGTAACATAATTTGTTTATGATTATGATCCATACCGGTCTGTTCTAGTATTCGTGGGTAATTTACAATACACAGGCCACAAACTATTGATACGTAAACAACGTAAAGTGTAAACAATTCATGGTGTTTTGCTTAAAAAATTTTTTACTCAAATGTGTTAACATTTTTATAAGACATCAATTAAATTTAGTATGACTATAAGTAGTGAGGTGCAACACCAACGATAACAAGTTGTATGATTTATAAATAAAAAACTTTTTTAAAACCAAATGTTTTTAAACGCACTAAAAAGTGGAAAATAATTTATAAATATTTGGAGAGTATAGGCCTAAATACTTGTAAAATTTAAAACGAAAAACGTGGGGTGCATGCAATAGATCATTTACAATTACCTTCTCCTATTGAACTAACGTATTATTATCAATTATGCACCCCACGTTTTTCGTTTGAAATCTTACAAGTATTTATACTCTCCAAATATTCATAAATTATTTTCTACTTTTTAGTGCGTTTAAAAACGTTTAGTTTTAAAAAGTTTTGTTTTTTATTTATAAAAATTATATTTATATTATATATGAATATTATAATATGAATATAATATATTATATTTATTAAAATATTCATTTTCTACTTTTTAGTTTTTAATGTGTGTGGATGTTAAATCTATTTCAAGCATCTTTATCAGATTAAGACAGAGGCATGTGGGAATTCTAAGGTTTATTTGAGTTCCTTTTCATATAATTATGTATTAAGATTGAATGTATAGCCTACCTACTAACTAAAAATATATCAATCTATTTAATTTATTGTTTACTATATAGAATACTAAATAAATAACAATTGAAATTATTAACAAACACCTTTATATCTGCAATCAGATTGTTTATCTTTAATTTGAAATTTTTGTTTGTATAAAGAATCTCTTGGGAGCATAACCTGTACCTCTTAACCTCTGCTCTTCGAACTGTCAAATTTAAGTATTTACAGCTGACTTAAATTAATTGATATATTTACATTCTTTCAAAATGTAAACATGGACAATTTGGAAGCCCATGGGATGTATCCCAAGGGAAATATGAAAATTAAATGATATATTATTGCATTGTCATCCATTTGTGAGCTATGTTTCAAATTTCAAGTCTCTAGCTCATTGGGAACTTTGTTTAAAACTGACATCAAAATTTGTAGGAAAGCGAGCTAATAAAAACAAGCCCATGGGGCGTAGTCCAAGGGAAATCTGAAAATTAAATGACATAATATTGCATTGTCATCCTTTTGTGAGCTATATTTTAAGTTTCAAGTTTCAAGTCTCTAGCTCATCGGGAAGTATCAAAATTTGCGAGAAAGCAAATTAATAAAAACAAGCCCATGGGGCGTAGCCCAAGGGAAATATAAAAATTAAATGATATAATATTGTATTGTCATCCGTTTGTGAGCTATGTTTCAAGTTTCAAGTATCTAGCTCATCGGGAAATTAGTATAAAATTGATTGCAAAATTTGTACCGGACAAGAAAGCGAGCTAATAAAAACGTTTTAAAATAGTGATGTGTTGGTCATGAAAATGATTCTCGCAACCACCGGTTCTAAGGAAAAGTAGCAGTACCAAAAACCAACGTTTACAATTAGTTAAGAACTATAGTACTTCCAACCAATAAAAAGCGTTAATCAAGTCACAAGGTTATTAATCTCCTGTGGTTTTTTATTTTCTCACAAAATGTTATCAGAAATCAAAGTTATTTCCGATTAATTGCATATAAACAACTTTTAATGTAAACATATCGGTGAAAGTTTGAAGAAACAACCTTTATTCACATCCGGACAACGGTTCTTTATTTAATAGATAATAGAATAGATTCCTACCTATTCTATAAAAAAAATATTAGTACAGTTAACCTTTGATAGTTCGACACTCCTTGTAGTTCGACATGGGCTGAGCTATTTTGTCAAGTGATATTTATTTATGGTTACTATTGTGATGTGCGCTGTATTGAACATTCATTTGTCATTTAACTTATTGTTGACTTGAAACTTAACTAATGAACAGTGAAATTGTTAAGCTTTTTGTATTTAATAAATTAGGGTTATTTCTATATAAGACTTGTGTTTTAACTTTCCTGTGTATTAAACTCCATTTACTCCCTATAGTTCGACATTTCGATAGTTCGACATCCCTTAAGTCCACAAAGTGTCGAACTATCGAGGTTCCACTGTATATCTATTATCTAACAAGAGATGGCCCAGGCCTATTGGCGGTATGGTCCAGCGATTCCAGAACATAGCGGTGAGTAGAAACCGAAAGTGACACTTTGGAAAAGCAAGTTTAACAGCATCCGTAAACCTCTGTTACGAACACAACAACATCGAAAAGATCTTCCGAGATCGCAGCAACATCCATCATCACCCACTGCAGTTGTGATTATTTACTTTACAATTTACAAAACTGTCATTGAAGCGCCGTCAATGAGTGGAAACCTTGTTTATAAGCCATTGGTGACGATGATTAAAAAATGTAAGTTTCCCAGCCCTTATACAACACTGATTTACGGTCTTTTTCTCAGTTATCAAAACTCACAATTTGATTCACACAGAATCTCCGGTTTCCGACCTGGATGATGCCTAGTTATTTAATTTAATTTACAGTTACACATTACTTCCCTCACATTCATTCATCAATTGGGAAAACCTTCTTCAGGAAAGGTCCATACTTTATACTTATGACTAGTAAATTGATAAGTTTGGTTAAACAATTGTAAATAATAAACATGATAACTCTATAACTATCACCCAGTGATGCGCAACATATTTTTTTCATGAAGTGGTATAAAAGGTAGGAAAACACTGATTTAGAGTAACTCTCCTTGTGTCACAACTCTCAAGTCTCCACCAGAAAATTGTACAGCTTTGAACATTATTACGTGCTTGTACTCTTAATGAGGAGTTCATTGATTGATATGATTAAATAGTTGCACTATAGCTGCATTTGGCATTTGGTTGGATAAATTAAGCCGTCTTTGGAAGTTTCACCTAAATACTGTTATTGAATTCATTCTAAAACTAACAGAATTATTAAGATCACACCAAAAATTTGGAACTGTAGTTGTTGCAAGCAGAGTGAGTTTGTCTGAAAACGATTTTGAAATATATTATGAAATAGAATAGAATGCAAACATGTCAAAACATGATTTTATGAAATTGCGATTTACGTTACATTTTAGTTAGGCCATTTTTTATTTGTTTCTACAGTATCTCAGTTTTTGTAACCACATTTTAAAGTGTCTTATTATAACAGACACATTATTTTACATACTTGTATATATTGTTTTCTATTTCTTCTTGCGATCTTGGCTGCACTGGCAAAGAGCTGAAAAATAATAAGAACTGAAAAACACAACCTAAGTGCTTGTAAAAGTAATTTTTGAAATGTCTATAAAATGTAACCCCATCAAACTAACACTTGTAAACCTCTCATCACATTGTAAAATCTGAAGCTTCATTTTTTTAAACTGGTTTGTGTTGGTGTCACTGAGCGCTAGTGTCAACAAATGTTTGGGTTAATTTTTGTGCTTTACTTTTTGATAATATCATCAGAGGACAAGCTATAATTTATAATTACAGTCTTATCTGGACACCTTTTAACCGGACATTGGTTTAACCGGACTACACTCGGCGGAAGTGACATCTCTTTAACCAGACAATGTTTATCAGCACATTGGTTTAACTGGACTAGATCGGCAGGAAGTGGGCAGTACTGAAACGACTGTTCTCGTGGGAAATATTTGAGACCAGTGAACTAGTGTCTAAATACAATGCTCTCCTAAATTTAAGTCGAATATCACAGTGAACATTCCGTTTTAACAAGTTTTTGGGGACGTCGGTTTAACTGGAAAACCCGTTATTAGGACTAGCCTCGGTCCCGAGGAGTCCGGATAAGAGGGAGTCTACTGTATTTTGTTGAACTAGTTTTGAAATAACGAGAAACAAATTGTAAACCAAAACACACCACTAGAGGCACTGGACGGAACTAACATTGAAATAATCATCAGCTGATCCATAAGGTTGACAAATCTATTACGAGAGTATGTTTAGTCTATGATTCTACTTTGATTCCATCACTTTAGTTATAGCGTCTCAGGTTCCTGGTCAGAAACCCATGAGAACCTCTTCTTCAAAGGAGTGGGGGGCGTGACGTCACTCTCTTCTCTTTAGGGAACACAATTACCGCAACGATACGAAGTGCAGCCATTGGTGTTCATGGCGCAGTGGATACCATGGCTCGGCTGATGTTCATGAGGTAGCCAGATCGAGTCCCACCGGTGACATAACCTTTTTGTCAATGTGATTACTACTTCTACACTGTACATCTTTTTTTAGAATTTGAGGCATTTATAATTTTATTTTATGATCAATATTTTTTTTTTATTAGTAAACCTTCATTAGATTTTTATCTACAGTAGACTCCCTCTTATCCGGACACCTTTTAACCGGATTATACTCGGAGAAAATTACATCTCTTTAACCGGACAATTGTTATCAGCACATAAGTTTAACCAGACTCGATCGGTAGGAAATGGGTGGTACTGAAACGATTGTTCTCATGGGAATGATTTGAGACCAGTGATCACGTGTCTAAATACAATGCTCTCATCAATTTAAGTCATATACTGTATACAGTATGCATTTAAACGGTCCGTTTTAACAAGTTTTTGGGGACGTCAGTTAAACCGGTAAAACCATTATCCGGACTGGCCTTGGTCCCAAGGAGTCCGGATAAGAGGGAATCTACTGTAATATATATTTTATATTATCAGAAAGTTTGGTTGGTTAGGTTAGGTTATGGGGGATTAGTTTTATAATTGAAAATTATAAAATTAATTTTATAATTTTTCTTAAATCGACGTGAGGGGCTCTCCCACAATCCCCCACTCCTTCGCAGAAGAGGTTCTCATCGGTTTCTGGCCAGGACCCTGAGACGCTAGTTCACTTAGTAACCAGTAAAAAATCAAATTTTCATCAATACAATCCCTCAAGTAAATTCTCTTACCATTCCAGCACTGCAGATAAGCTCTTTTAGCGAATTTCCCTATAGGTAAGTAGCTATTACCGTAGGTGGCATGGTAAGACCTGGAGCCGGGAGGGATATACTTTTTCATTTTGATGTCCCTAGAGGCCAAAAACACTATTCGTTGAAATTTTTATATACGGTATGTTTATATATATACAGTATATATATATATACATACATCCGTGACTGCGATAACATGAGTAATTTTTCTCCAATTTTGATAAAATTTGGTTTGAAGATGTAAGGTGGGTTAAACTCAAATGAGTTTGCGAACCAGCATGATCAGACCATGGGAACAGGGTTTTACAGGGGGTTTTATGGGGTAAAAAAATGGTTTTTCTCATTTTTGACCCTCAAATTACAAAATTTCAGAATTTATCTTAGACCATTTAAGGATCTTAAAAAAATAAATAATTTAGTATACCAAAGTGTTTTTGTACGGTTATTAGTTACGGAGAAAATAAAAAAAAAAAATGCAAATTTTAAATTCAAATGATATTCTTATCGTAAAATGTTGTAGTTTGCTTGATCAAACTTGGCTAATTTATTTATTTTATAGTAAGCTACTAAAATTTTACTAAAAACCATACTTTATTAGCCTCCCTGAAGCAGCAAACCTAGGTAATTGTTGAACCTAGTTATTTAAATAGATTCAATTTGAAATCAATTCAGGCAAATGGGAATTCGCTTAGTCTGCAGGTTTGCTTTGACGGGGGTATTTGAATTATTATGACAGTACAGTTACCTCATACTAATGGCATTACACTTACATTTTTATACCTTGATAAAACAGCTTTTTTTTCTCCTTCAGTGTATCCTTGCAAAAAATAAAGTTAAATTTCAAATGAAAATAATGTTAGTGGTAAGTGCCACTGAGTCACCATGTATGACTAAAAGTTTGTGGCAGGCAGATAAAACTGACTATAAAATCTGTAAAAAATGTTAAATTAGAATTACAGAACCTATTGCGTAGAGGGTACCAACGTGCTATTTCAAAACTAATTTAAGTCCCTTAATTTAGATGTTAAAGAATAAAATAATATACATAGTGTAAGAGAATAGGTGCAAAATTGTAAATATGAAATTAATATATTATATTAATTTTGAAATTGAAACAACTGTTACTGGTACTCTTGATATCCCTAATAATTCACTTAAGTAATCTACTAAATAAATAAGATTAATCAGTTTTTCAGTTTCATAGCAAAGGTTTTCAGTTTTCATTATGTCATAAGCAATGTAATTGCCATTCAACAATACAAAATATTGTTATCTTCAATATATAAACTGAACTAACTGAAACATTAAAATTTTTGTTTTGTTTTTTAACTACACTTGTAACAAAACGTCTTGAATTAAATTAGCACTGGTTTATGGTCGGTGCTTTGATTGGTCGGTTATGGCGGGTGCTTTGAAGGAAAGTCCAAACCACCCTCAACCGTCCAATGGTCGAAATGCCAACACCCTTGGTCTAAGATAAGAAAGGGAGGAAGAAAGACCTCCTGTCGTGACTCTACGCATGTCCCGTCTAGTTGTCCAATCCACCTGACCGCGATACTAGTGACCACGCATGTGTAAATATAGACTATAACGTTAGTGATAAAAAGAAAACTTAAGAAGGCTCCTAAGGATGCCACTCAAGCTGTTGAAATACACACGGTGACATAAACATCTTACCTAATCAAGAAAACTGGCAACAAAAACAAAGGTACCTAATCTAATATAATTTTAGTTCTTTGAAAAATCTTAATATTCTCAATTGAGGGAGGTACAAGTACCTTTTGACTGTTGATGAACACAGGGTTGATTTCCCCTTTCTCCAATGGAACCTGAGAACAGAAAATTAAACTTAATAAGAAATCATTTTCTAATAAAAAATGCAGGCCTGCATGGAGCCAAATTCCTAGGATTTTAGACCCCATGGGGCTTACATGTAGTGCATTAATAATTTTCTTGGATTCCGATATTATGCATATAAATGTCTGCCAACAGTCCTGAAAGTGGAGATCCCATGGCAAGTCCTTCTTTTTGTATGTAGTATGATGAATTAAATTTGAAATAATTTTGACTCGTTGCAATTTTTGTAAGTTTTACTATATCTTCTATTTCATTTTTCGACAAGGTTTTGCTTTGGGTTAATGTTTCTTTAAGAATCTTAATAGTTGGTAAAATAGGAATGTTGGTATATATGTTTTTTACATCGAAAGATAAAAATAAAGAATTTTGAGGAATGTCTTTGTCTTTTATTTTGTTTATCAAATCAAGAGTATTTATTACGCTATAATCGTGTTCATTAATGATGTTTAGTTTTATTTTGCGTTGTAAGTATCCACATAATTTATACGTAGGTGCACTCATGAAGTTAACAATTGGTCTTATGGGGATTTCTTCTTTATGTATTTTTGGTTGACCACGTAATGTTGGTGACTGTGGTTTTATCATTTTTATTTGATTCTTTATAACTTTAGGGATGCTTTTACATTTATTAATAGCTTCGTTTGTGGTTTTAGTAAATTCAGTTGTTGTAATTAATAAAAGAGCCAAAAAAGATAACAACCAAGTTGTAACATCAAAATATGAAAACTCCGGTATTTATAAAATTAAATGTTCAGATTGTGAAAAGTATTACATTGGACAGACAGGAAGGTCGTTCAATTGTAGATATAAAGAACATGTACAAGCATTTAAATCAAAGAATGTGACTAGTATGAAAAGTAATGTAGCAGAACACATGCTTAATGAGAATCATAAATTCACTAAAATAGAAACAGATATGACAGTTTTGGACTATGGATCAAAAGGAAATAAATTAGATACAAAAGAATAATATCATATATACTGCAGCTACAAGAATGATCCAACAAATATAATCAATACAATGCAAGTTAAGAAACAAAATCCTATATGTGAAAACATTTTAAAATTAAAGAATATTTAACACAAACATCAAGAGGAGGATAAATTAAACAACCATAATAAATTTTTTTATATATATATATGACAAAATTCCATGACCAAAGATTATTTTACTATACATTTTAAGAAAAAAGAATAATCATATGTAAAGATCATCACATGATGTTTATTTGTTAATTAATTTGTTTGTGTTTGAAGTGAGGTTAAATGTTACTCTTGTAAATGGCCTAAAGCGCGAAACATGTAGAGATTTAAAAATAAAAATAATTTCAGGGTACTGAGTTAATATGCTTTCTTCATTATTTATAATAGTAGCCATCTAAACAATTGTATATATATATACATCCGTGAACGCGATAACTTGAGTAATTTTTGTCCGATTTTGATGAAATTTGGTTTAAAGGTGTAAAGTGGGATAAACTTGAATGAGTTTGCGAACCAGCACGATCGAACCATGGGAACGGGGCTTTACGGGGGGTTTTATGGGGTAAAAATTGGTTTTTCTCACTTTTGACCCTCAAAACACAAAATTTCCCGATTTCTCTTTTAGACCTTTTTAAAGAGCTTAAAAAAAAAAATTTAGTATATAAAAGTATTTTTGTTTGATTATTAGTAACGGAGAAAATTTAAAAAATTGTAAATTTAAAATTCCCATGTTATTCTTATGGAGAATATTGTCAAATGTTGTAGTTTGCTTGTTTATGGATATATTTTGATCAAACTTGGCAAATTTATTTATTTTGTACTAAGCTATTAATATTTTACTCAAAAACACACTTTATTAGTTTCCTTGTAGCAGCAAACCTAGGTACTCGTTAAACCTAATGTTATTAAAATATATTTAACTGAAAATCAATTCAGACAAATGGAAATTCGCTTAGTCGGCAGGTTTGCTGCGGCGGGGGTATTTTATGTTGAACAGAAACAAATCTAGCGATAAATTTATCCAATGGGATGCCTTTACTATACACTAATTTTATTAAACCTTTACAAAAGGAGCATAAACTTAGAAATAATAACTGGGTCCGATCGGAGTGCTAATTTAGCGGTTTTGACCGATAACTAAGCTTATCTCAACACACCTTTATTTGCCTTTTCATATTTGACGAAGACGATTTCCGATATTTCAATCAGGAAAGCCTTTTTATCATCATTAACCAAAAGACCAAACAATATTTATTCACAAACAGTTTGCTGCCTTTAGCCGAGTTAAACCTCTGGATTGGTTCAAATTACTTATTGAAAATAACAGCAACAAAATCAAACAATAACACCAAACAACAAACTGTTTCACACAAAAGATATGTTGTACTCGGATATCTATTCTGACACATAGGTAATTTGATTCTGAGTTTGTTTAAATATTACAATAATTTGTTATACATTTGAGCCATTTAGGGACTTATGTCCCTACAAGCCACTAGTATAATTTAATTTCCAGAGACAAAAAATACTTACCTTGTGAAGCTGATTGTTGTTAGCTCCAAAGACCTGAAAAAAACTTTGAATTAAATTAATTGAAATTTTTTATGAAAATCTAGTATTTCTGTAAAACAATGTCAAGCCCTCTAACAAATTTTACTTCTTTTTAAAGACTAAGAGAATTATTAAATATTTTGTTTAACACTTTTTTTTGTAAAAAAAAATAATGTTTGTTTCTTGAAATTGTTGAGCAACCACTTCTTCAGCAACGGTACTGGATATGGTGTCCAGATGATTAAAACCACAACTATGGTAAAAAAAAACATTTAAGAAAAAAGGCTGCTTTTGGCTTAAACCAGACAATTAATTTTCCTGGCTAGATAGACTAAGAGAATTTGACGATCTATTATCATACACTACTAATTATTCAACACTGTAACGAAACATAGCCTACTATTTAAACTTACATTAGTCAACTGAAGAAGATGTGGATTTAATGCTTCTGAATCTTTTCCCATCTGTAAAGGAAAGAATTATTTCAATAAAAACTGATTATGTAAATAAAGTATTAAAATATTGTGCTACTACATTACCTAACAGCTCTACTAAATATGCGTGTCAAACTACATATTTGGATGGTAAAATTATCCATCAGCTTCGCTTCAATGTCTTGGATATCACCGATTTTTCAACTTTATGACTGTCTAAACACTGACACACCAAGGTAAGGATGAATGAGACAGTTTGTTACTAACCAAGACTAAGACAGAGAACAACAAAGAGAGTTTGATATGTTTTGCACTGCCAAGTACAAATACAAAATAAGCTAGTAACAAATAATACTTATGAATAAATACGATTGAAATCTAAATTTGAAATTGAGGGAAACTATTAATGGATACTAAGTTGGTGTCCATTCTGTTGGAGGAAATTGCAAACAAGTTGTCCATATCAGCACAATTAATTGCAAACTAAGTCAATGTAAACGTAAACTGACATTAACATTTACTGAAATAAAATTGTTAAAACTGAGGAAAAAGGTAACAATTGCTTGGGCATATTAGTGTAGTGAATTTGATTTTAGTGACCAAGTAAACAGCATATTTTTGTTATCTATTGTTGTCAAGTCACAGTGTTTCTCACATTGTTTTAGGTACATTGACTCTTAAATTTACTACTTGCACATCCCTAAAATAAATCCTTTGATTTTTCAGGAAGTAGCTTACTGAAAACTTTAATCGTTACTCACATTTTGATGCTGTGACAAGAGAGGATCTAGGTTTTCTTTCTGCCTCTCTACCTTTAGAACAGTGATAACATTATTGTGTATTGTTATTGCATTTAGTATGTATGGAATAGATTTTAGTGTCAACAGAATATTGAATGAATATAGTGCTTTGGTTTAATGGTATTAATATTGGCCAAACCTATAGTCAATACAACACAACAAATAGGCTAAACCTGTAGTCATTTTCATTAATTATAACCACATTGATAAATTACAGCTAGGACCGAGGTAAAAAAATAAATTAACTTTAAACATTCAAAGCAAAAAAAATTTAAACACTACAATATGCTTTACATGAAAACGTTATGCCTCTCAGGGAATTAATTCTGAACAGAAAAAATGTTAAGTTTGTTATCCTCGTAGGCACTTGAATCTTTAAGAGCACATCTCTGGCTTTGAGTTTAATATCATAAGACCTATTGGTAGGAGGGTCATCCACGAAGTAACTGTCGCCTGGGCGGCGTGGTGCGCTAAGTAGGAATTATGGAGTTAGCACCAGTCTCACATCGGCGTGCGCAGCTGTTCAGTACGCTTCTAGCTGTGCTAGAGAGAGCATCGTACAATCGCACATTCTGTTGTTATAACCTAAAAACACGCGCCGCCATGGATTACCCCGCCAAGTATGTGCGAGGTGTAGTCAGATTTCTGTAGTCGAAGAATCACTTAGCAGCTGAAATTCATCATGAATTGTGGGCCGAAACGTTATGAGTGAATGTGTAGTCCGTCAAGGTCAATCCGTCAATAGTCCGTAAAAAAAAGAAAGGACGAACGTTCATTATAAAGATCATCAGAGTGGTAGGCCTTATCTCGTTACTGATGACTTGGTGAACGAGAATATTCGTGAGAACCGGCGCTGTAGAATATCACAACTTTCCGATCATTTCCCTGAAATTTCTCGAAGTGACTGACAACTTGGCTATCACAAGTTTTGTGCTCGTTGGATTCCTACAGTGTTTAATGACGGTCACAAAACGAAAAGAATGAGTTCGGCCATAGACGTTCTCATTCAATAAGACGTTGAAGGAGAAACTTTTTTGGACAGGATCGTTACCGGAGGGTGGAGATGATTCCATTTTTTAAAAATGAACCCATTGGCGGACTTCACCTTTACTCCTAACCTTTGGACCATGTAAGTAGGCAATTCACAGTGAATTTAAGCTGCTGTGTGATTCTTCAACTCAGAAATCTGATTACACCACACACTTCATACTCGACGGAATAATCTATGGCGGCGAACATGTTTTTAGGTTATAACCACAGAACGCGCGATAGTAGAATGCTCTCTCTAGCATAGCTAAAAGCACACACAGAACGACTGCGCATATCGATGTGAGAATGACAGCGCTAACTCCACTACTTAGCATGCCACGCCCAGGCGGCAGTTACTTCGTGGATGACCCTCATATATATGGGGAAAGAATTATTTTCAGGGGAAACCATTATCTTGTTCCAGGGGTGAAAGGAAAAGGCCCTCCTGCACAGACGAATTAGTTCAAAACATGATTGATGGTTATTTCAAAGCAGGGGTTTCCTTGAAAAACACCTTTAAAACATGCTTTTTTATTTCAATCTATTTAAACCCATATAGAGCATTGTGATTGTGATCTTAAAATTTATTATCTCAGGATAACTTTGTTCACAATGCTCCCTTCCCTGCGGGTGCTCATGGTTACCTAAGATACGACATTTTAAACGAGTTCACTAATTTTAGATTAGATGTACATAGCCCCTAACTGTACACTCACATATTTTTTTAAATCCGTATGAATCTCTTTTTCAGGTTTGTTGAGAGAACTCTGTAAACATAAAATAAGAAATAATCTTTTGTTAAAATTTACCTCTATTTATCAAACAAAATGGAGAAACACTACATAGTACGTTATCATTACTTAAAAAAAAATATTACTCTTCTAATCATTGTGACAAGCTTGTCATATTTGTGACTAACTGGCAAATTATTACTGATACATTTTTATGCTTGTAATATAATCCCTTTTTATTGCAATGTAAGCTTTCCTACACAAATAAATATCATAAAGTTTGATAGCTTAGAAGAGTTTAATTTTTTAAGATGATCAAACAAACCTTAATAATATATTTCATAACAAGAGTAGAAAGTGAGTCATTACATATTTGAGACCATGTTTGAAATGCGAGATTTATCGAGCACTTTAAATGGTCGAGAATATGTATAGACCTACTTTCACTCGTGTTTTGAACGTTACTTTTCGTTACACTACAAATAATAACTATTTTCTTCATTACAAAACTCATAGAATTTACTTTCGGTAGTAAACAATAGACAGCTGTTAAAAATATGATGTTTCGCAGGTTGTAAACACATAACGAAAACAGCTCAACTTATAGTAGTGTAGTGAAAAAATGTCTACAGACCTACCTAAACAATATAAAAAGCTGAATTGATTTGTGGTTGTTTACAAGGTTACAAAAGTAACACTAACTATTATTATTTCATTGACTTATTAATAAAATAAGCATAACAGACAAATTGTGAAAACTTACTTTTTGAGCTGATGGAGGTACAAGGTTTACTTTGAACATCTGTAAAAAATATAGAAAATGTCAAAAACTTATACTTTAACAGTAAAAAATATTAATAAATGTCCTTGTGTAAACCTCAACTGTCAGGTGATCCTTGTAGTAGTAAACACTTGTTTTAGTTATTTTTTACTTTCATGATGTTAGCCTCCGAATCACTTTAGTTAATTAATAAATTAGTTAATAACTCACTTTTGTTAATAAATGGTTTAAATACCTTAACTGTCAGGTGATCCTTGGAGTAGTAATACACTGCTGCAGTTTCAGCCCTCAGGGGGCTTTCTTCAGGTGTCAAAGGGAGTCAAAAGTTTTCATTCATACAAAATCCTCACATTGAAATTACGAGATAAAAAAATGGACACAATCACGAATATATAACTAGCTCCCCGCACGCATCGTGCATCAATGCCGGTACCAATGAAAAATGTTTGTGACTCTTACAAGTGTATTCGTTTTTATGATTGTGTTCCTGTCCGTTTTTTTGTTCTCGTAGTTTCAATGTGACAATTTCGTATGAATGAAAACTTTTGACTTCCTTTGACACATGAAGAAAGCCCTCTTGAGGGCTGAAACTGCAGTAGTGTATTACTACTACAAGAATCACCTAAGACAGAATCACTCAAGGCAGTTAAGGTATTTAAACCATTTATTAACTAAAGTGAGTTATTAACTAATTTATTAATTAACTACAGTGACTCGGAGGCTAACATTATGAAAGTAAAAAATTACTACAATATTATCCTATATAACAGTAAAATCCCCAATTAACCGAAAAAAGGGGGAAAGCGGTTTTGGATAAGCTACTATTTTTGTTTAATCAATGGTAGGAATTTAAAGGCTCTGTCTATTCAAGAGCTCCACAACAGTAGATTTATAATTATTTTAGCTGCTGTAGACACAAAATCTATTTCTTAAAACAATATAATGTTGTTCTCGCTGTGTGAGATATGTGTCTTCCTCTGTTCCGTTCTGTAGGCCAAGCTGGACTAACTACTTACACCACGGCGGACAATTCCTGCTGTCTAAGGTAATTTTCTAATTGATTTAAATTTTTTGTATGGTTTTGGTTTAACAGAGTGGAATTAAAAGAGTTTTAGTGTAATTTGAAATGGTTTGTCACCTGACAAAAACTTTTATTAAAAAAATAAATTTAACACAATAACGTTTTAAAATAAAACTTATAACATTTTAGATAGTTACGTTTGAACCAATATCATTGAAAAGGTTTGCAAATGAAACATAAGAAGAAAAGTTTTTTTTATAAAACAATTTGTTCTATTAATCAGGAAATGTATATTTTAGTAAACTGAAACAACTTACATTAGAAAAGTTGATTAGAAATGGATTCAAAGCTTCTTTGTGTTTCCCAACCTGAAAAACAGAATCTACACTGAAGATACGAGTATAGAGGACAATGTGCATTACAGACTATTTTTATTTAAACCTCGTGGGTAAATGTGCAATAAATTAATATTTTTCATCACTCCTTAACGAAAGCAACTATTTTCGATAACAGCTGACATTAATGAAAGTAGTCGTTTCCCAAGCTCTAATTTAGAGCGAGGGAAAATCGATCAGCTGATTTTCCCTCGCTCTAAATTTACTTTCCCTCGCTCTCAATTAGTTCTCCATTTATTCACTACGCGCGCTAGTGTTTTGATACGGTTTAATTTAATGATTTTAATCAGCTGTATGTATTTTTTAAAGTTGTATTATTATTTTATTTTGATGTTTAAACAAAATTTATTAAGAAATATACGTAGGTTTCTTTTTAAAAGGTTTTATTTTATTTTGATGTTCAATCAAATTAATTGAGAAATAAAATTGTTTTAATATTACTGAGGTCTGATATTCTGTGTTTGTGTATTTTTGCGTCGTGATGAAAAGTATCGTTCATAACTCGTACCGAAGGTTATTATCCGGCACTTGCTCCATTATTCCCGTCCTCGGCTTCGCCTCGTACGTGAAAATAGCTCTCACATACTCGGCTTCGCCTCGCACGTGAAATTGGGGTTCCCTGTGTTCGGCTTCGCCTCACACAAAAACTTGAGCGCGCGACGGAAAATGCCACTTTCGGTCCTAGTAATGAAATATACTATTACCTTGAAAAGTTAAAAATGACTAGCTGGGTAGTAAAGGACCTCCTGAAATTGTGCTTTGTAGCAACAGGCCACTAGGGAATATAGAAACAAAAAATCTACATATTTACAGCTCTCTATAAAAATGTTATCAACCAAAGAGGGTTTAATAACCATACAACTAAGATTATTATTTGTATTGTATTACACCTATATTTACTTTCCCTACTACTTTTCTAGCGGTTTCCCACTATTAGGCGGCAATTAGCCTCATCATAGTAGCCAATAACAATGTGGAGGGAATTGACGCTCCCGCCAAGTCAGGTTTCTGTGGAAAGGAGGTCCACTTATATTTGAGTTGGTTTACTAATGTTTATGGAAACATGTTTAGATGTAATATATGTATGAAGGGGTAGAAGGAGTTTGGATTTGCCTGTAAAATTAAATTTTTTGCTTAACACATTTAATTTGCTTACATGGAGGTTATTCTTAAAAACTGTGAAATACTTACATAATCTTTTGCACTGGAATGTAGTTTATGTTCATTAGACTGAAATGAAAAAAATATATAAGTATATTAAACGGGTTTGCATCCAGAGGAAATTGTGACCTAAGGATAACCATGATTTACTGGTTTTAAAAGGGAAATTAATTTCTTAAAGGTTGATTTAACAACTTTTCTAATCAAACGTAAAGTTACAGGACTAGTTAATGTCTACAATTAAAACCTAGGATATCCTACACAGATGTATGTTCATGTGAGTATACTTATTTTTATTTACACATTCAGACATCAATCCTATATAGGCTAGGCCTTTTAGACTTTTACCTGGGCAAAATTAATAACAAAGCAAAACCAACTGGAATGTATTAGGCATGCTTCCCTTAACATTTTGTGAAAATTCCCAACTTTTCCCACTGTAGCAAAATCCGCCATCTTGTAAAATGGCGGACAATCTGTAAAACACTGCAAGGTTCCACTTAAAAACTTATTGTTCCCAAACCATTCCATCTAGAAAAGTCTAATTAGTCTTAGATTCTTCGGCATAATATTATCTACAAGAAAATACCATATTAAATAATAGTAATATGATTGTTAATAGTGAAAAAAACAAATTAAACTTTAAAATATGTAAAAAAAATAAGACATATTCTTACTTTTTGGGGGTTTTCGCCATTATTATTGAGTAAATGCAAATTTTACCTGCAACAAACATGTAGAGCTTTAAATTCCGCTTCATTTCCATATATAATATAACAATGTTTGAGCATTATTGACGTAAACGGCGAGTGTCAAAGTACACTCTCATGTAACGCACCTGTGGGACCAAAATGCATATAGTGTGGTTGTATGGTTGTATAAAGTGGCAGAATACTTCAGTTCTGGCGGGGAACATGCAACTTGAGGTGGTAGCATAGTATAGAAGTCATTGAACGTAAAACTGCCCAGACCCCAACTTTTAAGGACCTCGGTCGTCCGTAATGACGTCATCAAGATGGCGGCTGTAAAAGGATGCTGGGTCGCCATGAATCGGTTATAACACCCAATTGCCTGAACCGATTTTAATGAAATTTGGCATACAAGTGCTTGAATACATTGTCTCAGCCCAGGTTGTCAATGGTCGAGTTTGATTAAATCGTTTCAAAATGGCGGCCGTTAATAATTAAAATAATACAAATGTTTCGGTTTTTTGTGTTTTCAACTCCTTCCAGAGATCTGCATCAACATATTAATTTTCCTTGCAATCACAGGTTGTGATGCCGTCTCTAAATTTCATGGAATTGGCAAAATACCCCCACCACAGCAAACCTGCAGACTTAAGTGAGTTTCTATTTGCCTGATTTGATTTTAAATTAAATCTATTTCAGTAACATTCGTTTTCATGAGTACCGGTACCTAGGTTTGCTGCTACAGGGAGAGTTATAAAGTGAGTTTTTATTAATATAATAATAGCTTAGTTTAAAATAAATAAATTTGCCTATTTTCATCAAAATATATCTCCAACCAAGAAAACTAAAACAGTTTATTTATTATCCGTAAGAATAATTTTAAATTTACAATTCTTTGAATTATCTCCGTAACCAATACCCGTACAAAAATACATCAGTATACTAAATTATTTATTTGCCTAAGCTCTTCAAAATTTTTTAGAGATAAATTAGGGATTTATATGTTTTGATGGTCAAAAATTAGAAAAACCAATTTTCACCCCATAAATCCCCCCAACCACCCCGTTCCCATGGTCCGGTCAAGCTGGTTCGTGAACTTAATTGAAAAAACGTAGGTTTACGCGTTTGTACAAAATTTATCGAAATCTGGTCATTTTTTGTGTGATTTATTGGGCTAATGGACACACACATAAACAGGGTGTTCAAAAACACCTACATACCAATTATAGGGAAAATAATTACCTTGGTCCAATTCAAAATTTCAAAATGGCGGGCATTTTAATTTTTTAAATCAAAGTTACTGAAAATGGCAGATTTTATGAAAAAGTGTCAAGAAAACTTTTGGTTAGCATTTGAATTTCCTATCAAACTACTTCCAGTTCAAAACGATTGAATAAAAATAATTTAAATATTAAGACTTTTAGTTGTAAATTTAAGAAAACCTGGCTAGCTTAGCCTCATTCCAACTATATTTACAACTAAAAATCGTGATATATCAGTCATTTCTCTTAAGATTTTTTGAACTTGGTATCGTTTGATAGGGAATTTTAAATGTTAAACAGAAGTGTCCTTGACACTTTTTCATAAAATCTTCAATTTTCAATAATTTTGTATTTAAAAATTAAAAGGACGCCATTTTAAATTTTTGAATTGGACCAAGGCAATTTTTTTTACCTAAATTGGCATATTCTACCTTTACAAACATAGCAAGTTTCATAAAGTTCAGTCAAAATAATCCAAAGATAAAAATTTTAATAAAAAATTACAAAACAGTGGATATCTGAACGAAACTATGTTCTTCGTATTTTGGCACAAGGGATCAATTTGTAAATTTTGTTCCTACCTTTTTTGAACACGCTGTTTGTATAAATGTGTGTCGGAGGAAAAATTATCCGATTGTGATGACATTTGGTACAAACGTGTAAACCTACGTTTCTTCGAACAAATTCGCAAACCAGCGTGATCGGACCATGGGAACAGGGTTTTAGGCCAGATTGTAGGGGTAAAAATTGGGGTTTCTTATGTTTAAACCTCAAAACATGACATTCTCCAATTTATCTTTAAACAATTCCAAGATCTTGAAAAAAAAACAAAAATAATTTAGTATATTTGTACGTTTATAGGTTACGGAGAAAGTTCAATTTTTTTTTATTATATATTCCCATGTTATTCTTATTGAGAATACATAAACTGTTGTAGTTTGCTTGTTTATGAATATATTTTTATGAAACTTGGCAAATGTGTTTATTTTAAACTTTGCTACTACTGTATTATAAAAATAAAAAAAACTTGCTTTATTACTCTCCCTGTAGCAGCAAACCCAGGTACTCACGAAGTCTAATGTTATTGAAATAGATTTAATTTAAAATCAAATCAGGCAAATAGAAACTCACTTAAGTCTGCAGGTTTGCTGTGGTGGGGGTATTTTGCCAATTCCATGAAATTTAGAGACGACATCACAACCTGTGATTGCAAGGAAAATTAATAGGTTGATGCAGATCCCTGGAGGGAGTTGAAAACACAAAAAGCCGGAACATTTGTATTATTTTAATTATTAACGGCCGCCATTTTGAAACGACTTAATCAAACTCGACCATTGACAACCTGGGCTGAGATAATGTATTCAAGCACTTGTATGCCAAATTTCATTAAAATCTGTTCAGGCAATTGGGTGTTATAACCGATTCATGGCGACCCAGCATCCTTTTACAGCCGCCATCTTGATGACGTCATTATGGACGACCGAGGTCATTAAAAATTGGGGTCTGGGCAGTTTTGCGTTCAATGACTTCTATACTATGCTACCACCTCAAGTTGCATGTTCCCCGCCAGAACTGAAGTATTCTGCCACTTTATACAACCATACAACCACACTATATGCATTTTGGTCCCACAGGTGCGTTACATGAGAGTGTACTTTGACACTCGCCGTTTACGTCAATAATGCTCAAACATTGTTATATTATATATGGAAATGAAGCAGAATTTAAAGCTCCACATGTTTGTTGCAGGTAAAATTTGCATTTACTCAATAATATTGGCGAAAACCCAAAAAAAGTTAGAATATGTCTACTTTTATTTACATATTTTAAAATTTAATTTCTTTTTTCACTATTAAAAGTCATATTACTATTATTTAATATGACATTTTCTTGTAGATAATATTATGGCGAAGATTCTAAGACTAACTAGACTTTTCTAGATGGAATGGTTTGGGAACAATAAGTTTTTAAGTGGAACCTTGCAGTGTTTATAGATTGTCCGCCATTTTCCAAGATGGCGGATTTTGCTACAGTGGGAAAAGTTGGGAATTTTCACAAAATGTTAAGGGAAGCATACCTAACACATTCCAGTTGGTTTTGCTTTGTTATTAATTTTGCCGAGGTCAGGCCTAGTTTTATGCTACTGGTCTTAGACTAATAGATATTTCAACCACTGGCTTAATTCAAACCCCCCCCCCCCCCAAAAAAAAAAAAAAAACATTAAGTCATTCTCATTATGTTTTTTCTATATTTATTTTTTCTTTTAAAGCACTAGATTTTAACTAGTGGAAACAATGATAGGTTTCAAAATCTTAGATGTACTGAATATTAATACCCCCTTCTTGTATACAGGGTGTAGAAAAATGCAATAGACCAATATTTTTTAATTTTTATCAAACACCTTAATTTTTATCTTTGGATCTTTTTACAATGGAGTTTTTACTATTGATCCTCCATCACTTTCTATTACTCTTATTCAAAATTTAATGTAGAACACGAAAATGACATTATCTACTCAAATCTTTTTACAGGTAATTGAGAAATTGCTGTATTAAGTTTAAAAACATGGTTATTTTTGAAAAACTTAAAATAGTTCTTTGGGAAACCAATTTTTAGACTTGGAACCTCTAATATGCATCATCACACTTCATTTACTTTGTATTTTACACCAAACAATTTGTGTCACACTGAGTACCAATCACCATGTATTAAGTTAAAATATTCTGAATGAATTCAAGTGAGTTTTGAATAATACTTCAAAACTTGACCAGGAGAGGACTTTTATTGTTCTTTTGATTTTTGTCTGAGAAACTTTTTTCATAATGTCTTTTTATAGTGAAAAAACATTTACTGCGATGAAAAATAGAATATCTCATTTAAAGCTTTTGGAACTGTTTTAAGCTTTATTTTAATTTTTTAAATTTTTTTTTGTTTTTTGATGCTAGGCACGAGCCTGGGATTGCTTTTCACATTACTTCAGACTAGACCTAGGGGTTGCGGCATTATCACTTAGATCAAATCCATTGGTGATTTGGCAGGATTTGAACACGGGACCTCAGGGACCGTATACTATACATACTTACTAAGGTAATATAGTTAAATACTCACAGGCTTCACAGGAGAATTGAGATAGTGAGGTGGTAGACCACCAGTCCCAAAACTATCAGGTCCATTCTGAAACATCATAACATATTATTTGAATTTCCAAAATTATTAACTTTATCTCAAATCAGTTTGTCACGGCTAAGACAGAGGGATTGTCGGTTAGTTATCACAACAACCAGCAAATAACTATACCAACATTCTAAAGAAACTAAAATGTTGAAAAAAAAACTGTGAATTTGTATATTTAAAAGTGAAAATGTATTGGTGCTATAGATTCATAGCGGCAGTGCTTGATTTCCGTAGTTAGTAGGCCTACCAGAACTTAAATATACCTTAAGCTATAATAATTCCTTCCATCTTGTACCATGCTTCCCCCAGTAAGGAGTTCCCTCATATACAACAATAATAATAATTGTGCTAAGAGTTGAACAGAGATCCCACAAGTTTGCAAGTTCACACATAGTTTTAGATTTTGATTGTAGTTTTTAACACGTTGAGTGCGGGCATCATCAATAGATGATGTCCGACACTAGCACTGGTGGCGGACATCAGCTAAAGCTGACGTCATGCCACTCTCTCCACTTTAGTTTAGTGTGAGCTCAGCCATTGCCGGGGAACGTTATAATCGTTGTCAGCCTGTAGCTTAGATTATTTAAGCTAAGTCTGATGTAGGTTGGTACTAAAATTTCCCGTAAAATCCCGTCTAGCAATACTTTTGTCCCGGTTCCGGCAATTTTCTCTTTTCAAGCCACTTTACAAAGACACTGGCTACGAATCCAGGCAGTGCTGCTACCTTTGGGAGTTTCAGTGAACTACGTCCACTCTCGGGCTAACACAGCACAATCACCGCTGCTCTTTTTTTATTCGTCAGACTGAAATATTTGAATGCCAATTGCGTTCACCGATTCAGTTGCGCTGCGGGGCTTCGCCCGGGCCTCGCCGCCATTATCGAGCGCCTGTTTGAAGGTATGCCGCACTGAACGTGTTAACTATTAGATCCCAAGTGGGGTTGAGTCTGGACCCAGATGCCAGCTGTCATCAGGCTATCTAACAAAAGGTCAGCTTTAGATAATAAAAAAGAACAAAATCAACAAACATATCTTAAAGTTTGGACTGTTCCCTTACATAAAATGCTAATGACGGTAAACACACAAAATAAAATATGAACAGTTGGAAACTAATTTACATTCAAAAATAATTTTATTTTGGAGATTGAAGAGGATAAATTGTTTGAAGAAGGGAAAAGTGAAATCAATTCGTTTTTTAAGACTATGCCAGTTTCCTCGTAAAGGTATTTTCTATTCTAGCACCATAACACACAGCTACGATAACAATTCATTCAACAAAAACAGAAAAAAGTAAAAAAAAAATAGATAGATTTAATTTTCCACATTGAAAACATATTAGTTATAATTATTAGAGGTACAACAGTAGAACTCCATTAATCCGAATCAATTGGGACCGGACCCCATGCGGATACTCGAAAATTCAGATAATTAGATTTTTACTAAAATTCAGAGTTTTTAAAGAAAATTGGCGGAGTCATGCAGAGGTTTTACTATTTGTTATAGCTTGAGAAATAGTTAAACATATGTTTAATATGAAAACTAGGCTTATGGCTGCACTAAAATATAATAGAAAAATGAACAGGCGGAAACGACGTCTAGACGTACCTGTCATCTACTGTAGACTGTCGATTTCTGAGTGGTCAAAAGTAGTGGGGGTTCTTAACGGTCACTGGAATCTATTGTACTATTGTAATAACTAATGTAAGACTTTGCTTCCGCCAAATCATGTTGCCTCTTGCAAATACTAACTAAATATGTTTCTTCTGGATTTCCTTATAGGCTAATTTAAATAAAATAAATATTCCTTTTTAATTTATAACACTATTGCAATCGCAGAACGCATCTGTGACGATTTTGTGATTGGAAAATTTACGATTTACTGCGATTGAAGAATACGATTATCATTTCCATGACCGCGGGAGACAACGATGGTGTCAACATAACTTTCTGGATATTTACCATTTTGCCACAATCGCAAAAAAAAGTTACTGTAGTCGCGGGAGACAATGATGTTGTCAACACAGCTGTAGGATATATTTATCATTTTGCCGCGCTCACAAAAACAATATGGGGATGTTACCGTGATCTCGGGAGACGATGATGGTGTCAACACGATCCCGAGACAGGTTTTGGATTTTGCCGCTATCACGGCTTCTGTGATCTTTAATAACGATTCTTATTACTGTGGTTTTAAATTTTCAATCAAATTATTTCTGTAAGCAATCCAGATAATTTGCAATTCGGATAGTTTGAGTTTGGATAGTTGGGGTTCGGATGGTTGGAGTTCTACTGTATATTTATAACTTGGGGATTTGTGATTGACCGTACTCTGAATTCAGTATTATTGTACTTCCAAAACATTGTTATGCTTGCAAAATGGTATTCTTTTTACAAACTTCAACAATGGCCAACGGGCTGTGGTTCTTCAGATAAACTGTATCGTTTTCAGGTGCAAACAAGTTCCACTGCAAAAACATGTCTAGAGGTTCTAAAAGTACCTAAAGACTTTATGAAGAGAAATACAATTTTCAAGCATAGTAAATTAATTAAACTAAGGTCACTTACTTGAGGAAGTTCTTTATTCTCCTTTGGGATAAGAAGTTGTGGATCACTGCTGAATAGCTGAAAAATTCAGATAAAATTAATTGTTAAACTGTTTATCAAGAATTTAACTTGCCTGTGACAGTCTGTCAAAAAAGATTTGTTTTCTATGTCCTCTATGAAAGTTTCATGGTAGCAGATTATTACCTTACTGTTTCAGGGCCTTTGGGTAAATTCAGAATTTTTAACTTAGTATAGTGTAAAATACAGTTAGTTAATAATTTATAAGTAAAATATAATTTGCTGTAACGGTAAAAATTTACCGAGATCAGAAAACGAGCGTTCGTACGAATTCAAATGGCCCGCGCAGAGTCATTAGTTCTCCGAGCGGCCACGCACTGCGCTAGCGTCGCGACCCCTATAAAAGCGGCGCAGGGCAAGGCTCAGTCGGACGACTTGAGTGCTGGGCGAATAGCTAGCAACATCTCCCTGGTAGGGCGAAGGCGGAATAGCCCGGTAAATACACCAGTGGTAAAATAACCCTGGTAGCGACGAATACTAGGTGATAGGCTGAGGGCGGAATAGCTCTCGGACCCGCGGATATTACGAGACGATAGGTCGAGGGCGTAATAGCCCGGTAATTAGCCAGTGGTGAAATAACTCTGGTATCGTCGAATAGTAGGTGTTAGGCCAGGGCGAAATAGCTCGTGGACCCGCGACAATCGAATCGGTTAATTGTAAGTATAGTTGGTTTTAATTCCATAAGTGAAACACGGTATATCCATTAAGTAGAGGTTTTATTTTATTTTCGAAGTTAAGATTTTAGTTAATTACGACCAGTGTTTCACTCACGGAATTAACGCCAAATTACTAATTTGTTTAAATTAAGGCCTAACCCGGGCAGTGATGAATGTGTCATTTACTGAAAGCTGATGCTTTAACGACCATATCTGAGCCCATATTTTAAAAACTAAATACTATTATTATTACCACTAACCCTGGACTAACTCAATTAGATTAGCTATCCGAGGCCGACAGTACAATTTTGTCCCAGGATGAAATTGCACTTTCACATTGCATTAAAGGTTTTATAATTGTGTTAGCAAAACAATACTTACATTCTTGTAAGCATATAGTGCTGGGTTTTGTGCTTCTTCTTTGACCTGCAATAGCAAATATATAACAAAACAAAACAATAACTGTTTAAATGATGTTCTAGCTGATAAAGCTTATGCGATTGATTTATAAAAATATGTAAGAAATAGATTAAAGCAATGTTTCCCCAATATATTGTTTTTTTATAGGCCATAATGTCCATCCAAGACCATCAACATTTTATCCGCAACATTTTACAGGCAGAAAACAGTAGCCTACAGTTTTGAAATAGTAAGGCTCCTGCAATGACTTCCCAGCAGTAGGTTGTGTGGTATATTTTTGCCAGCCTTGACTGTTTTTTTGTGCTTTATGAAACTTTTCTAAAATTTTAATTTTGGACATTATGAGATAATTTGATGGTCTTGGATATGATCAAACTCGAGTCATTTTAATTAACACTCCTTAATTTATTTTTAGACATAATGGAAGATTTATTTTCTAAAAATCTTTTTTTGGACATACTGGGACTAGTTGGTAAGAAAATATTTTTTGCTGAGCTGTCAATAAAAAAAAGTATTTATCATGAGCCTTAAAGTTTAAAATAAAAATGAGCTATCAAGATAAAAATATCAAACTACTTACTTCTCTTTTAGCATGAGGAGTTTCATTGCTGTCAGGCTGAAAATACAAAAGCTAAATAATCAACTTTGTAGATAAGCATGAAAAAACTAAATTTAGTGCTGAATTCAACAGGTAAAATGGAAGAACACAAACTGCATAACCTAGAAGGTTCCATTAAAAATCAAGCTGATTTAGCTGATGGAACTAAATTTGAATTATAATTCCCTATTTATAACTCTTTACTCTTAAGAGCACCAGTGTTTATCAAACAATTATTCACAAACAAAAACCTGTTTACAAAAAGCTTGAATATTATTTTTTCGTAAGATATTTTTACAACCATTATTTTTGAAAATTTAGGGAAACTATTTTGAATGTTATGTAGACCTACAAACAAAATACGTTGCTGAAATGTATGCTAAATAAGTACTTACTTGAAATTGGTTTGTCTTTGCATACAGGAGCTGAAATAATCATGAATCATTAATTAATGCCTAAATCATGGACAAAAGATATCTATAATCTATAATCAATACCAAAACCTTGTTTTTACAACTTGAATTTAATTATTGAAAAGATTCTCTAAATTTTTTACAATAAAATCCAAAACAGTTAAATTTTTTTTATAAGTAATCCCTAGTTTAAAGTAATCACTCAAGTATTTACAAATATTTCAGCTTATCTTGCCCACTTAAATAATATAGAAAGGATGTCTATATTATTGATTTTCTAATTAATTATTGAACCTATGTATATCAAAATCATAGCCTAAAAATGATTAATAGTTCTCTTAATATTATGTTCTATACGGTACACTCTTTCAAACTTGTTAGGCAAAAAATAAGCATTAAGAGGTTTGCAGCCTCTTTTAATTTTGTATTTACCCATCTACATAGGCCTTGGGCCTGTGTGCGTGGTATTTAGCAAGGCAAAGAAGGGGTTAGCCGGTACAGTGCAAGGGTGAACTGTATACTGACTAAAAGAGATGGCAAGTGCCATGGACTCACCGAATCAGGCGCGCTAATTAATATACTTAAAATAAAAATAAAATTGTGAGAAATAACAGATTCATTAATTTATTTAAAAACAAGACAAAGAATCAGTTAATACGACTTGGATCAGGGTTTTTTTGTGGTTACCATTGAATTGGATACTTCACCTAGTGTAGCTATAGTCAAAAGTCAAAAGGATTTAATTTAGATATGTTTTGTAGGAGTGGGAAATTCACCTTGAACTCCAAACAGTTAACATATTTATTTTGGTACTTCTTCAACATATACACTACGGTAATGGCTGGATTATAGAATATGACTAACAAGGATTATCATTATCATTACCATTATGAGAATATACTCACTCTTCTTTCATTCAGGTATAATGGGTTGTAATTTTCTCTCCCTCTACCTTTCTGGAAAATATTTACCAACAAATATAACAGTAGTACAAGATAGTAGTTAATACTCTACAAACAGACCTATCAAGTGGCGGCTCATGGTGACTTGACTAATAGGAGGTTCACAATTAACGCTGACATATCCCTTGGGGGTCCAGGGGTGCCCCCGCCCCACCGGCAAAAGGGGGGGGGTGCCTTAAGTAACTTTGCATAATCTCATATAGGTATCATTAAAAAATGCTATCCAAATTGCCAATCATAAAGTAGAATTTACAAGTAATTTTGTACTTAAATCAGTAAAGTCAGTTCGCTAATTACATGATTTTTAAATGTTAACATGTAAAAAGCAGTAAATAAGTTTTATTTTTAATATTTTAAAAGTAAAATAGTCTACAAAACTATGATCAAATAAATAACTGTATATTCCAAAGCTATTGCATTAAAATTTAATTGAAAGAATTCTATTGTTTTCTACATACAAATCTTATATCCTGACTTGGGTGCCCTCCTTTCACAAAATCGTCCAATCGTACTGCCTGGAAAACAAACAAAATTGTTTTCTATTCATATAATTTCATTTTCAACATTATTTAATAATTCAAAACTAGAGGTCGTCCTGTGGTCGAAAACTCGACCAAAAGTATGTTATTTACAGTCTTCTTTATTTTCACCCCACACTGTAAATAAAACATGTGATTGGAATTTCTTACATTTGTTTTGATTTTCTGATTATGATTCTTTGTTATTTCGTCACCAGCATGGCAACCCATAAAACCCATGTTAATTTTATAAAATTTCAAATTAATTTTTTGTGCTTATTTTTGAGCCTATTTGAGTTATTAAAGGGATTCTGCACATCTACAGGAAAATATCTTTCTAACAGTATGAGTAGATTTTGCCTGCGATGCACACGAGCTGAGAAAAAAGGTTTTAAAGAAACATGCTTGCCTATTAATATATAGATAGTTTTATAAAATAATTGTTTTTCTATTAAACAATCTGACATCTGTTTGTAGTTTTTAATCAACTAAACAGGTACTTAAACTTGTCAGTTAAATTTTCAGTTACCAAGAATATGTATTTTTATCCATTTTGAGGGCAATGACAACACAACAGGCAAACAATTTTTATAATTGAAGGTTTTAAATTTGTTTCAATCAAACCCTCTTGTGTATAGGTACATATGATAAAGTGCAGTTATGTGCAATTATGTTTTTCTCTATTGGTAGGGCTGTATTTTTTTTAAAGAGGTTTTTGAGTGCCGCGGTTTGAAGTTAATTTTTTTGGTAGTAAGTTTTTACTTTTTAAAAGCATTATGATGAACATATACCATAACGATTAGTAAAAAAAAATTAAAACTTTCATGAGATTTTTGGCTCTTGAATCTGGGATCAGGCTTTAGAGGGTCACCGTTTGTATTGTTGGTATTTATAGGATAAATGTAAGGTCTTGAATAGTTATCAATATAATTTGCCTCTGTAAAAAATGAACCATTTTAGTAATTTGAATCCCAATCACTTACCTGTCCATTTTGCCTTTTGTCCTTTTTATCTTGTAACATTTGTTTTATCTGAAACACAAATAACATTTTCAAATTTGAAACAAATAATACAAAATAAATAAATAAAATGAAATGAAATACGTTTATTTATTCCGATATTATTACAGAAAGATAAATAAAAACAGAGAGAGATTAACTACAGAAGGACACAAAAGTCTATAAATACTAAAAAAAACAACATATTTTGACATGTTAAATTGAACCAAGCTTGTTATTATCCCTACATACAAGATACAAGATACAAGAACTTTATTGTTAGTAAAATACATAATATGGTACATTAGTATCTCCTAACTCGTTAATTAATCCTAAACATAAACATAATTTAACACAATTTAACTTCTTCACCTTATAACATATTTTAACATTCTATAATTAGTAAATTAAATTCATCTTCAGTCAATAGCCAAAATTCATCTAATGTGAACAAACAGAGCTTGATTTAAACTTTCTTCAACTTCTTTTTAAATAAATTAAGAGGGAAATTTTGAAATCGATTTGGTAGATGGTTCCAAAGTCTTGGAGCATAAAAAATACTTGACCAATGCTTGTCGCCTTATGTCATGCCTACTGATATGGATGTTACTTTTACCTCTAGTGTCATATGAGTCACATGTCGAGGAAAAATTTTGAAAGTTAAGTCAACATCATTTTTTTGGAAACAAAGGATCAATTAATAATAATAAAATAAATGAACACTCACTTAATAATTGTCATACTGGAATAATGAAAACAATGAGGAAGCAATGGTGGATGTTGAAATACAAATTTCAATTATTGATAGTTAATTTTTGTCTTTAAAAAAGGATACAAAACAGCTTTTAATAAGGGTTTCTGGCCATCAATGGGATGGGAATGTGATCATAAAAATCTTATTGTTTTTTTATCAAATAATATTCTAAGCTATTTCAAGTTTGTATACTATGTTTAACTGACATTTACCAATCTATTTTATTGACTCACCAAATCTCCACTGTTGATCCTCATGCCATCATCCTTCAAATCACTGATTGTCAACATCTGCAACAGTTGTACACCTGACATTTAACTTAATGAATCTACAATTGTCAATAATCAAATATAATGCAAAGTAACATCAACAACAAAATAAATAAATAAACAATGAAAAGATAAAATTCCTTTAATATAAATTCTTATTTTTGTTTTTTAACTTACTATCTTAAATTTCTAACACAGATTTGATCAAAAATCTGGGAAATAACTAGAATGAAAACTAGCTGTTACCCACGGGCTGCTCCACCCCGTTTTACTACATTAGTATTAATAAAACTATTGATTAGTTAAGTTAAGATAAAATAAACAAAACAGAATACAGTAATGGTAATACGAACAAATAATAACAGCTGAGGTATTTTTAACATTAGGTAAATGGAAAGTTCCCTTTGGAAAGCAATTACGACCTTATAGGGCAATTGATGAAAAAATGGATAATTTTGCGCAAGGTTTCTCGTCATGACAAACATTTTAAGTATATGGTTTATGGGGGTGTGACTTGTAGTTTTCTCAAAAGTTCATGGGTACTTTTGGCTTTATATATAGATGCCACATAAATGTTGACATAGTCAAAAAGTCCTCTACATATAATAATCAGAAGAAAAATCAATACAACAACAATCACTAGCATTAGTAGAGTAAACAAACATTACTATGATATTTGGGTCAAAGATGAAATTAGAACTCAAGTTAAATAAAAACAACCATCTATTTACTCTGATTATGTCAACCTCATTATCAATGAAAGAACCCTTGTTGGAGGGCATGTTGTCTTATCTAGTTTCAGATTGAAGACGTTTTATATAACTCTCAACAAACGCTTCAGTATCATTTGTAGTGTTGTGAGTTTCATACTAGTGACAATGAAACTGTGTATTTTGTTAGTTGTTTTCACTGTGTTTAAGCCAGGATTTTCCTCTATGGCTTTCAAAGACCTCGGTATAACTGCAGATATCAGCCGTATAGCAACTTCACTCAACGACATTTTCAAAGAATCCTTCGAGCTTATGACTGGCAGCCTGGGAAAGCACGGAGTTTACTATCTTCCAGAAATCAACGAAAAGGTGGAGTACAAAGGAATGAAAGTAGTATTTCATGCTTTCAACGGGTGGCTGCAAAACCCAGTGTTGAAGTCTTCAAAAACAATGTCATCAGGAGCCTTGAGGAAGTATAAAGTGAGTAACGCACTTGGAAAAGAAGTTTTTCTAGTTTGCGTCGAATGTTTCCAAGTGTACGCAGAATCAGTAAAGTTCTGCTATGAAGCGACAGGCGGAGGGAAGAACTCTTCAGGGGCAATCTCTACGGGTCCGATATCGTACGTGTTAAGTCTGCAAATCCGAGTCAGCCAACCAATAAGAAGATATAATAACGAAGATGAAGGTAATAACGAATTGGAAAACTGCAACGTCACCCTGGGAGAGAGAAGTTTTGAGGTGAGTGATCAGAGCGAACTAAGAACAGAAGTCAGAGGCTTGAGGTCACTCAACTTTCTAGCCAGCAGTATTGACGGATGGGTCAATGTTCACCTCAACTCTACTGTGAAAACCCTAATGGAGGAGAAGCTCCTGGCTTCATTGAATAAGGTGGTCACCAAACACGACATGTGCGACGAGTTTATTGTACTGTGAGAGATGTTGAAATTCGGATTTTAATATAGTTGCATTCTAATTGATAAGTAAAATGTATATATAACAATTTATTTGTTAATTTATTCTGTTCAACTCTATTTTCCCCATAAGACATGTCATAAAACCTTAAATAACAATAACTAAAAATAAATTGAGTTTTCCATAAATTCATAATATTAACTGAAAAAAAAAATGAAAAAGTAAATTACATACTTTTTAAATTTTCAGACAATAAATGCATATTGGATAATTTTTGTTTATTTCTAACAGATTTTTCTAGCTTAAGTGATCTGTATTTTTTATAAGTGGCCAAAACTCCTAGAAAAAATTATATCATTATGTATTTACACTAACTTAAATTATTTCATTTAACATAAACAAATGTAATATTAATTGTAACACTTCCAATCCAGTTAATATTGCTTTTTTGAACATTTATTGACATTGAACTATAAAAAACCACGATATTACTACCAGAATAAAACTGCAGTAGTTTCTTCAAATTCACACTCTTAGAAAAACTATCAATTAATATAAACCAATGCAACTTATATTTTTTTTATTAAAAATTTTGATTTATTCTCGATGCCAGAGAGCTGATGTCAATTGATAAACCATGTTTTGATCATTGTTTACTTGTTACTTTTCGAAGATAAAATAAAGATTGTAGAAAGAGGAGGGACAGGTTTCTGACTGGAAGGCTAACAAGTTTCATCATTCCTCTTGTTTCTACATGGACTAATAATAGTAACGCTGTTGCAGTGGCTATCACAGCTAAACTGAAAAGTATGGCATGGTTGGCCCTGTTAGATGTCACTAGATTCTTTTTTATACTGTCTTTCAAATTTTTGAGCATTTTAGGAGATGGTGGTTGAATTTAATATTGATTTGATTGTAATGGTTTTAATGAGGTAAATGGTTACCTAGGAACAAGTAAAAAGGGATTCTAACTATGAATTTAACATCCTAGTTATTGCAGTGGCGGTTTTAGGACCTTGTCAAGGGATGATCTGATGGGAGTTTGGGGAGTGTGGGACACACCTTCAAGAGAGGAGGACTTTCCATTATGTTCTTAGGACAAGATGTATGTTAAAGTTTGTTTTTCCAGGGTCCAATAGGGTTTAGTCTCTGTGCCCCCCTCCCCCCCCCCCCTGGAACTGCCACTGATTCTGTGTATTCTTTACTTCCCCAACTACAGTATTCTAGATGGTAGCAATGATTTGTGTTGTCATAGCTGATAACAATGTGAAGAACAATTAACTGCCTTGTCATACAGTTGTGTATGGCCTTCTACAAACTCCCTAAGCCACTTATGAGGATTTTTTACATTTTTACAAATTTTATGGACATTTCTTTTAACACTTCTGTAAACGTATTCGTCACTATTTTGGAATTAGGGGCTGATCCACTTTCCACTGAAATCTAATCATAGAACGTTATTCATACTTTGCGGGAGCATTGATTTCCCCTTACATCGGTATAAACTACTGACATTGTTGCATAGGGATAAGGACTAGCAACAATAGTAGTGGGGGAATTAAAGAACATGACAGTGGTATCTTGAACTACTCCCCTTGGCCACAATTGGACTTTGTTCTTAAAACATTCTTATTATTATTCTTGCGCTGACACAACAAACAAAAAATATCTCCATTCAACAATAAAGCAGTCTATGAATTAAAACAGTATCATAATACAGTAGAACGTCGATTATCCGAAGCCCGGTCATCCGAAACGTCGGTTAACCGAAAGGAAGAAAGAAGCAAAAATCAATAAAATCGCGCGCCAATCACGACTGCCTTAGCGCTACGCCACCGCACGGCTGCTAAGTGGTGAAAGTCTAAATATAGCTCAAAGGTCTGACCCTCCCCCTTCCCCCCAAACCATTCAAACCATTCCCTTTCCCTACTTCATTCAGTGTTGTTACGCCCGCTCACTTCGAGGTCATTGCACAACCCCTCCCTCCCTTCTATTGTTTTTCATTGCCAGTCACTTGTCAGTCGCCGGCGACTGCTTTGAGTTGACCTATTCTGTTGTAACAGCTAAAAAAATAGGTTAGGACAACTACCTCTTGCTTATTTCTACAATGTAAAAATATTTGTAGGTACTGTAGAATCTACAGTAGTAAATATTATCCAGTATTTCACGTACACACAAGTTACACTTTAACAAATATTGATTTTTTACCAATTTAAACCAAACTCGACTCGAAACTGCCGAGTTAAAAAATAAGCTCGAGTTTCAAGGCCATACTCGACTCGAATTTGAAATCTCAAGTACTCGCACATCTCTATAATTAATCAAATTTATATTATTGTAGGCTACAGTATCCACAGACGCGAAATCGGCAAATCGCCGCTATCTCTTCCCGTCATTTCCCGTTCCCCGTATTTTTCCCGTCAATGACCGATTATCCGAAAAATCAGTTATCCGAACAACCCCAATCCCCAATTAATTCGGATAATCGACGTTCTACTGTACAATACACTGTTGCTCCACATGACAAAACATTTGAGAAAGGTAAGTCTAGCCACTATTATCAATTACCAATTTTTGTATCCTAAACTGAATTTTTATTGTGATACAGTACTTGGTACCTATTTATTTACACTAATAAAATATTGAATCGTAACTTTGACAGTTCATAACTTACGTTTCTGTGTTTGTATAGAAGAGGGTTACGTCCTTCATTTTTATTTTTCTTATTATAAATCTCTGGCATCTACAAAAATACAAAGCATTTATAAACTTAAAATAACAAAATGTTAGTAAATAAGTTTAAGAGACTTAAATTTCAATATACATGTTACATTTTACATACAACAATATAGTGTATAAGTGAAATATAGGAAAATTGAGACGAAAATAGTTTACTCTTTAAAAACCTCTTGTATGAGTGACAGTGGTTACAGTGCAATCAAGTACAAAGGTTGCTGATTAGATCCCAATCATGCTCAAATCTGGTTTGAGATTATATTTGTCATTGGGATTGGGATTTCAATTAGTCAAAAGGATACCATTAAATAGTAACAATACAAGAGATTGGACTGTTTCCTTACAAAAAAACAGAAAAATAACCATAAAAGCCTTAATACACACACAATAAGTAATTTAAAGTTGAAGAAAATGTTTAACATGTATGCTATAAGGTGGATATGTAACCAGTCCTCAGATACCTCTGGTGAAGACAGGGGTAGTTGAGGCAATTCTCTGTTCTTCAGTCTGGAACTGATGTGGCACTTGGGAATGGATCCGTCCTTGCTCACAATTACAGCTATCACTTCAGCCTGCCACCAGACACACCATAGGAAGTGTTATGTTGGCAATCAGTAACACTTAAATGGAATCTTTTAAGCCTATTAGTGACTTAGAATTAATTTTCCCACCTTTTTTTCCTTCCCCTAGCAAATACCTGTTATCTAGATAACTGAAAATTGAGGGCCAAGATTTGAACATATACCTTCAGGAACAATGTAACACTTTCCGCCCCTTTTTCAAAGTTGAACAACAAAAATTCACTGCAGATCCAGGGTTTTCACGGTTGACAAAATTCAAGACTCATTCACAATTAAGGGTTTTCGTTTTCAGGTACAGAATGTGAACAGTTAACTGTAGGTTCTAGTTCAATTTAGTCTGGGTACGTGCTATAACCTCCTCAGAATAATTAACCTCTTGAACATCTTAAGAAAGTAATTATCGTTTAAGAAAAAATATTGAAAATTGTCCACACATTTTTTTTTTATACTTATATATTAGATTAGCCAATAGTTTAGTTCCCATTTTCAATCAAGACGTGAGTCTATCATATTATCAATCTGACTAATTGTTGAATAAAATAATATTGATTTGCATCACAGCACTATATATAACTTCACAATAGGTTTACTGTTAAGAACTGAAGGAAGTCACCAACGAATCTAGAATATACTCACACTATTTCTGGCCAATTTTTTCAGGTTTATCGGTAACTTGTCTAAAGACAGCTCGCCCAGGTTCAATTCAGGTTCAGGTTTCTGGGGTTTCTTTTTTGCTTCAAACATCTAATTTAACAAACACTTCTCATTAAAGGATGATTGGAACTAGCTTGAATTGGTTATGGTTGCTCAATGATGATTATGATGATGATGATGATGGTGGTGGAGGTGATGATGACGGTGGTGGTGATGATGATAATGATGATGCTAATTACAATATTTTACTGCTGAAAGACGGAATAAATTACTATCTGTGACATGGCTGATAAACCTTTTGATGAGAACATTTTAAAAGCATATTATAATGAATTAAAAACCTGGTATTGCAACAACACACATAAGTTCTATAACATTCTGTCTGGAGCCAAGAACACTTTAGATTGTTGATATATGCCCTACTTTGTCTTTGCCTGGATCAAACCTGATTTATATCCTTTTCTGGTAAAGACTGACTTAAGTGTGTTATTGATGCACTTTATTTTACATGCATGGTATTTAAATATTTCAAAAACTAAAAATCAAATCCATTAAAACTAGGGTGGTCTGCCGTTACACTTTAGACGCATAAATGAGCGAAGCATTATTTAAAGATTGTCAATGGCTAAAGCAGCTAACACCCTACAATATGTTCCCATTCAACAGATTCACCGTTTGTTTGCCCGATATTATTTAAGTTCTAAAGAATGACAAATTTATCTGATAGTTCATACTGTACCTTTGTAGTGAAACTGGTCATGATGACTATTTGCTTGTACTTTGTAAATGGGCTGTTTAACCTCTATGGTTATTGAATTAATATTTAACCATATGATTTTATTTACTTTTCTTTAATAATATTGTCTTGTATTAGTGTCTTCATTAAAACAGTTTAGTTTCTTTTGATCTTTTAATTCTTATTTAAATAAGAAATAGAACATGGCGCAGTCGAATGAAGAACCCGTATCCCTAAACATTAAGCCTCCTGAAGCCTTTTCCTTCAATCCTCACGACTGGAAGACATGGAAGACTCGTTTTGAGAGGTATTATTCCCTTAGTAATTTAGCTCTACATTCTGGAAAGCATCAGATTGACATGCTTATCTACTGTATGGGGGAAAAGGGAGAGGACATACTTAATTCATTCAGTTTAAATGACAATGACAAATCTAATTTCAAAGCTGTTATACAGAAGTTTGACGATCATTTCCTTCCTAAAAAGAACTTAATTTTTGAACGGGCTAGGTTTCTAAAACTTACACAAGGTTCCATGCCGATTGAGAACTTTATCACAGACCTTCACAATCATGCAAAAAACTGTGATTGGGGTCAAATTGAAGAGGAGATGATTCTGATGGTTTTGATTATTGGTATGCGGGACGAAACACTAAGTGATCGTCTTCAACTTGAACCCGAATTAAAACTAAACACAGCTATAAACACTATCCGTAGATCTGAAGAACTATCAAGACAGAAACAAACTCTTAACTTGACTGACATAGCATTAATAAATAAAAATACTCAACATTTCATTAAGACAAACATTATTCCCGATAAATCAAACAATGATCAAAATTTTAAGCGGATTAATGACAATAAAAGCCTGTCCCATGTCGAAAAGAGATGTTTTTGGTGTGGTTCGACAGTTTTACACAAAAGATTCAACTGTCCAGCTAAACAATACAAATGTGGGTTTTGTAAAAAAGTTGGTCATTTTCCAAATGTTTGCAAATCAAACAAAGTCAGTCAAATTGAATATGATGATACTGACCTTGAAACACCCATTGAAAATGTTTGCTCTCAGTACATAGACCCTCAAACATTCATTGGCATTGTAGGAAAAAACTTGCGTGATGATCCATGGTCTGTAGTGTTAAATATGAATGACAGTGATGATGTTCTTTTCAAAATTGATACAGGAGCAGACGTAACGATTTTGCCTTCCGACATTAAACTGAATAAGAAAATCAGGCTCACTCCCACGTCCAAAACATTTAGTGGCGCAAATGGTAAAGCTCTGTCAATTTTAGGAACTGCTACTGTAAAATTATCACATAATCACAAAACATGTTATGAGACTATATATGTTTCTAAGGGCACTTCCCAGCCACTTCTAGGTAAACCTGCAATAAAAAGTTTGCAGTTACTTGCTCGAATCAACGAAATACAGCCATCCAGTAATGACTGGTATGACAGACACCCCAAACTGTTTGAAGGCTTAGGTTCCATTGATGTCAAATACAAAGTAGAACTGAAAAATAACGCCAATCCATTTGCAATCAACACGCCTCGTCGGATTCCTCTTCCTCTTTGGGAATCTACTAAAGAAGAGCTTGAAAGAATGGTGTCAATGGGGGTGATCGCTGAGGTACACCATGCCACAGACTGGTGCTCTCCAATGGTTGTTGTGCCAAAGAAGGACTCTAACAAAGTTCGCATTTGTGTAGATCTTACTAAATTAAACAGATGCGTCAAACGAAGATACTATCCTATTCAACCCATCGACATAACACTTGCCCAAATCTCAGAAGCAAAATGCTATTCTAAATTGGATGCTAATAACGGATTCTGGCAGATCACATTGGACGAAGAATCCCAAGATTTGACAACGTTCCTGACACCGTTTGGACGTTTTAAATTTCTGAAACTACCCTTTGGAATAACATCTGCACCAGAAGTGTTCCAAGAATGCGTGAATCGAACCCTTAAAGGTCAAATGAATGCACTTGCGCATATGGACGACATAATTGTTTGGGGGAAAACTCAACAAGAACATGAAATCTTACTGCTCAACTGAATGGCCTGATAAAACTAAGATTCCCGATAATCTTAAGCCATACTTCACAGTTCGGGATGAAATCTCTTTTTGTGACGGACTATTGCTTAGAGGAGAACGTCTCATAATCCCGACAACTCTTAGACAAGAAATGTTGACAAGAATACATACAGGCCATCTAGGCATAACGAAATGTCGACTTAGAGCCAACAATAGTATGTGGTGGCCAGGAATGTCACTTGACATTGAGAAATTTGTTAATGATTGTCCCAAATGTACTGAACATAGAACACAACATCATGAACCCCTTTTGCCCAGTGAGCTTCCATCTCGTCCTTGGGAAAAGGCAGCGATTGATCTCTTTAAACTTGAAGGAACATGGTTCGTAGTAATCACTGACTGTTTTTCACGTTATTTTGAAATAGCTACATTAAAGAACCTGTCAACTGCTGAAATAATCGAAAAATGCAAATCTGTATTCTGCCGTCACGGTATACCAATTGAGCTACGATCTGATTGTGGTACACAGTTTGCTACCAGATACACTGGTCTTGAAAACTCTGAATTCAAAAAGTTTGCTCAAAGCTATAACTTTAAACTTGTGACGAGCAGTCCAAGCTACCACCAAAGTAACGGTGCAGCTGAAGCTGCAGTCAAAATAGCGAAGAGTGTACTAAAGAAAAACAAAGACGACCCATATTTAGCCCTCCTAACCTACCGCAATACACCTCTATCCACAAGTGGATACAGTCCTGCTCAGCTAATATACAACAGATCACTGCGAGATAACCTGCCTGTTTTACCTAAAAAACTTGAAATCAAACCCGATCTCTCTCAACTAAAGGAAAAAGAAGATACTTACAAAGCATCTTACAAGAGAAACTACGATAGGCGCTACGCTACAAAAGAACTTCCATCGCTGCCTGTAGGTAAAAAAGTATGGATCCAAGACCTAAAAAGAGAGGGTATTATTATCAGCTTAGGACAAGAGCCAAGGTCATACTGGGTTAAGACAGGAAACACTACGTTGAGAAGGAATCGACACCACCTTTTGCCTTACAAAGGTAATACAACCAAACCGAACAATCCTATTCCTTTATCCATCAAAGATACAACGTCAGATCCTCTGCCATTTACTACTGTTACTCAAAACAACTCTTCCCTATCAAATAATGCTGAAAGAACAACTACTACACCATCTAGAATAACTCAAGATAAAAGTAAACCTTTTTCACGATCAACTACTCCCAATCAAGAAGCTGCAATAAAACAATCACCAAGAGGCAGAATTATAAGACCTACGAAACGTTTTCCTGACTAAACTCTGAAAAGAAACTCAAAGGGAAAGATGTTTAACCTCTATGGTTATTGAATTAATATTTAACCATATGATTTTATTTACTTTTCTTTAATAATATTGTCTTGTATTAGTGTCTTCATTAAAACAGTTTAGTTTCTTTTGATCTTTTAATTCTTATTTAAATAAGAAATAGAACATGGGCATAGCAGGATGTACTCGTGCAATCAACATTTGTTCTACAATCGTCAGGTCAGTTAATTCGTTCGGGACACTTGACTCATCCATATTATTTAACGCCGTGAATTTTTAGCTATAGTTATTATATTATTTATAGTTGCATTTGAACGACAACGTGAACAAATCGGTGATTGGTTTGAAGCTGTTAGTTGTTGGCGATGACAGTTAGTGCAAGTATAAAATTGTAGTGCATCTAATTCATGTTGGAATTGATTAGCTAACTGCCTATCATTATCAGCTTCTTCCGCAACTGCTTCATCTGGTTCTTCTTGTTCACGACGCCACTATCTTACAATATTTACATTATTGGTGCGACGACCAATATTACGACGTGGTCTTTGAGCCATGCTCAAAACAAATATAGCAAAACTGTTACTTCCATTGATAAACTAACTTTAACCTAGGATGAAAGTAAACATTGAAATGTAAACAAAACAGTTACAAACAATTAACATATGTTTATCTTAATTAAATTAAACGAGATAACCCCATAAGTCATAAACCCAATATAATTTTTCTTTCAACTTACATTAAAATAACAAGCGAAATTGTGGACCCGTAAAATAAAATCCAGAAGGAAATTTGCAAATAATTTTTACCAAAACATTGTGCTCAGTATGCTTTAGCTGTTGGCCAAATTTCATATCAATTGGTCAAGCCATTACATTCTGATGCTCTTACAAAGAAGTTACAAAGTGAGGGAAAGTGAGCTACGCTCGCTTCGCTCAATGAAAACAAATTAAAATATATAAAAACTACTCCAAATATTTAACAAACTTCATTGAAATACTTACATTTCTATGAGCATATAATGCAGGGTTAAGTGCTTCCAATGGAGCCTGAAAATATAAATAATACCACTTACTCATTAACATTTACATAATTACTATTTAAGAACAGACTAATGATAAATATAAGTTTGACTATAGTTAGAAAATCAAACTTGTAAATGAATAGGCTTTTCTAGTAATAAATCGGAATTACATGATTGAAGATTTTCTTGCTTGAGTGGGAGCACACAAAATTGGACACAATTTTAATTAAATAAATGGGTTTTTATTGAATTAAATAATAAATGTTAATTACAATAGTTAAGATTAATTCATTTATAGTTTACCAAGAAATTTAGCTTAAGATGTTGTATCTTATTTTTCTTAAAGAAGCACTGTACACTGTCCTAGAAAATTATTTTACCATGTGCATAAGGTTACTGGCTGGTATATTTTTGTATGAACTTACAATTGGCTGGATCAGTCATAATTTAAACCATATGACAAAAATCTATTATAATACATTTGTTTAATCATATAGGCTAACATAGGGTTAAAATACACACCTAGTGGCGTCTTCATCTTAAATAATTGATAATTGATAAAATTAGGCTACTCACACTGTCCTCTTTGTTTTGCAGCTCTGTTTCCGTCAGTTTCTACAACAGTAAATACAACAATTAAAGTTCTGTTTCTACAAATAAATTCATGCAGAGAAGCATAGCTGCCGTCCGCTTCTAAAACACACATAAAATCAACAAAGTAAAATATATAAATAAAAATATTTGACAAACAGCAAATATTAAAAACAAATATTTATAGTTTTAGGTAAGGGGGGGGGGGGGTTAATGTCTCAACATGTCCTTTGTAAATGATAAAACTTAAAATAATAGTAAAATGCCTTTCCAGTCATTTGCAAGAATATTACAAACTTTTCATACATACTCCAGTCGGCCGCCATTGAGCTAAACTTATGTTCTTCAACCAAGCCTGTAACAAGGGAAATATTAAAATACCAGATATAATCACACTTACAACCCTAAACAACATAAGACAACAATAATACAATAATGCAATATCATTATGTAACCAAGCAAGTACACACAAATGTTTGTTACTCGGAGTAGAATTTAATATAATTTTAATCATGGTAGAAAATGTTATTGAAAAAAACTAACTTGAAATCAAAGTAAATACAAATAGTAATATTTTTCAAATTTCGTGTTTTAAATAGGTAGGGCCTACTAAAAATTTTTGAAAAAGAAGATGGCTTAAAAAAGTCATACTTTTAAGTAAATACACACAAATTCAATCCAAGAGGGATAAAGTGTATATGTGTGAAATAACATGGAAACTTAAGTTAAACGCATCATAGGAGTACTGGCATTGATTACTTTTTATTGATTAATTTATTGATTTTGTATTTATTTATTATTTATTTATTTATTTTTATTGATTTTATTTATTGATTATTAAGAGGAGTAACTTGTTAAAGTGAAAAAGTGGTTAAAATCTTAAAATGTTTTAAAAATCTTACTTGTTTTGTAAGCCTCGTAGTTCTTGTTCCACCCTAAAAACAAATAAACTCATATAAGCTTATGAAAATACTTATTCAAACCTACCAATCCTTTATATTAAATAAATCCTGAGATGTAACCAATTTAGTATTATGGTTATATAAGTTCTACATACATCATTCTCAATTTGACTTTACAAATTCCACACATTTAACAGAATATGATAGTGTTGAAAAGTTACAGATACAGTAGAACTCCACCAGCTATCCAAATCAATTGGGACCGGACCCCATTAGAATAATCAAACATTTTGATAATTGGATTTTTACTGAAACTCAGAGTCTTTAAAAACAGGCCAAGTAATGCCGAAGTTTTACAATTGCAATTGCAGAACACGTCTACGATAATTTCGCGATCGGAAAACGTACTCTTTTGCAGAGATCGCAAAGTAAGATTATGATTTTCCATACCCCAGGAGACAATGGTGGTGTCAACTCGACCGTGGGATATATTTATCATTTGGCGCAATTGCAAACAACGATGTTGATGTTACCATGACTGCGGGAGACGATGAAGGTGTCTACGCAACTGTGAGATATGTTTATCATTTTGCCGCAATCGCGGTAGACAATGATGGTGTCAACACAGCCGTGGAATATATTTATCATTTAGACACGATCGGGAAAAATGATGAGGATGTTACAATGACTGCAGGGGACGATGAAGGTATCTACACTACCGTGGGATGAGTTTATTATTTTGCTGCAATCGCGGGAGACGACGATAGTGTCAACGTCAACACGATTGCGAGACAGGTTTTGGATTTTCCCGCGATCATGGATTCTGCCTTCTTTAACAACAAATCTTATTACTGTGCATTTAAATTTTTTCTGTAAGCACTTTTAAAATTTTATATAAAATTGATTATTTGTATAATCGGCAATTTGGATAGTTGGAGTTCCCAAAGATTTGAAATAACAATCAATTACAACTCACAAGAGGAGTAGGACTTGCAGTTCTTAATAGCCTTTCCCTTTCATATGCTTCAATCGGATCTTTTTCATCCAAAAACACAACACTTTCAGATTCTGGGTACATTGACTGCAATACCACAAACACACTGAAATCTTCATTTACCTTATTTCTCAAATAATTCTATCAGTTTATCTTTAATAAACACTGTCAAACAGTCAAGTTTGTAACTAATTCATGTTATAGCTTCACACTATACCAACTGAATAAACTTAAAAAAATATAAATATTCAAATTGGAGCAAGTAAACATATCTTAATCATGACATTATAAACAACCATTGTCAACAAATACCTACCATGCTAAAGTGGTGGCCGCCAGGCAAACGAAAGCTTAACATCTAGCAGCATCTGTGAAACTCAACGAACTTACGTCACTTTCAACAAATCACGTTAAACAAGCATTCAGGACATGTTGAGACAAGTCACAACACGCACAGTGCATTAAGCTTTCGTTTGCGGCAGCAAGAAAAACACACACAGAATGTTGAAGAGGAAAAATTGTAGGAATAGGTAAATTTCCAAAGACTAGGCAATGTGAACCTTAATGCACTGTGACAGTGTTGCCACTAATAGGGATAGAAAAAGTATAAGAAATGTTGCTTATGGTTTATAGAATTATAAATGTGACATTATCATATTTCTAGTAGTTTTCTTCATCACTAAGAGCAAAAGTGGCTCTTTTTGGTATGCAATTGTGTCTTACAAGAGAGGCGCAGCCGAGCTTGGAAGTAATATTAAGTTAAGTACCAAAACCACTTTGCACCATGTGATGAACAACTATTTTCATCATACTGTGGAAATAACCTCCTAATCGTTACAAAATTAGACTCCATCATGTGAGGTTATACTAAGACGTCATCAATGTTTACATTTCTGTTGTTTACAAACATAATTTAAAAACTCTTTATAGTCCATTTGTCTCTATGGGGATTAGCAGCGTAACAAAATTTTGAGGTTAGCAAACCGAAAAATTTACCATATGTTTTTTCTGTTCCCTATTCAAAGTTACCCAAATCAACGATTTTGCAGACGATTTCGAGAACTAAAAATGGCTGCTTTCTGGACAGTCTGATGAAAACAATTATTATTTGTGTGTTGTTATAACTTTATTTTTTAACTATGATAAAATAAAACTAGGCAGTTCACAATCTCTATGAACAATTTTGTTTTTTAAGAGAGCATAGGAGCAGTCATCAATTTATGAATATTTTGTTATTTAACTGCAATTTATATTAAAATTGAAAACTTAATTCATTTAACATTATTATCCTTAGTAACTCCTGTTGAATGAAATTTACTCAACATTAAACTTATGAGTGATTGCAGAACAATATTGCTATGGTGTAAAACACATTTAATAATGAGTATGCACAATTTACTTTGTGAAAGTGTTCTTGATACATAACGTGTATATTTTAAAGCCAACCACTTCCTTCTAAGACTGAAATACTTTCTACCAACTAATGCAACCTTAAAATAGTCATTCTGATCTTAAATGACTAAATATAATTTTATAGCACTCATACGAGCAACATTATTAGATTTGCAGACTACTTACATAAGCAGTTTCCTTAGCCGCAGCAAGATTTTGGATTGATGAACCGACTTTCAATTCATCTGAGTCCAACACCTGACTAATTGACTCAAGAGACTCCAAAGATCCTGAGACGGCAGCCTAATGGAAAATGGTAAAATTAATCTGGAATATTGGTGGTAGATTTAACAAAAAAATGCACTCTTTTTGTTACTCAAAATACACATATCTGCTACAATTACAATAAGGACAAAAACATATATGCAGAAACTTTATTGGATGTTAAATAATTGCAGTGAAAACAATGTTCAAAATCTCTTATCTAAAAGAAAGATCCATGAGAACAAACTTGCCAAGTGCATTATCATTCCAGCTATTTTCCTGTTTGAAATTGTATTTACTTTTATAAACATAATGATAATTTCACACTTTGCATTAGGCTTAATGTCATCATTTCAGTTACTATGTCTGTTTCACTGTTCATACACTACATTCAAACCTCTATAAGATGAATTTCAAGGGGTGGGGGAAAACACATATTATCGAGGTATTCTTAATAAAGAGGTACATTTTATCGAGGTTTCATACTGCTGTTATTCGTCTTATAGAGGTTCCTCCTCGGCACATGCAAATGCCAAACAATGATTGAGGAAGGAAGAGGGATGGGTGGGGGGTTTCATGTTGAGACAACTTCTATTTGTTTTGAAAACTACTTACTATGGAGGTTGAAATCATGCAAAATTTGTCTTATAGAGTTCACATTTGTCTTTGTAGAAGTTTTGTGCTAAGCATATTCGTTGTATAGAGGTTAATCAGTCCTAGCCCATGCCACTAATAAATTCGTCTTACGGAGGTGTTTAGCCTAATTACTATGTTGTATAGAGGTGTTTTTAGCATAATGAAAGTTTCAAGGAGATTGGAAAAAATATGTTTTACCAAGGTTTGTACTAACGGTTTTTGACTGTATATGAATTTCTATTGAGTTAAAATTGAACTTTGCCCTGAAAGCAAATCTCACAATGATCAAACTAATCCAACTATTTGTTGTTCAATTAAAAACTACAGCCTATGTGCTATTAATATTAATTACAGTAGTTAAACGATGATACAATGATAACTACTTTAACATATTAAAACTATTGCAATGGTAAAGTTTTCTTAAGTTGACAACAAGTTAACACAATTTACATGATATATCAAGACAATGGCCTCAGTCTGAACATTAATCTATTCCCTCAACACTAAATTCTCACACAAAAATCAGAAAATTACCTTGCGCTTTCTAATACGATGGTTAATATTGTCAACTCCAATACCCTGTAAAATAAACAAATAATTTTAGGACAGTTTAATAATACACAACAAAATTGTGAATTTTACATAACATTACTGTTTAAAGCTTATAAAAAAGTTAATAAAACTTCTTTAAATGTCAACAAAATAACCATACAGTAACCCAGAACAAACAAAATAAGTATCCAAGGTAAACATTCTTTAAATGTAAAATTCTATTAGGATATCCAAGGGATCTTTCTACAACCAAAATGAAAAAGAATAACAAACCTTTTTGTGTAACATTGGTAGATTCACATTCTCATGGGATACCTAAAACAAACAATGCAAATAAAAATCCATTTTTATATTAACTGACCTGACTAGTATTACAGTTCTGTAAAACCTTGTTAAAACATCTTGTAGTTGTACCCTCACAAAAAGTAAAGTATCATGTCTAAACATTTACTCATATCTTTCAGACAACATATTTTTAAAATTTATTTAATTGCATCAAACTGGTTTTATTTTGTTTTTTAGATGTGAGGCACGTTTCGCTATAATTGACATATTTTTCAAACTTAAAATCTGTTTAGGTTATAATGATAAATTGCTTATTGTTTGTTGTTTTCTGCAGTTGTTAATACTGAAACAAAATTGATTGCTATGAAATTGGTATCACTAAAAGGAATATATTTATAAATTATAACATAAAGTAGCATTCTGATATTCCTCTCATTTAAAAAAGAAATACGAGCATTTGCATATCCAAGCGAAATCATTTCAATCAATCCAAAATGGTTTTTAGTTTGAAAATAAATTTGATGATGAGAATTAAATCTAATGTTTTTAATGCTTTATTGATTAAATATTGTTGAAGCTCAAATATTGTTGAAGCTCTTACACAAAGGAAATAAACTTAATTAATATGTTTTACAATTGTTAGAAAACACTTTATAAATAAAGCACAACGCACTTACAGAAGGGTGAAGCGGATCAAGATGTAATCCTTGGTGGCTCTCCACGGCTTTTTGGTGCTGAAATATTAAATATTTAAATTGTAATGGGTAACAAGCTACTTCACATCTTAGTATAAAATCAATTACAAAACTATCACTTAAAATTCAAATATTATCAATGAGGAATAAGATATAAACTATCCAAAAAATAGTTTGAAATACCTAATAATAACTACTGTAATCACTTGTTTACTTTAAAAGTCTAATTTATTAATTTAATTCACTGCTTTTGCGGACGGACGTATTTGAAACTTTAACTCATACACTTTAAGTTCTTTCAAGTTTTAACCTTTTCGATCTTTGGGAAATACAACTTCATGCAAAGCTGAGTTCAAGAAAAAAGGGTTGTAGGCTTAAGTGTACTAAATACGTTGATAAAAAACTCTGCATTAATTAATCATCAAACACAAGAGACATTATATCAATATAAATTACAATATTAAATTTCACAATTTGAAAATTATTGAATCCTTTTAGGAAAACAACATATTTTTGGACATACCTCTAAAAGAGCCAGATGGTCTTGAAGTCCATGGTAGTTCTGAAACAGTTAAAGATAGAAATAAAAACTAAAAATGAAAAGGGAGACTAAATTAATCTTTTTTACAGTAAAAAGTATACGGATCAAGTTCAGTTGAGAGGAACTAGTAGATAATATTTTAATTATTTAATGTCTAGAATAGGTAACTTTTTCTAAAGACTACCTACTAGATCTAAGTCTAAATTTTTTTTACATCAAGTAAAATGATAATTTTTGTACTCACATTGATCATTTTGTCTTCTGGATGAAGACTGTATTTCGGGTTGGTGACACTTACAGCAAGTTTTTTGGGTTCCTGATGGAATATTATTAGTTAATTTAACTTAAAAATGTTCAATAGACAATATACAATAGACAATAGACAATGTTCTTTATTTACATATTCGTGGGAGAATAGGACATTCGTCAAAAAAAAAAGATTTTAGAATGTCAAAGTTATACAATGCTCAAGATTTTTTTTATTTTTTTATTTTTTTTATATTTTTTTATTTTTATAATAAACACAACTGTCTATTTGAGAAATATTTTATTATAAAAATATTAATATCATGGACGAAATTTCAATTGTTTCTATGCTAGCCACTTTTCATTACACATTTTACTCTTTTCTTTAAGTAAAACTGTTAGAAATACCAAATATTTCTCAATTTTCAAATGTTATTTAAATGTTCTAAAAACGACATATAATTTCAAATGAAACCTTTTAAATCGATAAGTAAAGTACATTCATTTATATTTAAAAAATATATACATCACAAAAACAAAAACAGTAGGTTTGTAACTTACCGGTTTAATTTTTTTAGCAATTTGAGGTACTGGTATGGGTCCAGTGGCCTGAAAGAAAACATAAATTGCCAAATTGGTAGTATTATTGTGTTAGTTTCACTATTATTGAATTAAATTTAACTACATCATTCCACAAATTATTACAAACATGAAAACTTAAACTGTCTCCTTTAATGATCTCAACTTTATTTTTACTGAGGCGATGTGGTAAAAATAGAGATTAAATATTATTTAGTGGAAAATTTCCAAATTTTTACTCTTAGAAGAAACAGTCTGTAAAGAACTCCAACTTGATCCTTTATTACACGTTAATTAAATAAGTAATTAATAAAGTAAGTTCATGCATCAAATGTCATTAACATTGTTAAGAGCTCTTAGCAAGCAGACTTTTCAACTGATTTTGTATCTGTTGATAAACATACATTGCTTATTGATATTATAGGTTTGGTTTCAGAAATTTTTCCCTACAGGCAAGGAGCTGTTTTCCTACTTGAGTAATCTACCAGGATTTTTCCAACCAGTAGGCCTTCACAAGTTACTGATTGCAGGGCCAGGGATAGTAGCTAGTAAGGGCTAGACCACTCTTTTGATGTTTGGCAGAAGCCGCCGCGCCAGGTAGTGGGGGGGGGGGTCGGCGGCCGCGTGACGTCACGTGGTTGCCTCGCCCAGCGCTTCTGTAATGAACCCCTTCTTTGTTTGCATTCATTGCGCTAAGTATGTAGTTAAGTTTTAATGTTAGCTGTGGTTAGAAGTGTTCTGAAGTCAAATAATATGTGACTGACTGATAGTTTGTTTATGATTTTCATCTGTTTCCTATGGAATTGTTGTTTGTAAAATCCCGGATAATGTGGTACTGGCACAGAGATGAATCGCGATGGAATACCCGATGTGATCGATTGCAAAGACTGTAAAAGTAAAACAGAAATAAATGAAAAAGTACATACTGAAGTAGTAGTTTTAAAATCGCAACTGAAATTAGCTAGACGAAAAAATAAAGTTTTAGCTATCACAAAACGTAAGAATATCTTGCAGCTCTAAAAAGCTAAAGAGCACGATTGAAATTGTCGGTGTTTAGAAAGTATGTATTTTGAACAAAAACTGTAAAAAACAAGTAGCTATAACTAAGTGGGCTGAGAAAAATATGACTCCTATGTAAATACAAAACGAATAATTAATGATTAATAATTTACTATCTTATTGAAAATTAGTGTTTTAATACATTAATGCGTATCTTAAAAAAGATCCTAAATATCATAATATCACGATAAATTATCATCCTATTCATATAGAACATTTGTGTGTGTTATTTACATAATGCATTCATTCTGAAGTAAACATAAAATACAAGAAAATACTTCCTTTGATTTTCTTATAACAAAACAGTTCAGTATGTTTTTTATATATTTATGTTATCCAGCTACAATTTATTTATTTTCAAAATACACTCTCAATCTTTTATTTAATTCATATTTGCATATAGAGCCGTCTTGAAATACGTGAGCTTGACTAATACAAAAGTTTACTTTATTGAAATTATTTTATTCTTTTTAGAGCGTTTGAAGTCGGTTGTATTTTTTTTTACAAGAATAAATTATTTTATGATTTTCAGTGACTGTATAATTTGTTATATATTAATTATTTGAGGTTTTTCGATAAGCAAATTTTGTTTGAAACAATCAAAAGTGTCACAGAACAATCATTAGTTTTAAAACTGCTTGAGTTTTACATTTTTACAAAAGTTTTATTTTAAATTTTAAAAAAGTATTTTAAGAACATGATAGGAAATTCTAATTAAATATGTATATCACCACCCAAATATTTTTTTTATATTTTAACCTAATTTTAGTAAGCTCGCCTTAAAAATTTTAAAAATAAATAAACTTGAATATAATTTTGAATAGAAATATTACTATTGAGAAAGGCTAAATTTATGTTTTTTTATTTCGAGAAACCCTTAAGGAACACAAATAAATTGTTTATTTGGTTAAATATTTCATATTCATTTCAAAAACATAATTAAAGTAACCACATGTTCAAAGTCTAGGACAGTTTTTCGTACTTTGATCTTCAATAATAAATAGTAAATAATAATATTCATACGCACAAGTTACACCACTCCATAGACAATTTAATTTCCTTTCAAGAATGCCAGAGGTTAACAACATTGGTCTTTATATTTAGCGGGAATTTTAATTCGAAACAGGGCGCGCGCGCTACCGAGCATTGCCATCATACTACAGGATCTTCCCAGTTATGAAGATGATTTGGAGTATGTATTAACTGGTGACAGCTTGAAAATGAACCTTTAGGTTCGAAACCTGAGTCGCTGACCTAAACCCAGATCACCGACAGTACTACAGGTATTTAACCTTTTATTTGTAATGTACGTGAAGGCTAAACACGTTAAAAGATACAATCTGATCTTTGGTTATCTGACCTGTTATGAGATCCTCCTAGTGGGTGATGGTTCCCTAGCCCCTGTCAGATATTTAGTGCTAAAGACTTCAGACACGTGCTCATGACTGTACTTTATGGTTGTTTATGCAACTGCATACCACAAAGTTTGGTTAATCTCTATTTGCATACCTCTCTGCTACCCCCAATCTCCTAGACCCATTGTTAGATTATTAATTTCATGGCCTGTGGCTGAGTTGTCAAGTATTGCTCTAATCTATATTTATTACAGCTCCAGTTCAACTTTGCTGGCCTTCAGAGTTACCAAAATTTAAATCTTACCTTATGTTTCATCCCTGCCCCAGCTTGGTTCCTTCCCTTGCCAAACCTATTGTCTCCAGGAAGGGTGGGTGGCTGAAAAAAAATAAAAGTTCTCAAACAATTTTTTTTTTAAATATCTGACAACATAAAAATGTTACATGTTCTTAATTTTTCCTATTTGTAACAAATTAAAATTAACAATCAACTATATGGAAAAGTATAAATGAAGCCTAGCCTAGCCTCTGAATAGTGGAGTGCCATGATTGAACTTTTGGGGGAAACTTTTTAATAATGGCATTTTACTGTTTTTTATGGTTTAAATTATTTTTGTATGTGTATTTTCTGTATTTTATACGATGCATCTTTAGATCGTCCAAGTCCAAGGACTTAATGTCTTCGTGAAATTGTAAATGCAGCCACCAAGAACTAAAAGAATCACTTGGTAGGCAAGGTAGGTTAATCTTTTTAATGTATATTAAAAATATTTCTTTTTCAGAATAAAAAACACTCACCGGTGTCCAACCAGGACTTTCATGAATGGGAATGCCGTTTTCATCGTAAGCTGTGTCCTAAAACAAAATTAGTTTGGTCAGGGCCGGATTTACCAATAGGCCCGGTAGGCCCGGGCCAATGAGCGCGAGCTCTCCTAGGGCGCACGGCTGAGAGTAAAAATATTTTTTTAATATCGAATAATTAAAATAAATATCATAAGTTAACATATTTTGCGAGTTAATAAAAAAAACACTGGAAAATAATATGCATTCTGATTTTGAAGTTCATTGGAAGAAATAACTGTTCGAAAATTTACTATTTTTCAAAATTACGCATCAATTTTGTTACATCATTGGTTACGGGAGTAGGGACGTTGTCAAGCGCCCGAGCAGTACGCATCGCATCGTATTGCCACTGCCCTGCCACTTTGCTGGCTCAGTGCTACTGATGGAAGATGGAAGATGGAAGTGGTTAGGGGCGCATGCGTGCTAGACACTGTTACCACCCTCACCTCACAAAACAAAAGTTATTAACTAATCTTTTGGTCAGTTTACAACAACCTGCAGGATTAAATTAAAATATAATAATATGTTTTGTTGAATATAAAAAAATGAGTTTATCTTTAAAATTCACTAACGGACAAAATATTAATCTGAGTTTGCAATAGGTTTAGACAATAGGCAGTACCACCTAGATTAACCATAACTCAGGTCGACATCCTTATCACATTGTCAATTATAAATATTTTTTTTTTCATGTCTAGTTCATGTTGGTGACACTGGACGTTAGTTTTGGCGTAATTTTGTTTTTATTATTTTAGGGTTGGTTCTATGACATGAGTTTTAACTTAATTTCTTGTAATATAACCAGGGGACGACCTATTGTTTATGATTAAATCGTTTTATTTTGCAAACTAGTTTTTACAAACTAGGTTTAAATAACTTAAATCACAAGAATTGTTTTCAGCTAATCCCTATAAGGATGACAAATCTACTAAAGGAGTAGGCTATATTTAATCTATGATATCACGTACTGTATGAAGTTCATGTTTTGGAAACTGAAATTGGAATCAATAGACATGTTTTTTTTTTCTTCAGGAAAGCTCTGTGGGTTGGATTGTTTTGTTTCAGTCCCACAAACGTGAGCATTTGCCAAAAGTGTTTAAGATGGCATTTTGTTAAGGCTAAACAAGTCAATTCTTCAAAAAACTTGCTATGATAAAATTCCGACAAGGGTTGGAATGGTGTCAAGCAATTAACATAGGCCTATTATATGCATGATATAGTTTTTAATAAAGGTTTGTAGGAAAGTAACTGTGACCAGACTAGGGGGCGGGAAAATTATTTGGGCCTAGGGGCGCCAAAATACTAAATCCGGCCCGAGTTTGGTAATGTGGTTTTGTAGTGAACTACTTGGGTAAGAATACAAATAAATATTGTTTAACATGAAAAGCTTGTTGCATTGATATAAAATAGCAGCCACTGAAATACTTAAACCAATTTAGAGCTGGAAGCAGTTTAAACTATTTTTCCTATGAAGGAATTTGTTGTTGTGGTCTGAAATGCTTTTTAAAGAACTCTTTTGGATGTCAAGACTAACCATAAACTTGCATTTACCCCTCAAAATAAAGGATATTATATATCACAACCCTTTTTTTCAAACTAGTCAAATTTATTGGGATCAGGCAATGTTATTATCTATATATTTATAGTACTAGAGTCATCTTACCATCTCTCAATTACGATAGAAAAGCAACTGAGCTTATACTCTTTGAAAATAAGATTAGAAACAAGTCACTTACAAAGTACAGTCAGTACAGTTTAAGAGCGGTGATATGGACTTAAAATTTTAAAATTTACAAGAGAAAATAAAATAGAGAATAAATATAGCATATAAATCTTACCGGATTAAATTCAGGATGTCTAAAGGAGGGGTACTCGTAGTTTCCTTCTGGCCTGTAGGTTGTCTGGAAAGTTTGATAGTAAAAAATAATTATTTCTCTTAATCTCATTTCAATATCCTTTAAGTACTGAACGAACACAATTGATTGCAATGAAAACATTTGAGATCTAATTTCACTTTGCAAATAGTGCTAAAGGCTGGCGCACACAGAGACAGATGGACTCATGAGAATGGACTCCTGTTGGCAGACGGGATTTTTGTTTTTAAGTCTGCAAGCAAACAGACTATCCCTTCCCTTATTCACCTCGTGCTTTCACTACTTCAGTACTCTGAAATATCATTTAGTGTTGTGCAGCCAATATTTTAAAAAATTAGGCAAAAACTAAAGAAAGGAACGGATCCTCGTGTGGAACAGGATTACAATCCCTCACAAGTAGGTGTAATTACAGGGTGTCCAGGGTGTCGTTGAATAACATTTAAGGACAATTCCAGGTGTTCCAGGTTCAAAATTTCCAGGAAAAAACTTGCTGCTCAAAAAAGCAAAACTTACTTATTTAAACCTGCTAGCACAACCTCTTCTGGTATATCCGTTTAGATCTTTGCGATCGCAGCCACATTGTGGATCATATCTTTTGATTGGGGAAAAAATTGTGATGATTTACCGTGATCACGGAAACGGCCGTGATCATTTCTTGCAATCGCGTCAAAGAAAGTTTCCCCAACGATCACAATTTTTAACTATCAAAAACGACAAAAATCAGTGATTTTGGGCAGATTTTTTGGCTGCTATTCAAATTTCCCTGTTCTTTACCAAATTCACAGATTTTTTCCCGGTCATCAAAATTTTAAGTATGATTCCCGGTTTCCAGGTTGGCTGGACATCCTGAGTAAATAAACCATAGCACACCTAGTAGTGGTGTGGAGAAGCAATGTTGGGAAAAACCTCTTTGCGCATGCACAGCAGAAAAAGTCCGCAGTGGGGTTCCAAAAATCTGTCAGCGAACTCCAGTGGACTCCAGCTGACGGACGGATTCCTGTGTTCATTGCCACATTTGACAACACAGTGAGCGAATTATAGTCTGTCCGTCTGACTGAGTCCGTCTGTCTCTGTGAGCTCAGGCCTTAAGTTTGTGATATTCAGTAGGTCAGAATCTTAATTTTATTAATGGCTTATTAAAACCAGACAATAATGAGTACAAGTAGATAAATCAACATTTTAAATTTTGTAGATAGCATTACATAATTATATTTTGCAGCTTTTTAATTTATCCAGTAGTTTGAAGATTATTTGAAAGAAGGCAACATAGGCATGGAGGTACGTGTATCTACATATCCAATTCTTTATCTCCTTTTTTCTCCACTCTTGATGTAAACGGTTTCTGTGATGAGCTTAACTTTGAAGTTTCAGCAGCAATATCAACTGACCTAAAAATAGTTATAATGTCCGTATATCGTTCACCTGATGGTATTCTAACACAGTTCCTAGATAAACTTGAGGAATTGCTTCAAACCCTTCTTTCAACTAAGCCGGACTACAAGTATATCTTAGCAGGAGACCTAAATATTGATGTCGGTTCAAAAAAAGCAGACGACTGGGCTCTACAAAACACTCTGCGTTCTTTTAACTTATTCTGTTCCAACTTTGAGCCAACAAGGGGTGTGAGGTGCCTCGACAACATTGCAGTTAACTTTCAGAGGAGCGACTTCGCTGTCTGCGTTGGAAACTTTGCCTTGTCAGACCATTTAGCAGTTTGCCTTAAGGTGGAAATTCTACAACTTGTAAAACCTATGACGGAATACCAAGTAAAGAGGAATTATAGTCCTGTTAACCAAGCAAAATTTATCTCTACTGTCGGTAATATTGACTGGCCAGGTCTGGTATCAGATGGCAGGCATATCAGCAACAATCTTTTCACCATCCTGTTTGATCAGCTCCAATCAACTATCAATGATTGTTTCCCTCTCAAGAAAATCTTACCAAATTATCAGAGTAAAAAACCTAGACGAAAAAATCGTTGGTTTACAGCAGAGCTTCAAGTCCAGCGTGACTTAGTCCTAACAGCTTTTGATGCCTATAAAACATCTGACTCACAGATTGATAGGGAAACCTATGTGACCCTAAAAAGGACTTATAAAAAATCTCTTGCAACAGCCAAGCTCAACGCCAATGTAATAGAAATCGAATCTGCAACCAACAAATGCAAAGCTGCCTGGTCCATCATCCGTGGTAATATGGAGAAGCCAAACACCAACCCCCTACGATACATATCTCCACAAGACTTCAGTGATTTCTTCGTGTCATCTGTGGAGCAGACAGCGGCACTGGTGACACCTTCGATTGCTGCATCCACTTCACTACTTGAGAATACACCAGCTTCTCCATCATCCTTCAAGTTCAGTGCAGTGTCTTGTGAGGAAGTATATAGTGTTGTGCATAATATGAAATCCTCTTTCAGCACAGATGCATATGGTATGTCCTCTAACCTTCTAAAGCTTATTATAGTGTATATCTTGTTGCCACTCACTGCAAGTATTAACTGCTGCTTGCTCTCTGGCTTTTTCCCCAAAAAACTGAAGTTTTCAAAAGTTGTTCCAATTTATAAAAAGGGTCCGAGGGAGAATCCTAGTAGTTACCGGCCCATTTCGTTAGTTCCTGTGATTGGCAAAGTGTTCGAAACCATAATAAAATCACAATTAATGAAATTTTTTGAATACCATGGCCTAATATCTGATTGGCAATTTGGGTTTCGAACGGGTAGATGTGCCACGGATGCGGTAAGGCGCTTGGTGCAGCATGTGCTAAATTCTTATGAAAACGCCTCTCTTACCCAGGCAACTCTAGTTGACCTGAGTAAAGCGTTTGATTGTGTTCCCCATGGTTTACTTTTGAATAAACTTGAGTACTACGGTATCCGTGGCACAGAACTCAATCTTTTTAAGTCTTACTTATCAGACCGCAGGCAGCAGGTTGATGTTGCGGGAATATTGTCAGATGAGAGTGAGGTTTTTTGCGGAGTGCCCCAGGGCTCGGTGTTAGGCCCTGTTCTTTTCCTTATAATGATTAATGATTTGGATAAATGTATGTCCTGTACTTCTGTGATTTATGCGGATGACTCCACTTTCTTAAATAGTCAAGGTACCTTTAGTGAACTCATGGTGCTGTCCAAACTTTCCCTCAATGAAGCTAGGAACTGGTTCAGTGTCAATGGGTTTTTTATGAATCCTGAAAAGACTCAAACTATTGTTTTTAGGTTAGGTCGCACACCTGAGGAAGAAAAGAATTTTTCGTCAAGTGTAAATTTATTAGTGTTCTATTTCTTATACAAGAATATTATTCACACATCTTGCTTGAACAAACTCTATTTTCAAACTAAAAAAAATGTTTACAAAAACATCTGACAACAAACATATTTAAACACATGATAAAAAGAACAGACTTAATACAACATCCCGCTTCAAGATGTCCACATCTTTATGAACCTCAGTACCGCCTCGGTTTCTTAATGGACCTTCCGTAACGGGTTACTGTGCCAGCTCCTGGACGATCACGTGAGTTGCATGGACGATTAAGGACCATGGATGAACAGTTTGAAAGAATTCCATCTCCTCCGTAGTACGGTGCAGGAACTAAGAACTTCCTGTTTCGGCGAATAGTTCTCTTGTCAGTTTCCACAAGGTAGGAACGTGGTTCGTTCAATTTCCTGACTACCTTACCGTGTCGACGTAGATCTGTGATCCATACCATGCTTCCAACTTCTAATTCACTTAAACCACTCGCTCCATGTCGTTTATCAAATTGTATCTTGTACTTATTCTGGTACTTATTCTCCCTCTCAAGAAAATTCTTATTTTCCACAGGATTTCCAACCAAAGTAGATGGAAGATTGTCTCTTAATTTCCTTCCAAACATAAGTTCAGATGGGGAAAAGCCGGTTTCAAGAGGTGAGGTCCGGTAAGAAAGTAGGGCAAGTTCAAATTTATCCTTGTTTTTCTTCATTAGCCCTTTTGCTACTTTCACAGCTGCTTCAGCTGCCCCATTTCCCTGATGGTGGTGGGGACTACTTCTGAATGTGGAGAACCCCCACTCCTTTGCAAACAATTTAAATTCACTTGAGTCAATATGGTGAAATTGTGTCCCACTATCTGAATAAACACGTTGAGGAATTCCAAAACGTGAAAATGTGTCGGTCTCAATTGTGTACATTTTACCCATCAGGAAACATTTCAAACGGTCACTTGCCCATGTGCACGCAAGCGCTTCTCTCTCAATGTTACTGTAGTTTTCTTCAGCAGGCGTTAGAGTCCGAGATATATATGCCACAGGTTTCTTGTTTTCTCCTTCAACTTGAAGTAAAACCGCTCCAAGACCTTTTTTTGAAGCATCGCAAGAAAGAATCGAGGGTTTTTGCGGATCGTAAACAGTCAAACATGGCTCTGATGATAAAATCTGTTTTACTGTGACAAAAGCGTTTTCTTGAGCTGGTCCCCAAAGGAAATCGTTTTTAGTCTTTAACAAGCTCGTAATTGGCTCCAAAATCTCACTGCGGTTCGGAATAAATTTTGCCAGAAAAGTGATCATGCCCATGAATCTTTGTACTTCATTAGCGTTTCTTGGAGCTGGTAAGTCCACAATCGCTTGTACCTTGCTTGGATCAGGCTTGATTCCGTCCTTAGACAGCACAAACCCCAGAAATGTCACAGTCTTCTTGCAGAACTCCGACTTCTGCTTATTCAAGGTGATTCCATTAGCTTGCACTCTCTCTAGAACGGCCCTAAGACACTCGTCGTGTTCTTCTTTCGTTCTTCCCCATATCAGACAGTCGTCAATGTGCACTAAACAGTTCTTTGCCCCTTCTAAAGCTTTTGACATGCGGCGCTGAAACTCTTCAGGAGCGGACGTAATTCCAAAAGGTAACTTACGGAATTTATACCTCCCAAAAGGGGTGATAAATGTTGTGTAATCTTGTGACTCCTCTGCAAGGTTCAGTTGCCAGAACCCGGAATTCGCATCGATCTTGCTGAAGTACTTGGCTCCCGCGATCTCGGCCAATGAAAGTTCGATCTTTGGGATAGGATAAAACCGACGTTTCACACTGTTGTTGAGTTTGGATAGGTCTACGCAGATCCTAACCCCACCTCCCTTTTTTGCGCAAACTACCATTGGTGCGCACCAATCAGTCGCGTGTTCAACTGGAACAATCACTCCTTTCTCAAGCATATCGTCTAACTGCTCTTTCACCTTGGTTTTTAAAGGTATTGGTACAACCCTGGGGGTGGATATAGCGTAAGGAACTGCATTCTCCTTCATTTCAATCTTGTACTCTCCTTTCATATTTCCAAGCCCTTGAAATAAATTAGGATACTTAGTAGCCCAGTCAATATCATGTGAATCTACAGAAAAAATTCTCCTCACCAGGTTCAGCTCTTCACAGGAACGTCTGCTAAGAAGTGGAACAGTGATCTCCTCAGAAATATACGCAAGATCATAAACTGATACACCCTTATGTTCAAGCTTTAGCCTTAAAGTTCCCAAAATATTGATTCGTTCTTTCTTCTTTGCGCTAAACACAGGGGATTTGCACTTTCCTAGAGGCAGAGTCTTAATAAAATCACCAAGAACTCCTACTGGAATCATGGTTACATCAGCTGCTGTGTCAAGTTTAAATTTTATAAGACCTAAATCTTGGTTTCCACAGCTTGCTTTTACCTCCTGGACCCAGGCTTTGTCACTGCTGTCTATATTCCCTATGAAAATCACAGGAACCTGTTGATAACCACTGTCTGAATCTTGCTGTTCGATTTCCTTAACAACGTTTTTGTTTTTTCTCATCCACTTTTCGCGGGAGGGACAACATCGAAAAAAATGTCCAATCTCGGAACATTTGTCACATTTGGCTTTCCTAGCAGGGCATTCGGCCAGTGATCCGTGCCAGTTATAACCACATTTCCTGCACTTTTTTCTCATAGCATCCTCGGTGAATTTCTGTTCACCAGCTCTTTCAGACAGATTTGTTTTACCGACTTGTATTGACGTTTGATTCACCATAAAAACATTAGTATTGGCGAGCTCACGTTTTTGGCGTTCTAGCTCCTCGTGTTGGCGCAAGGTATTAATCGCCTTCTCCAGAGTCAATTGAGAGTCCAGCTGGAGTCTATCACTTAGAGCCTCATCTTTCATACCAATAATGAGGACCAGAAGCACCATCTCATCGTTCAGTTCACCCCATGCACACGTTTTTGCAAGACCATGCAAATCTGTTATGAATTTTTCAGATGGATCACTCCCTTGCTTGTGTCTCAGAAATTTTGTTCTCTCATAAATTATATTTCGTCTTGGCACAAAGTATGCATCAAAGGCCCGAAGAGCCTCGTCATAAGTATTCGGTTTTGGTGAAAACGAATCGAAAATATCTTCACTCCTACTACCCATTGTAAACAAAAGTACATCGATTTGCCGAGCGTCGGAAGTGCTATCTAGACCGCACCCCCGTCTGTACCTTTGAAAGCGATTCCTCCAGGAATGCCACTCATTCGGAGTAAAAGAGAAGGTATCTGGAGTTGGTAACGTCAGATTTATCATAGGAGTAGGAGTACACATTACTGCATTATTTTCTCGGTTTGTCTGTCCCAATGCAAAACCTAGTGACTCACCTTCAGTCTTTCTAGAATCCCTTTCTGACATGTAGTTGAATTCACTTTGGGCATCCTCCTCATTGTCCTCATACCTTTGCCTACGAGTATTTCGTTTGTTTCTGCCCTTACTTGACATCATGCGTGGTTTTAGACTTTGTTCGATAAAAAATCCACTAAGCTGCCACCATGTTCTATTTCTTATACAAGAATATTATTCACACATCTTGCTTGAACAAACTCTATTTTCAAACTAAAAAAAATGTTTACAAAAACATCTGACAACAAACATATTTAAACACATGATAAAAAGAACAGACTTAATACAACAATTAGGCATAGATTTGGATAGTGATTTAAGCTGGTCAACCCATTTATATAACTTAAGTAAGAAATTGTCAAGAGTTTTATTTTTAATTAGACGTCTAAGAGATTTTGTTCCTCCTTTGTATGTTAGATCTGCGTATTTTGCTTTTTTTCAAAGTCTGTTAAAGTATGGTCTGTTACTGTGGGGTAACTCCACCCACATTCTAATAATTTTAAAGCTTCAAAAAAAGGCTGTAAGACTGTTGACCAATTCAGGGTTGAGGGACCATTGTAAACCTCTTTTTAAAGCAACATGTATCCTGACAACTGTAAATTTGTATATATTAGAGTGTGTTATTTTTGTAAAACAAAATTCACATTTCTTTAGCTCAAGAAATAATTTTCACTCATATTACACAAGGGGAAGATCTGCTTTGGATAGGCCCTACACCAGACTAACAACAGTACAGCAAAGTTTTGCTAGTATATCAGTAAAAATAGTAAATTGTTTTGCAAGTGAAATACTTGACATTCCTTGTACTCGGCTAAAACAAAAGTTGATGGTTTGGCTTGCTGACCACCCTTTTTACAGTTTAGATGAATTTTTTGCAGAATACAATTGTAATGGTAAAATTGTTATCTAGTTCTTACTTAGTCCCTAGTCAACTGTTACCTAGTCTTTCAAACACTTGTTTAAGTACCTCACTTTTGTTTCATATATATAGTTCTGTGTTTTTCAAATGATTTTAGCTTTATTTTCTTGTTGTCTTTGTTATATTTAAGTTTAGTGAAGATTCCATGTTATAGACCATGTTATACTATCTAGAATCTATGGCCCTTTTTTTGTTAACGAGGTCTATTGTAACATATGTTATTTAATGACCAATAAAGATTTATGATTTATGATTTATGAAGAAATAATGGAAAAAAAATACTTACCCCACTTTCTCTTTCTTCTTCACTTGGAGTCTGAAAAAAAGTATTTTTATGAAACAGGTAAAAATATGTTACTGTTTATGTATGTAACATTATTCGCCTATATGAGGTCAATTCTCAAATTGTAAGCCAAAATATATCCCAATTGAACTTTAAGAGGGTTCTACCCAGTCAATTAAAGATGGCGGCTAAACATGCCTCTACGGTACAAGCTCTCAACACTCTAAAACTAATGGTTTCCAATGATTGTGTGCTTTTTGTGCTCTTATTATATCAGAGCTTGCAATGGATGGGGATAAATTAATGTTTAATTATTGAGCGAAGCTCTTATACGTCGACTCTTATGCATTTCGTAATACGCAAACTCCTCCTAGACGGCTGAATCAATCGTTTTCAAATTTTGCGTGGTGACAAAGACCATATCGGTGAGTGCCAACATCTATATGGCGTTAAAAAAGTCTCTCAGGAATCCGCCCCACTGGGTCTCAAAGTTTCAATGTAATCCTTATGGAAGCAGTATTTGACACATAAACAAAGACATATGATCAGCTGTTGACTTTTGAATGCAGTAGATAAAGAAATAGCTGATAGCATTATTCCACAGATATTAGAACAGAAACGGTAAGTATCATAAATATAATCAAATGACGACACTAGCTTCAGGTCCGTGACGTAGGAAGTGGTGAAGGAAGTAGTAAAGGTGAGTTGTCCGGAGTGTGGGATCTGTTTATGACGATTAAATTTAGGTACTGTATCTGCATTCCTAAAATTCTATGGGAAGGCAGGAAAACGGGTCCGCGATGTAGGAAGTGGCGAAGGAAGTAGTCAAGGCGAGTTGTCCGGAGTGTGGGATCTGTTTATGACCAATACATTAAGGTATTTGCAATCCAATAATGCTAAGGAAAGGGAAAAAACAAGTCCGCTACGTGGAAATTGGTGAAGGAAGTAGTAAAGGTGAGCTGTTCGGGGTATGGGATCTGTTAATCCTAAAATGCTATGGGAAGGGAGGAAAACAGGTCCGCGACGTAGGAAGTGGTGAAGGAAGTAGTCAAGGCGAGCTGTCCGGAGTGTGGAAACTGATTATGACGATTAGATCAAGGTATCTACAATCCTAAAATGGTATGGGAAGGGAGGAAAACAGGTCCGCGATGTAGGAAGTGGTGAAGGAAGTAGTCAAGGCGAGCTATCCGGAGTGTAGGAACTGTTTATGACGATTAGATTAAGGTATCAGCAATCCTAAAATGTTTCGGAAAGGGAGGGAAACAGGTCCATGACGTAGGAAGTGGTGAAGGAAGTAGTAAAGGCGAGTTGTCCGGAGTGTGGGATCTGTTTATGACCATTAGATTAAGTTATTTGCAATCCAATGATGGTATGGGAAGGGAGGGAAACAGGTCCGTGAGGTAGGAAGTGGTGGTGGAAGTAGTAATGGCAAGCAGTCCGGACTGTGGGAACTGTTTTTGACGATTTGATTAAGTTATCTGCAATCCTACAATGATATGGGAAGGGAGGAAAACAGGTCCGCGACGTAGGAAGTGGTGAAGGAAGTAGTCAAGGCGAGCTGTCCGGAGTGTTGAAACTGTTTATGACGATTAGATTAAGTTATATGCAATCCTAAAATGCTATGGGAAGGGAGGAAAACATGTCCGCGACGTATGAAGTGGTGAAGGAAGTAGTCAAGGCGAGTTGTCCGGAGTGTGGAAACTGTTTATGACGATTAGATTAAGGTATCTGCAATCCTAAAATGTTTTGGAAAGGGAGGGAAACAGGTCCGTGACGTAGGAAGTGGTGAAGGAAGTGGTGAAGGAAGTAGTAAAGGCGAGTTGTCTAGAGTGTGGGATCTGTTTATGACCATTAGATTAAGTTATTTGCAATCCTATGATGGTATGGGAAGGGAGGGAAACAGGTCCGTGACGTAGGAAGTGGTGATGGAAGTAGTAAAGGCAAGCAGTCCGGACTGTGGGAACTGTTTTTGACGATTTGATTAAGTTATCTGCAATCCTAAAATGATATGGGAAGGGAGGAAAACAGGTCCGCGACGTAGGAAGTGGTGAAGGAAGTAGTCAAGGCGAGCTGTCCGGAGTGTGGAAACTGTTTATGACGATTAGATTAAGGTATCTACAATCCTAAAATGCTATGGGAAGGCAGGAAAACAGGTCCGTGACGTAGGAAGTGGTGAAGGAAGTAGTAAAGGCGAGTTGTCCGGAGTGTGGAAACTGTTTATGACGATTAGATTAAGGTATCTGCAATCCTAAAATGTTTTGGAAAGGGAGGGAAACAGGTCCGTGACGTAGGAAGTGGTGAAGGAAGTAGTAAAGGCAAGTTGTCCGGAGTATGGGATCTGTTTATGACCAATACATTAAGGTATTTGCAATCCAATAATGCTAAGGGAAGGGAGATAAACAGGTACGTGACGTAAGAAGAGGAGAAGGTAGTAGTAAGGTGAGCAGTGTGGAGTGTGGGAACTTGAAACCGTTTGTAGCAGTTAGATTAATGCATCTGCAATGCTGAAATGCTATGAGAAGGGATGGAAGCATGTCCACGACATAGAAAATGGTGAAAGAAGTAGTAAAGGCTAGCAGTGCGGAGTGTGGGCAATGTTTGTGGCAATTAGATTAACGTATCTAGAAAACTAAAATGCTATGGAAAGTGATGAAAACAGGTCAACAATGTAGGGAGTGGCTTGGGAAGTAGTAAAGTATGAGCATAGTGTGAGAAATATCTGTGGCAGTTAGATTAATGTATCTTCAATCTTAAAATGCTATGAGAAGGGAAGGAAACAGGCCCCACGACGTAGGAAGTGGTGAAGGAAGTAGTAAAGGATGGCAGTACAGAGCGGGGGAACCGTTTGGGCAGTTATATAAATGAATCTAATACTTAAATGCTATGAGAAGGAAAGGAAACAGGTCTATGACGTAGGAAATGGTGAAGGAAGTAGTAAGGCTTGCAGTGCAGAGTGTGGGAACTGTCTTTGGCAATTACATTAATGTATCTGCAATCCTAAAATGCTATGGGAAGAGAGGGAAACAGGTCCACGACGCAGGGGGTGGTGAAGGAAGTAGTAAGTAGTAGTGAGCAGTGTTGATTGTGGGAATGGATTAATGTACCGTATCTGCAATGCTAAAATGCTATGGGAATAGACTGTAGATTGTAGGTTAAAATGATTACGATGCACGAATCGATATATGCAATCGTTTACAGTATAAATTTACAACTGAGTTGACAACAGCCGATTTTTACTCCATAGAGGCTAAAACGTTTTTTACTCCCTAAAGAGAAAAATGCTACTTTCTGTTTTTACTGCAGTATGACAAAAACAATATAATATGAACCCTTGATGACTCCGCTCAATTTTGTGGATGCCCCTGCGAACGCCACCTAGTTATTATTATTACCTATTTAGAAACTAAAATCAAATGTAAAAAAGACCAATTTACGAATTTTCAAAATTATTTTGTAAATACTTAAAGAAACAATTACGAAGTTTCAGTTCATCCAGGGCATAATTTGGATCTTTGTGAATATTTTACATATTTTTCAACTCGATAAACGCATAAATAATGCCACAAGGATCTTTTTTGTAGGATCATGTTTACGTGCTAACCAGCCGGCGGGTGGAACCCTCTTAATTTACTATTGTAAATAGACGGTAAGCTGATTTGAATGTAAATTTTTTGAAAGTCTAGCCTAAGATGATTTGTTTTTTTTTTTTCTGACTTGGCTAAAGCAAATATTTTGTAAATTTTTAGCTGAATAAGCAAATTTTAATTGATACATAAGCGATGAAATACAGAAAACATACCTTTAAACTTTCATCAGATTTATCTTTAGCCTGGAACAAATTAATATCTGTTAGCTATAATATTAACTTAAATGTAAAAATGAAAAAAAGACTGTCGTAAACAGTAGATTTACCAAAGCAATTATTTAATGGCATAAGAAAGATCAAATTTTGGAAAATGTGCTAGGGCTATTTAAAAAGCAAAAGATTTGTTGGCCTAGCTAGCACTGGCATTCCAATATAAAAATGTTTCTACAATAATTAAGCAACGATCCATTGCCACTAGTACAATTAATTGTGCATTTTTGTATTTTGTATACACCGGAGTTTATAATGAATGCCACAATTGAAAATTCAATGCAGTGTGTGATTCCCTGATATTGAATCTCAACTTACAGATAGCAGACAAAGGAATTGGAAATATTGTGCCATGTTTTGATAAATGGCTTGATTGAAAAGGTGACTATAGAAAAAAAATGCCTAATAGCTTACTTTCAGATAATAAACATGAGGGTTGTTTACTTTGGGCATATTTTTTCAAAATATCTGTTACTTTTTAACACGTTCACTGCTGAAAACCTTTACACAGGCGCTCCTAAACTGCGGCGAGGCCCGGGTGGAGCCCCGGCAAGCTAACTGAATCAGCAGTCGCTATTGGCATTGATATATCTCAGTAAGACGAATCACAAAAGAGCAGTGGTGATTGTTCTGCATTACCCCGAAAGTAGACGTAGTTCACTGAAACACCCAAAGGTAGCAGCACTGCCTGGATCAATAACCAGAGTCTTTGTAATATGGCTCGAATAGAGAAAATCCCCAAAAACAGGACAAAAGCATTGCCAGACGGGATTTTACGGGAATGTTTAGTACCAACATAGACCAAATTAAAGCCTGCATAAGGCTGGCAACAAGTATAACGTTCCTCGGCAATGGCTGAGCTCACATTGAAGCAAAGGCACTGGTGAAGGACGACATTTCCCGCCCCGCGCCAATGGTGCCGGTACTGCGGGGCGAGAAGCCCCTTGCACTGAAGGTGTTAATAAACTTCATTAAACTAAAGAGATTTGTCAACAAGAAAACGTAAGCAAAATACGTCTGAAATATTGGACTTACAATGCAATCCTACATGAAAAATGAATTTTAACTTGGCTGGAATTGACTAAAAAACATTTGAATAGACATAGAAGTACAAAAAGGAAAAAATGTTTTTGTATTGTTGTGTAATCTAAGATAACTTAAGATTTCCATATTATATTGTAGTGTTAATAAAAGGTATGAACTAATAGTCAAAGACTACAGCCACAGATCAAAAAGTCAGTGGTAGAACCAATTCCACTTTTGAAAATAGGCAAAGAAGAAATTATTTTGAATATTTGAAAAATCACACAACACTTACGTGCAAATTTGCAGAAATGGGTTCTATATTAGGCCCTTCCTTGCCCTGAAAAATAAAGAATCATAAAAAAGAAAATGTTTAAAAAACTTTAAAAAATGACAAAACACCTAGATACAACCTTGCATTTGCCCTTCCACATAGACTATAGATCTGTGTGTGGAACGTATCCAGCAAAACACAGTGTGAGCCGGGACAGTACAATAGTGTGTGTGTGTACTGATAAAACAAAGCGGCAGATACCAGGTTCCGAGCTTGGGCCCGAAGTCTTTGGTGGTACCGACTGAACAACTGTCTCACCAACCTAACTTTATCTGTATAGTCCAGGAGCTGAGGGGGGTTGAGCATGCATGAAAGTAGTACGCAATGTTATTGCTGATTTTTGTAATATGGACTGTGGTGATCAAAATTACGTATGTCGCCTATTTCAAAAGTGGTCGATAAGGTGGGGGGGAGGGGGCAAACATGGCGGTTTGCGCTATGCGTTAAAACGCTGATATTTCGAAAACGGTTAAAGATAGAACATCGGTTAAAACGTCGTTGTAATTTTTAAAATGTGGACTACAATAATGGTTATTGAGTCCGAGGTCGTATCTCTATAAATAAACAAGTTATTGTATAAAATATCTAAAAATTGAATTTCGTGTAGTTTATTTTTACCGAAAGTAGAATTAATTTGTGAGTGTCGCAAAGAAGTAATATCAAATATCTTTACTGATTGTTGTAATATGGACTACGTTTTAATCGATGTCCTATCTCGTACCGTTATCGAGCTACAGTCGTTTCAATGCATAGCGCGTTCCGCCATCTTTGCCCCCCCCCCCCAAGTTCTCGACCACCTGAAAAGTAGGCGAGATGCATATTTTTTATCACCACAGTCCATATTACAACAATCAGCAAAGATATTTGATATTACTTCTTTGCGACACTCACAAATTAATTCTACTTTCGGTAAAAAAACTACATGAAAAGTCAATTTTTACATATTTTATATAATAACTTGTTTATTTATAGAGATACGACCTCGGACTCAATAACCATTATTGTAGTCCACATTTTTAGAATTACAACGACGTTTTAACCAATGTTCTATCTTTTACCGTTTTCGAAATATCAGCGTTTTAACGCATAGCGCAAACCGCCATGTTTGCCCCCTCCCCCCCACCTTATCGACCACTTTTGAAATAGGCGACATACGTAATTTTGATCACCACAGTCCATATTACAATAATCAGCAATAACATTGCGTACTACTTTCATGCATGCTCAACCCCCCTCAGCTCCTGGACTAGTAAACATTGTATGTTATGTGCGGATAAAAATCATAGTCATGATAAATATTATGCGTCAGAAAAATAATTATTATTGGGAGCCTATTTCAATTTTTTTTAAACCTTTTTAAAACCACCTTAACTTTTTTTTCAAACCAATTGTATTTTAAACCTTCTAAAACTTCTTGAAGTTACTTTAACAAAGTCACAAAAGACACCTCACTCGTGCCACACACTTTGTTTGTTTTTATTTGGGTTTAAATAAACCTTAGCTATACATTCTTGTCTCAGGAAATCGTATATATATTTGATCACATTCGAGAAAAATAAAAGTACAAAATGATAAGTTATATTCATTTGCACAAATCATCTAATACAATCCAAACTAAGAAAATTGTCTTAAGAACAAAGACTAAGTGAATCATTCATGCTATATATTTAAAAACAGAAAAAGACCCAATACAAAGCCCTGTGAAACACCTTTATTGTTAACTTCAAACTCTTGAGACTAAATGCTATCAATAAACACTCTGTGTATTCGACCAGTTAGATATGAGTTTCAAATTCTTTCGCATGGAGGGTACAGTCTAGATGACATCTATCTGAGGGACCTGCATTGTAGGATCAATAATTTATACTAGTGTACCTGTTGCTCGAATTCGAGCAATTTCTAAGTATTACAGGTCTTATTGTTTTAAAACAAATAACAGTCATAATTTCTGATGACTTAAAAAAAGAGTCGAATCAAAGATTATGGAAATACTTAAGATGCACATAACAGATCAAGATAATCAACATTTCTTGTAAATATCATTTTTCAAAAGCTGAACTTGTTTTTCAGTGTTTTCTACAAATAGCCTTACTCATAGCCGCATTAAGTTGTCCATAATTCGAAAGAGGTTAGTGAGTTACCTCATTTCACACCTAGAAGCTTCGGTCCATCTAGCTTCTAGATGTGTGAAATGAGGTAACTCACTAACCCCTTTAGAATTTCTGCATCTTAAAGATGTACAAGAGCTCTTCGGAATTCAATCAATGTATTGGGTTCACAACTTACACCTCAGAAGCAAGCAACCTTTGTTTGTCCATAAAAACGGAAAAAAAATTAATTTCTATTTCTTCTCGTTGGTGGTGTTCTATGACTTTCCTATGTTTCCATAGTTTGCAAATCGGTTCTTTCAACGATTACTAAGAAATATGCAGCACAGTGTTCATTCAGATTTCTTTTTTGTATATCAAGGCTCTCTCACTTTTTTCCATTGTAATATTTATGCCAACCCGAATTCAAATAGTAAATATTTCATTTCAACTAACTCAGTAAATGTTTGTACTTTGTAGCAAACTGTTAAATTAGCAAACTTATTGACTGTTTACAATTACGTTACAATACTATGTTCTTCTTCTCACTTTTAAATTTCTGACAACAGCTGGAGTTTCATAATTAATTCATTTTTGTTTTCCATGTTAATCTTATGGAGAAATACGAAACTTTAAAGGGCCCCAGGGCCTCACTCTCTAATTATTTCCCTAAAAAGAAAGTTTCCTGCACAACTTCACTTTACGCTTTTTCCAATGACACTAAAAACATGTCAATCAGTTCAGTAGTTTTGAAATGAAATGAAAAATGTCTTTATTTAAGAGGCGAAGTTAGGACTAGCAAGTCCTCTCTACCACTTAACCTCTAAAAACATAAATAAACTATCCACTTTATAAGTAAAATTAAATAATCTAAGGTACCATATTATAAAAATGTTGAAATTAAATTAAATTAAATTAAATTAAATTAAATTTAAACCCAAAAGTCCATTCACACAAGCCGCCAACAACCCGCCACACCAGCGCCAGAGACTCATTCATGCCTGCTACTCAAAATCATAGATTTTATCTCTGCCCCAAACCTTGCACGGTTCTCTATGGATTTTATATGGTCAGGAAGAAAATTCCACATTCGAATTGCAGATACTAAGAAAGATTTATTAAAAACTGTTGACCGGTGAATTGGTGTAGATAAAAGAAGAGAGCCTCTACGAGTGGAACGGGTACTGATGTCAGAGATGAAATGGAAGTTATCTGATAAATACTTAGGAATTTTACTGTTGATAATGGAGTGTAGAAGACGGAGGGTGTGAAATTCCCGAAGTTCATTTAGCCTCATTAATGAAAGCAGGTTGAAATAGGGAGTGACATGGTCATATCGTCTAAGGCCAAATATGAATCTGATACAGGAATTCTGCGCTCGCTGAAGTCTGCTAGAAACCTCATGCAATTTAGTTTTGGAGGAGTAATTGTCACAAAAAACATGCTTGCGTATTAAATAAGTATAGATAGATAATTGATACATTTAATTAACACATTGATTTCCTTGTCAAAAAGAGAATAAAATGCAATGTTGTCCAGGGAAGAAATCTAGTTAATTTCTGTAAACTTTATACTCACAGGAAAGTGTGGTGATATTTCCGGAAACAGGGGGTGAATAAGGCCATCATCCTAAAAAGTGTAAATATGTCAAATTTACGAGGCATTTTACTAATCTAGTAATCTATGACTACAGGTCATCTAATCAAACTAGACAATCATAAACAAACTTGCCGGTTCTGTATTTTTAAAACATATTCCAATAGAAATATTGAACATAGAAAATCAAAACAAGTTCAAAAGTGAACTCAAAAGTTTTTTGATCAGAAATGCATTTTACTCTCTTGAAGAGTACAATTTAACTGATGTGAATGCTGATGTATGTAGATAACTGTCAATTTCATAACTGAACAATTCAACAATGTACTGAGTTAGATTAAGGAACTGTGACGCTATTTATTGTATTGCTGTACATGAAACAAATAAAGAAGTTTTGAATTTGAATTACAATGTTTAGGTCTTGTCCATATCATGATCACGAGTTAGATATAAAAATAGATACATTTCAAATACACTTTTTTTCAGTTTTGCTGATTAGCTCATCTGTCATTCAACAATGTACTGAGTTAGATTAAGGAACTGTGACGCTATTTATTGTATTGCTGTACATGAAACAAATAAAGAAGTTTTGAATTTGAATTACAATGTTTAGGTCTTGTCCATATCATGATCACGAGTTAGATATAAAAATAGATACATTTTAAATACACTTTTTTTTTGTTTTGCTGATTAGCTCATCTGTCATAACAATAATTGTCATAAGACTGTTTTCATTATACCTCAAAACAGATATAGCGAATTTAACAGAGATTTAAACCAAAAGTATAAAAAATATTCACAGTCTAGAATACAATTTATTTTCCATTCCAGAAAACTAAATTTAGTTGCAATTTGATTGACAGTACACATGGACATCCTTTACACTGATCAGTTAAAAAACTAATTGTGAGCCTTTAGTAACAAAAGGAGGTCTGATCATTACTTTTCTTGATTGCACTCAGCAATATAAATTACACTATCAACAACAAATAAATTTTAACTGAGTAAGTGACCTTCATACTTACATGTACAGCCACATTGCTGTGTATTGCAGTAGAGGGATGATTCTGGAACAAATTAAACTAAAAATAACTAAGGACATTTATACAAAAAAAATGTAAACATTATACTTTGTTTTAAAATAGTGTTAAACTAAAACGACTGATCGGGAACAAGCTTTGTATGTAGAGTATTGAAATTTATAGATTTGGACTCTGGAGTGAGACAGAAGACATTGGAAGTATATATTTGTAGTAGTATTTTTTTAGCAGAGGAAAAACTACTCTAACTCCTAAATTTCTTATCCTTGTGAATACGTTTTAGGTAGTTTTTTATAGAGGCAGTAGGTTATTTTGTTTTGTAAGATGGGTATAGCATTTTAAATTATTAACATTTATTATTCAAAACACTTAATTATTTACAGAGATTTCTTAAGGAATATAGAACACCATTTTAAACTGAAAATTCAGAAGTATCTCAGTAACAAATCATTAAAACTTTACAATAAACTGAATAATAGGTCTTGTATTTGTGGGCTGACCCATGTATTTTTTTGCTCTAGATTTTGGAGAAATTATGTAGTTAGATGTGTTAAATAGAATAATTAATTAATTATGAAATAATTACCTGTGGAATGTCATGGTTAGTTCCAGCCATTGCTACAATTGCCTAAAACATTGTAAAATGTAAATAAAAAACAAATAAAACTATATGTCCATGTAAAAACAATAATTATTTTGTTGACCTTTAATACCAACAAAGCAATAATTAATTTTCAGCATGTTTCTGATTTGTTTAGCCAGTGGTATATACAAAACTTTTCTTGGTTTGAAGACCTTGGTTTATCCCTGTGCTTAAATCTCTTTAATCACAGTTAAAAAATAATATATAGTAACTTGGTTTTAAATACCCAAGTATCCTTTCCGGTTGCAACTTTTTCTTACATTTTTAACATATTTTTGAATCTTCAGTTTTGTAACAAACATAAATATTGGTATGAATCATATATCTAACGCTTGTTTTACTATGAAAACTCTGAAAAAACTTGAACAATATGACATGACTGTTCTTGAATAAAGTAATGGTATTGAAATTCAGTTTATAATTTAACAAGTATATATGATACATGCTTTATAAATACGAAACAAAATCAAATCAATATATCATTTATTTGGCAAAAAAAACAGACAGTTAATTTCCATCATATTATGATCTCTGTATACAAAAAATTTCAATATTATTTGACTTTCTAAATTTAATACAATTTTCTGGAAAAACTTTTAAAAGTAAGCAAAATTATCCCCCACAAAGGAGAATTTACTCCAGTGTGTGGGAGAGAGTCTTTCAATTTTTTTTTTTTAGATTTTTGAAAGGTGATACACAAAAGAAAGAAGAATGAATGTACCAACCAATGACTAAATGAATATATTTAACTTGCATTGAACAATTTGTGTGGTTCCTTTATGAAAACAAATTATAAGACTCACCACTGTGTCTGAAATCCCACTTAGTTTATCCTTCTTCTCCTTTTTCTTCTTCCGTTTCTCTTTTAACGTTGATTTTGCTTTCTTTTTCTCGTTCTTTTTTGCCTTGTTCTTTTCCTTGGCCTCTATTTTGTTGTTGTCCTATAACAAGTTGAAAATTGTTTGCAACAAATGGATATAAGTTTTACAGGGTCTTTTGTGTAACATTTCTTTACTTTTTATTTCAAAATATTAAATTGATGAGGCAGAAAAAATTATTTTGTGTCATTAAATAAACGTAATTGTCGGTTGTTATTATTATTTTGATACCACAGTATTAGGAACATTTTAAATCACATTAGTTCAGAACACTTTCATGTTCAAGATTGATTCATGGGTCCAGAGCTGACGTGTGGTATTGCTTACAACACAGCACGGAGAGCTGTTCGCCAGTGGATAAGCATAGAACATCGAAGGAGCTGGGAAAGAACAGAAGGCAATGTACAGTCAAAGAGAATGCTGCAGACACCTACTGGTGCGATAGCGGCAGATGCCCTTGGACTGAATAGGAAGACCCTGCGGAAGGTGGTTGGCTTCATTAGCAGCCATTGGGTATTCCGTGGACATCTACACAAGATGGGAATTCAAGTTGAAAGCCTCTTATGTAGGAAATGTGGAGAGGAGGAGGAGATAGCCTTCCACGTTATATTTATGTGCCCAGCCCTACAAGGTCTGCGCATGAGATCCCTTGGCCTATCGACTGGAGATGAAAGGGAAGAACGGGTAACCATAGTCAAAAGGATCTCATGGTTCACAAAGGACCTGGGATTTGTCGGAGAATGAGGACCTGTGAATGAGAGTGCACAATAAGCTGTTCCAGCTGTGCTGTTGTTTCTCCACTGTTGAATAATGTTTGTCTGAAATCAAATAAAAGATATGTGGTGCAATGAAACATACTATGTTTGCTTCTATGAGGGTTATCTGTACATTAAGGTCTCCACCGAACCATAGCGGAGGAAGCTTTCAGATTTGCAATAATCTTGAATTATAAACATTTTTATTTATTTTTTTATGAATGTTTTTACCAAGACTGGTTTGCGATTATTAACCTATCGTTCAGTTAGTACTCTAAGAGGAAGAAAGATCCATTCTTGGATCGTAAAAAGTGTCAAACTATTGTTTTAATTATTTCTTTTGTTATATGGAGGAATAATGGTGAATAAAAACCAATGTTACTTTGCACAAATATAAAGATAGTTTAACATCTATTGTCAACAATAGTTCCTTAAACAAAATGTGTAACGGTCTTAAACAAAAACCTGGACATTTCTTAATTAAATAAAATGATTAGGTACCTTATCCAACCACAGTTGTTGGTATGACAACTAGTTTCATTCCTTTTCAGAACTTTTTCAGGTCATTGTATGCAACCACATCATCAATGTATTAAATACATTGTGTTACGGTATGTCAAAAGATTCTTAAATATATTGTCGAAATCACAATAATGGAAACTTGTCATGTTAATAAAATAAATCAAATGGAATAAAAAGTGATCAAACTGGATAAAACTGTAAAGGCTAGCCAGCACTGTGGTATCACTGTCACTGACTAAATAAAACTGGAAATTTCAGGACTATTAAAAAAAAAAACTTATGAATTAAGGAAATTCACGTACAAATGCTAGTAACTTAATAAAAATAAACCGACCTCAGGATGATCCTGGCTTGGTTGATTCTCAGAGAAGAGATTTGGCTGAAACACACACAAATTGACCTTGCGTCAGATTGCTGGAAGAACTACTCACAACATTTTAATTCTATCTGTAGGAGTTGTTCTGTTTGGTCTTGAAAAAATACCAGCTGGTGTTGGGGACATCAGCAGTTTCATTATTTGTAGTTAAGGTAATAATTGTATTGAGCGCGTTCTGGGAACATGTACCGGTGCACCGGTGCAAAAAATGTGTCGTTCTGGGAGACCGGTGAGTTAACCTAGCAGACAGCTATTTCCTCTTTTTCCTCCACCGGTGCAAGAATTATGCACTGGAGAAATTGTACGGTGCATAATACACCGGCGGCCTCTGATTGGTCAGTTTCTTGGACAACGACAACAGCATGCAGCTACGGCAAGATGGCGGGTCCATCGAATAATATTCATCAGTTTTATAGGTTATGTTGCGTAATGAGTGAACAATTTATTCTACGAGGGTGTTACGTATTACGTATTAAGTGAATAATTTTCAAATAATTTATTCTGTTAAGTTTGTTTGGTTTAAATATTATGAAGTAAATAATAGGTGAATGTGTAAATTATAATCCGATGTGTACCTTAAACCGGTGAATAACCGTTCTGAGATACCAAGACTCTTGCCCGGGTGCGGTACCGGTGAATAAATCACCAGTTAATCTGCACCGGTGCACTGGTACATGTTTCCAGAACACGCCCATTGAAGTACGGTATACAGAGCAACTGATGAGTTGAGAGTAGTAGTAATCAATTGATGATTTTGATCATAAATATTTCCATTTATGATCCACACTTTGGTGTGTATTTTAAGGTGAATATGAGTAAATGACAAGTGTAGAATTGCGTGAAAAGGTCTGTAAGGTTTTGTTAGTGACTAAAACCAGCTATTTCTTAGCCAGGATCATTTACAACAAGTCTAATGATCAAGGAAAGCTGGGTCCAGTTTTGAACTGACTTTTCTCAGGATCTTATTGTTGAAAATGCCTGCCTTTTCTATTTATTTGTAATAGTCATACAGATGATATGAATGTTGTTTTTACTATCAGCTGTCTGTTACGTTGTCCAATATTGTTCCTTGTCATGAAAACATTAATGAGAAATACATTTGATTATTTTATAGTTTAAATTCGTTTTTTCGTTGTAGTTTTGCTTAGATTATCCCTAAACATCTCCACTTGGGAGAATAATTCAAGAGGTTATGGGCCCAGCATCGTTTTATGTACATAACAGTGTTGGGAAATCTAGTCTACTACGTACACGGTAAGAACAATTTATACTGACGTATTTTTCTGTCTCAATTGGTATATCTTTCGATCGAGTTCGTCCAGCTCTACAAATGGAGTACGTGAAAGGTATAAAACCATTGAAAGGAGCAGAAGATTGGCCGACGTGGAAAGATCGAGTGTTGGACGTTCTAGAGTTGTTCGACGCGGTTGATATCGTCGAGGGAAAGAGACAAAAGCCTACCCTCTCTGAGCCTCCGACTAAAGCCGAAAAGGAAGAACTTCAGAAATTCAACAAATCCACGACTCAGGCAAAAATAGTCATTTCTCAGTGCGTTAGTGATGATCTACATCAACGTATTTCCGGAAGATTATCAGCTAAGGAAGTGTGGGACATTTTGATCGAGCAGTTCGATAACAAGGCAGAAGATGAGTTGTTTCGTCAGTGTTTGGATTTCTTCAGTATGGAATGGGATGATACAGAGGATGCCCCGACCGTGCTTTCAAGATTGAAGAATCAAAACCGCGAATTTGCAGCTGGCCTCAAAACGCGTAACATCCAAACAGTCGAAGATTTTCTTGAGCTCCTGTTTGTGTCTAAAGTGTTACACATTTTGCCGAAGCGTTTTGAATCGTTCAAGTCTAGCTACTTACTTATGAAGGCAAACGAGAGCAAGAAACTTGAAGATGTTTCATCTGCATTGATCCTTCATGAGCGTAATGTTGCTCCTACGTCAAAAGCTGGTGACATTCTTAATGCCACAAACAGCGGTGGTCAGAAGAATAGGAAACCAAAAGGTGACACTTTGTGCAAATACTGTTCGGGGAAAGGTCATTGGATTCGCCAGTGTTCTAAATGGAAAGCTGACGGCAAGCCTGCGTATCCAGCTCGAGCTAACGGCATTAGCAATAGTTCAAAAACAAGTGACACTAATAAGAAGAGAACGAAGGGCTCGCAAGTTAACGTGACCGACAATCGAAGTGCGCTGATTTCCATCAGCAGTGACATGAATATCGTGACCACGAACGACCAGTGGTGGATCGACAATGGCGCTACGCGGCACATTACGTCAAATCTGAGTTGGTTCACGGAGTACAAACCTTTTCCTGCAAACTCGAACGCAACAGTAAAGGCGGCGGGAAAGGAAGTTATAAAAGCTCTTGGCAGTGAAGTCGTTGAAGTAGCGAACTATGAAAATGGAAAACTGGAAACGTTCACACTCAACGATGTATGGTATGTTCCTGACGTTTCTCGTAACTTAGTGTCCATTCTCGCAGCTCATGATCGAAACCCTAATAGCAGGTTTGAATCGACTAATACCGAGTGTCGGTTCACTATTAACGAACAAACTGTATTCAAAGGTACTCGAAACTGTGGTGGAACTTTGTATCGTGCCTCATTTCACACAGTTCAACCATCTGAGGTTTGCGCTAATGCAGCAGAAGACAATCGCATTCTGCAGTTATATCATGAGCGCTGGGGTCACATGGATAAACGCTACGTCCGATCGAAGCTCGAATCCGAAATGGGTATCAAAGTGCCAGCCAACTACGAGATCTGCGAACCGTGTCAGTTCGGAAAGGCACACCGTCTACCATTTGGAACACGAGAACGCCCCTCAGCCCCCGGTGAGTTGTTATCCGGTGATGTTTGCGGCCCGTTTGACCCATCCTTTGGAGGTCGCCGATACTTGATCGTCATAAAAGACCACTTTTCAAGGTACCGATACTGTTTTGTCGCAAGGGAAAAATCTGCTGTGAAGGAAGCGTTGCGTGAAGTGCTGGCTAAAGCACGCACAATTGGTCATCACGTCAAAGAGTTTCTCAGCGACAACAGTGGTGAGTTTGACAACGCTGAAGTTCGTCAAATTCTCAGAGAATATGGTGTTAACCAACGTCTGACAGCGCCGTATACACCCGAGCAAAATGGTGCTGTAGAGAGAGAGAACAGAACAATCGTCGAAATGGCCCGGACCTTCAAGTACGCCAATCCAAATGTAACTTTTCCTGCAGCGATCTGGGCGGAACTTGTCATCACTGCTGGCTACGTTTTGAACCGAGTGGGAAAGTCAGCAGTTGCCAAAAAATCACCCTATGAGCTCTGGTTTGGTCAAAAGCCGAGGATCAAACATCTGCGAGTGGTCAGCTCAAAGTGCTACGTCCATGTTCCTGTTCAGAGGAGGCGAAAAATGGACAAGAAAGCTGTGGTTGGTTACCTGGTTGGATACGATGGCGATGAACGATATCGAATCTACGTCCCAGAGAGAAGAGATATCGTAGTTTCTCGTGACGTCGTTTTTCAAGAAATCGTTGGAGACTGTGACAAGAAAGTTGAATGGCCCATCAAGATTGAGAAAACCAATGACGTCGAAGAAGATTGGCAAGAAGTTGAAGAGACTATTGACGAGCCTAGTTCTCCAGTGAAGGGTAATAATGCGCCTATACCGACTGAAGACCCGTCAAGTAGCAGTAATAGTGCAGATGGAGAGTTATCCAACGATCCTGCAACTCGGCACTCGACTCGGGAAAGAAGGCAACCCGAGTGGCTGAACGATTACGTCTCGTCTAACTTTGCCGAAGTTCTTCTTGTTGACGATGAACCTAAGTCTTACACTGAAGCCATCAGTTCAGAAGATAGTGCTGAATGGAAAACAGCAATGGACAAAGAAATGGCGTCCATGCATAAACACGGTGCATGGGAATTGACCGAACTCCCTCCGGGAAAGAAGACTATCAACAACAAGTGGGTCTACCGAATAAAGCGCAATCCTGATGGAAGTGTTGACAAATATCGAGCGAGATTGGTCATCAAAGGATGTGCGCAAAGACCTGGTATTGATTATGCCGAAACCTTCAGCCCGGTTGCTCGTCTGGAGGTCGTTCGATCAATATTGTCCATCGCAGCTGTTGAGAAGATGGTTCTACGGCAGTTTGACGTCTCAACTGCGTTCTTGTACGGAGACGTTTAAGAAGAGATTTTTATGAAGCAGCCTGAAGGATATTCAGATGGGACAAATCGTGTTTGTTGTCTCAAACGCAGCTTATACGGCTTGAAACAGGCACCTCGATGCTGGAATAAACGGTTTGACGACTTCATGAAAGGCTTAGGATTTCGACAGAGCCGTGAAGATCCCTGCGTCTACATTTGTCCTACCCCTGCTGGAAAAATCATCGTTGCACTCTATGTTGATGACGGATTAGTCGCAGCGACTAGTCAGACTGAAATGGATTTATTTATTGGGCAACTTCGTTCACAATTTGAAATTGTTGCTAAAGAAGTGTCATACTTTCTCGGATTTGAAATTTCTCAAAGTGATGGTGATATATTTGTCTGCCAATCAGCGTATATCAAGAAGATCATTTCTCGATTTAACATGGAAGGATGCAAGCCAGTACTTACTCCCATAGAGAAGCTCACTGCTCAAACACCAGGGAAAGCCTCCGATTTTCCATACCGATCGGCAGTTGGAGCCCTACTTTATGTTGCTCGTGGTACTCGTTTTGACATTGCATTTAGTGTAAGTGTTCTATCACGTCACTTAGAAAATCCTACACAAGATGATGTCACCAGAGCAAAGCGTGTTATACGCTATTTGACCGGCACTGTGGACCAGAAGCTAGTGTACCAATCAAAACCTAAAACACGTCTACTGGAGTGCTATAGTGACGCGGACTTTGCTGGTTGTCCAACTACAATGCGTTCAACAAGTGGAGTTATTATTAAATACGCGGGTGCAGCAATAACTTGGCTTAGTCGTCGTCAGGAGTTAGTTGCGGACTCAACTTGTGAAGCTGAAATCATTGCAGCTAATCTTGGTTCAAAAGAAACAATCTGGATTGCTCGTTTGTTCAAAGAACTTATAGGATTGTCTGCTGTTCCTATCCTGAAAGTTGACAACAAATCAGCAAGAAAACTCTGTGAAAACCCCGAGTTTCACTTTCGTACAAAACATATCCAGCGGAAGTACCTGTTCATTCGAGACAGGATAAATATAGGTATGCTGACTGTAAAGCACATCGGTTCAGAATATCAACTAGCAGATATACTGACGAAGCCTATACCTCGACCAAGACTTCAAGTTCTGCGAGAAAATCTCGGACTCTCGGCATGACTATGCAAATAAGGGAAAGTGTTGAAAATGCCTGCCTTTTCTATTTATTTGTAATAGTCATACAGATGATATGAATGTTGTTTTTACTATCAGCTGTCTGTTACGTTGTCCAATATTGTTCCTTGTCATGAAAACATTAATGAGAAATACATTTGATTATTTTTATAGTTTAAATTCGTTTTTTCGTTGTAGTTTTGCTTAGATTATCCCTAAACATCTCCACTTGGGAGAATAATTCAAGACTTATGACTGAGTATCTCTGTGACTCATGATTGATTGTTCAAAATATCAACAAAATAATGGAAGCCAACTTAAAAATTGGAAACAGAATTGTGATGATAAACAAGTTTAACAATAATTAATATGTTGCCTGTGTGTTTGAGTAGGTAACATTTTATGTCATCCTTTGCATTTCACCAGCTTGAGTGGTATCTTCAAAGGGTCTTCTTAAGTTATCTTCTTATCACTAACACTATATAGCTTAGTCCATAAGATATTACACAAGCTGGCAAATGCATAGGGTGGCACAAATCTTACATATACCTACTGAAGAACATGGACAAGAAAAATAAATGTAACCTAACATAATTCAAGTTCTTTATTCTGGGACATCAAATAAATATTAGCAATTTAATTATCAAATGTGAAATGGTAATCAATAGGAAGAATATACTTCATCAAACATGTAAAAAGTGACTCTGAGCTAAAACCTTTCTAGCTAGTGTCCAAAAATTTCCCTTTTGATAGTAGTACCAGTTTTGAAATATGCTACTAGGAAAACTTATTAAAACTTTTAATAAGTAAATTATAGTTTTGTAGGTTAAAAAAAGAAACAATAAAGCTACATAATGTTATTCTATGTAAGCCTTCACAAATTTCTCAACTTGCACTACTTGCAATTTTCAAGTGGATTTATTGAAAAAAAAATATTTCAACCATAAGTAAGGGTCGTTTGTGGTCCAAACCATGGCCAATGAGCAAGTGATATAAATCAACCTATTTTTTAAAAAGATATCAAAATACAGCTTATAATACTGATAAATAGTTCACTTAATTTTTAAGATGAAATACGAGGTAAAAAGGCACCTAAAGTCAATTCTCGGTATCACCGGTTCTTGGGAAAAGTACCGATTCCAAGAGCCAAGGTTAAAATGTTGACAGGCAACAAGAAATATATATTAAATCCAATCTAAATGTGTAACTCAACAAAAAATGAAAAAAATATTATTGGTTAAAATGGTAATGGTTTAAATACATTTCTTTAAGACTTACAACTAAATTAATTTCAGGAACATAGGAAATAAACCTGAACACACTTCACACTGTTTATAAAAATGTAAAATAGATTTAAATAAATTGTTACAAACATCTAAGTTTAGGTATTACGTTTTGCACCAGAGTTTGCATAGGCATTTCCAAGAGAAATGGCTGGGGAAAATCCTAAAACATTCACTTTGATTAGATTTTTTGGAAAATGAATTAACTACGGATCGTAAACATGATTCATGATATAGATATGGATATGGATGATATGGATATGGGTTATATGAAACATGATATGGATAATGAAACAAATTACACTTTAGGACACAAACTTTGATGAGCAGAGGATAAGTCATTTAAAAAGGTATCAATTATCATTTATTGAGACCCTAGATGCGTATTTTAACCCAAATATGAATTAAGGATGAGTGTAGAATGGAGCGAGATGACCTGTGTAGCTTTTTTAGTTACTGACTAAGACCGGTATTCTTTTAAATACATCAGCTTGTATAATTGATGACTTAGATTTTTAAATGCAGTGATCTGGTTTGAAGCAGTGCAAAACTCATTAAGTACTCATATCTTGGTAGTATTATCTAAACAATTTTTGTCTGGTAATGTATCTCTCTTGTGTATTATACCATAGACAAATAGAATAAATATAGACTATCAAAGGAAGGTTCCGGCGCCCACCGCTAGGAGTGCCGTGTAGTTACGGCGCACACCACTGCAGGCGAGGAGCGCAGGAGCCGTATGCGACCGGCAGACGCTGCAGCGGTGTGTGCCATAACTACAAGGCAAACCTATGGGTGGACGTCAGAACTTATGATAACCGCAGCACAGCTGACGGTCTATATTTATTATTTTTGTCTATGCTTATAATCCTACAATAATTATGTATTATAATGTTTAACAAATCGTTATTATATTGTGCTTGTATTACTGTAAAAAAATGTTATCCCAGTATAAATTATTTGTTTTAATTTTAGTATTTTTGTACGTTTTGACGTTGATTTAAGGTTAACTCTAATAGTTTGAATCTCATGATGATTCCATCAGATTATGTTGAAAAACGTCATGTTATGAAAAAATTTTAGTTTGTTCTTGGTGTGTTTAAAAGGAATTACAGCAAAAAAAATTAATTTTTATGTTAAGAAGAAATAGATTTTTATGAAATCATTGACTATAATATTTTATACTTACAGGGAGGTGTGGCGAGACTACAGAAAGCTGCGGATGACCTAGGTTCTTCTAAAAATACAAGAAACATAGATAAAAAAACCACACTTGAGGAAAAAAATCTTAACATTTTTAATCATCAATTTTCATCTTGCAATGAAATAGGGTCTGCATATAATACTTTAAAAAACTATTTAATCTCTAATTCTGACATCTACTACCGTTTTGCTTGTTGTCCAAACTGAAAAATTTCTCAACCAAATAAAGTCATTTGAAAATTTACAGGGTTTTTTACCACTTATAATATGAAAAACTTTAGTTTCTTCACTTGCATTTATTACTGCACATGTTTATTGTACATTGTTCAAAGCACAGTGGAATATGTACATCAAAATAGAGCATCTTTGTGGATAGTGAAATCATAATCAATTAATTGTAGTACTCACATGTGCATCCAAAGTCCTGGGAACCACGACTGAAGGCTGGTTCTGAAAAATTGTTTTAACAAATAATTCTTAAATGCATACAAGTAAAAAAATTTGATAGTATAATTAATAATAAAATCTTAGTAAAACATTTGCATAAACTTTACATAACATGTAAAGTTTATGCAAATGTTATGTTCATGCAAATTTATGTAAATTTTTTTACAAGTATTTATATTATAAAGTAGTTATGATTTGATAAGTTACAGGAAAAAACAAAGCCTCAAGAATATGGGCCGAAATGTTAGCTGACTTTTGGATCAAAGCCATCATTGTCAATTATTTCCCAATAAATGTTTTTTTTTTTCAAATATTGTTTTCTGGAATTAAAATTTTAAAACTGAACATGGTAATACCATATCAATAACCAACAAGAATAAAACATTATCAAAAGATTCCATGTTAATCGATAGCATATAAAATATATTGACAAGATACTTTCAACCATATTATTTTACAGTTACTTCACTCTGGTTGAGACATTATTTTTCATCATTTCAGAAGTAAATACAAAACTAAACAAAGACTTGGTTAAAAAGGAAAAAAGACACAGTTTAATTTGTTTTCATTTTCATTTTTGGAAACAAACTTATTACCTTAATAAACTAATATTATTAATAATATTAATATTTAATAAACTGCCAGAAGACATAACAAGCTGCCAAGACAAAAATATATTTTAAAAAAAGGCAAAAAAATTACTTGATAGAAAAGGCTTACTACAAATTGGAAGAATTTTTGGAGGAGTAAGAGAAGATAGGCACTACCAGAAATACATTTGACGGCCACTGCTGGAAAGCTACTAGTGGGATCATCACGAGTATAGTAAGTATAATAAAAACTGCACCTTATTAAATAAAATAATTACCTGCAGGTTTTGATTGTTCGTACCAGCCATTACAATAGCCTGTAAAATTACAAACATGAATTAAAACCAAATAAAACTTGTTGAGGTGTTTAGACAGTTATTAATATGGTGAATATTTTAAATGGTAACATCACGCTATGCAGTGTTGATGTATGCATAATATGCAGACATAGCATATTATTGAGATAGATAATATATAATATTATTGAGACTCCATTCTTTTATATTAGCAAAGCATATGCTTGGAGATAGGTATATAATAAAATACTTCTTAAACCCTTATTCAATATATTTAAACTTACTCTGTCAACTTTACTATTACAAGACTGGAATCATCAATTTGATTTTAAACTGATGATAACCCATTGACTGATAGAAATTGATTGTAATTTTAACACATCTTACGTGCATTTACCATCTAGTAATAGATTTCAGTATAAGTATAAATAAATTGAAGAGTGTTAGATAAGAAGACGTGTCTTGTTGTATAGTTACATAGGCTAGCTTACATCAGCCCATACTGACTTCTGGACAGCTAATGACATACTTGTGTGAAATTGGATCATAAACCTTTTGGTAATTTATCCTGATTAATTGTTATACCGATTGTAAGATGTTTTCACTATATGAAAGCTACACAATGAAATATAAATATAATGCATTGCTATTGGTTAATCATAAACAAAAAAGTGCTTCATAGTAAATATTTAATACCTAAAAGCTAACGCTAGTCAAAGTTAACTTCTTCATCTTTACCTAAAAAATTAACAGTTAAAAACTTACTGCTGATTCCGATGCCCCTCGTAGATTTTCTTTCTTTTCCTTCTTTTTCTTCCGTTTCTCTTTCAGCGTCAGTTTAGGTTTCTTTTTATCGGTCTTATCAGTACCCTTGTTTTTGTCTTTAGCTTCTATTTTGTTTGTGTCCTATAAGAATGAAAGAACATAAGCGAATGAACTTTAAAAGTGACTGGAAATATGTTACACTTTCCATTGGCCATTAATTTTTCCTGACACAAATTTCAAAAACTATACATAGTTTTCTTATTTCTTAACAATTTCTATCCACCTACTGTGCACTTTGTTTACATTTTCATGAGCTAGGTTTCAGTCTTTAAACGTTTATCAAGCTTTAGACTCAAGACTGCTATTCTACTGTAGGTATGGCATTTAATGAGTTTTTACAGCTAGCTGATGTGAATAGTAAATGGTGATATTTTTTTCATCTGACTTGAATAAGAATTATATTTTAAAAATTAAAATTGTATAAACATATTTAACTTACTAGGGTGTAAATCTTCTACAGAAATCTTAAAATAAATATGCGAGTCTGGGAAATTTTTCAAGTAGGATTTTTATTGATCTTATACCAATAACAAGTTATGCAGTAAAATAAACACCTACCTCAACATTACTGTGGTCTGGTTGATTATCAGAATGGGTGTTTGGCTACAACAAACAAAGTAGGTGATATAATATGCAGTGAAAGAAATGAATCTAGATTTAAATCTAAATCTTTAGTGGTTAAAAGTTTTGAGGTGCACTAGCAAAGAATTCACCCATCCCGTCAACTTCCATCAGTTCTATTTTTTTAGGTGGGTCTGTTTTACCACAGCCTCATCAAGAGGTGCACACTGCACAGTATACCTGACCAAGGCAAGGTTTGAACCATCGACCCTGCTCTCTACTCACTATTGAGACAAAACCTTAGACCGCTCAGCCAATGGTCAGACTTAAGTCTGCTGCATTAACACTGCTGGTTGACCCCAAAATTGTTTTCCAGGCTGCAGATTGTGCAGGAATAGCTTTCAATAGTTTTTATTCAGTTATACAGGGTGTTTTTTTTTATAAAACACAACCAAACTAACAAGTATAGAGTGTCACTGTTTAGGGACAAAACAAGCTAATAAGTTGGTAGTCCTGCTTCCCTTTCTTCATTACCGATCAGCTGATATGCCTTTGATGCATTGTTGTCTCAACAGCTCAGTGCTATAGGAATTATTTTTAATAAGACTCAACATTGTGTTTTGGAAACTTCAAAGATTATGTAAGTTATTGTAGAAGAATTACATTTAAAGTAAAAATTCGTTTTATATAAAGAAAGGTTTGCAATTAAGTTTCCAGGGGAGATTTCAGTTACGAATTAATCATATACAGGTTATAAAAATGTGAAGATGCCATATTTATTTTCTATAAATATGCATTTACAAATCTTGAACATGGGTTCAAGATTTATTAATGCATCTTTGAGAGAAAACTGTGTTTAGGCATATTCACAATCAATTCCCAACAACACTTAACCAGATAACAATGCAACAATAATTATCAGCTAGCGGTAATCAAGTAAAAAATATCATTAAAAATAAAGCATAGCAGCCAATAAACAGACTTGTTTTGTCCCTAAACTAAATCTTTTGTATAATTGTAAAATTTTGATTTTTTATAAAAACCCACCCTGTACTTGCATAGATAGTTGTAATTAGAAGTTTGGTTATGTCAGTCTTGCAACTGATATATTGAATGTTGGAGTTGGAACGGTTTGGTCAAATAATACAAACTGTTTAAGGAAAAAGTAATTGCAAACATACCCCAAAATGACTCGGGTCAGGGAGATGGTCGGTCGGGTGATTTACCTGAAAAATACAAATGCTATTAAAAAATGTGAAAATAAAATAAAACTAAGTTGCATATTACAAGATGTTTTTATAAAATTTAGATAAGTTTTAAAATAAATAAAATACCAGACGTAAGTAAAAAAATCTTAATTTTAAAGGCTCCGAGTGGAGATAACATTGGGGTGCATGATATGTTTAAACATTTTAGCATCTTTTTTACTTAACAAGGTGGAGTACAGAATTTCTCTGGAAATTGTTTTAATACAACTTTGGTTAGAACCACTAATTTATACTGGAACACATAAGAGTTTAGAAACAAACAATCAATGTCAAAACCTGATCAATGTGTCTGGATACAGATACAGCATTCAAGAAAATCTCATTTGAAGTTGTAATTGAGGTGATAACGCTTGTGATTATGAAGAAAAAAGTTATAAAGTGTAACGATACCAACCAGGAAAAATTTGTGAAATGCTTTTGAAAACTTAAAAACATGTATATTGATATGCACTAAACGACAGTGGATCTGCGCTTATAGAAATTGATGACCATTTTGATTTTAGTAAACCTACCCGACTGTTTCTTCCGATCCTATTCTGAACAACACGTTGCGGAAATTTTAGAAATGCTGGAAGGAGGAAGCTACTGAATATACTCACAACAGAACCCAACTACAACACAAAAAAACAGAGAGATAACATTACTATTCAAAAAACGCCAGAGTTTTAGGAACTAGAAGATGATTTTGTTTACAAAGTGAAAACCCAGAAAACTGAAAAAATCCTCCAAAACTGTACTACTATTGGGGAGATTTTGTTGAAGTAGGTATAGTGAAAACTGAAAAAATCATAAAGTCTGGAAAATCAGCCAAAGAAACCGTCAATAAAAGACTAAGATGAACGAATGGAAAACTTTAAAGTTTTAACAACTCATATACACAAACTCACACACATAAACTACAACTACAGGTTACCATGGTGGCAAGCCGGCGCATGCTGATCTCTGGACCTTTGAGAGGTTTTACTGTTGCCTCTTCACTGACATCAGCACCGGGCGGTGTAGGTAGGTCGGGGTCCTTTGAAGTGTAAATGGCGTCCCAAAACTCATCAGGCTGAAAAGACATTGCAATGTGATGATTTAATTCAGTAAAAACAGTGCCATCCACTGATTCACTCAGTATGGTTACAATAATAATTAAGTATACATTCAGCAGAATAATTTTTCCAATGCATTTTTTTCAGCTGACAAACGTTGGATGGAAGGAAGAATACTTTCTCGTGTTTGTTTTTTGTTGCATTGTGATGTTTCCTTTAACCAAAAAAAGTAAAGTTTTTCATTGCAAAAAATTCTTGAAAACTAAGTATTTCAAAATAACGTCTAACACATTGTTCAAAGTAAATTATGTTCATGTGACTGATAGATGATTTGCTGTATAAAGAAAGTATAACTGTTTTGACTAACCCACCGAGTTCCCAAGTTTGAATCTGTCTTGATTATCAATGGCCACGCTTAACTTACCTGATGATGAAGAGGAGCAACATACGGCTCTCCGTGTATTGGAGCAAACGTTCCTGCCCAGTTTGTGATCTCCACTGTTCCGTTCTCTGGGTAATCCTTAATCAACTCTTGTTCAAGATCAGACTTCCTGTTGGGATCGGCTGGCTTCACTTTCAATAGTTCCATGGCAGGTCTCTCTTTAGAGGCTAATGATCCACCGTTGGTTGAAACTGAAAAACATTAAAAGTTTAATGATATGCCTTCATGATTAGTCAATTTTTGTTGGTACTAGGATCCAAACTCTTGACTTCGCTGCTATGGATTTTTAGTCTTTCACGTTAAAGACTGAGCCACCAACTCAGATATACATAGTGTCCGTAGACATGCTTCTATTTGTTTAAAGTCCAAACAGGTAAACTAACATTTAGTGATTTAGTTCAGGATCTAGTCCTATTTAACCATGGGAAAGGGGAAAGGCTTGTACTCCAAAACTATGTTTGTATCATGGTTTTTATAAAAACTGAAGCCTAATCACCTTGCTTAATCAAGCAAGTCCATTTGTTTAAAGTCTCAGTACAAAGCTGTGAAAGTCGTTCACTCCTTGGCAATAAAAAGAGTTCTTCAGTATAGACTTTTACTGGCCATTAAATAGATTAATAAAAAGTAATAAAACTGCAACTGCTGCTTCAAACCTAAACGTAAGTATTATTTTTAGCTGAACTGCTAGTTGACAGCATACCTTTCCTTCTACTTGATGAAGGGTTCGATCCTGCAGCACTTCTATAGGGTTCTTCTTTCTTAGCTGCATTGTGTAAGTTTAACACTCTTTCAGTGGTGACTTGGAAGTGAACTTCTCTATCTGACAGCTGTTTACTTTTCTCTTTGAGATGTTCATCTTTCTCCATGTACAATACATTACCAGTAGTCATTTCCAACCGTAATGAATGGTCTTCTGCAGTTTTTTTGTTCAAAGAGTGTTCTTTTTCATCACTCAAAGGATGCAGTTTCAAATTATTATCATTGACATTGATTCTGTTTTTACTACTCTTTTTACCAAGTTTTACCCTCTTGCCCTTTTTCGTCTTATGAGCTGCTTTAATTTTCGCCTTCTTCTCTGACTTTGTCTTAGCCTTTTCGTTAGATGCAGAACCCTGTGAAAAAATACATTGACAGTGTCAAAATAACAAAAATTTAATGATGACTATTTTTTTCTGAACTTAGTCCTTTTTGTGGCAGTAGGGATATTTATAAGATTCATGGCCTACTTACTAACTTAAAACGACTATATTTTGTAAAATAGTAAAAACTAAAACTTAGACTAAACCTGTTCAATTAAAAACTATTTTATAATAAAAGGCTGTATTAAAATATTATTATTTAATATGATTGATTGACTAGTTTAAACAACTGACTAGTGCAGCAATATCTCACCAATCCGGACAGCTGAGTTTGGAGTACAGACAACTTCCCCTGAAAAATATTATTATGCATATTTATGAATAAAAGTATAGATAAACAAACAAATTGTGATATTGCAATTACAAAACATCCATGGTCACAGTTTAAGTGTAATTGCATATTAAATATATGTTTGATCTTCTAAAGGTTTTTAGAACCTAAAACTGTAATACTTTGATACAAAATTATTAAACATCTGAAACTTGGTGACTCCTAGAGGGGGGGGGGGGGGGCACTTCTCACTTTTTCATTTTTGACCCTCAAAACACCAAATTTCCCAATTTCTCTCTAGACCTTTTTAAAGAGCTTAAAATAAGCTACCTATATCAAAGTGTTTTTTTACAGTTATTATTAACGGAGAAAATTCTAAAAAATTGTAAATATAAAATTCCCATGGTATTCTTATGGAGAGTATTGTAAAATGTTTTAGTTAGCTTGTTTATTGATATATTTTGATCAAACTTGGTAAATTAATTTCTTTAGTACCTACTGACGTACAATGATTAATCATTTATAAACAAAACCCCTCAATAGATATTTCCTTATAAGTTTGCCAAAAGACAACAATAGACAATAGACAATTATGCGCCTAATGGTTACAAAGAAAATTCCAAAAAATTTTAAATTTCAAATTCCCATATTATTTTTATGGGGAATAAGTAAACGGTTGTAATTTGCTTGTTTATGAACATATTATGATAAATTTTGGAAAATGTATTCATTTCATACTAAACTATTAACATTTCACACACAAAAACAATTTTTACCCTCCCTGCTGCAGCAAACCTAAGTACTCGTTAAAAATTCTATTTAAATAGGGAATAAAAGTGATATTTTTAAGAAGATATTTTAGAATAAATCCAATCAGGCAAATGGAAATCTGCTTAGCCTGCAGGTTTGCTGCGGCGGGGATATTTAATGTTAGGTCTGTTTACCACAATATGCCAATTTCTAAAGAAGCTTATAAGTTCACGCAAGTTAGGCCATGTTTAGTCTCTTGTTTGACACCAGTTCTCAGTCAAATTGCAACAACTTTATTTTCAGAATTAAGGACGTAAAAACTAAGATTATGTAACTGTTTTAAATTTGCCACTTTACCTCACCTCACTGACCTGCTTTAAACTATCCAATCTCCCAACAGTGAACTTGTTAAACATGTCATAAAGTTCCTGAAAAAATTGGGGACACATAAAAATTTAATTAATTAGATTTAAAATATATCAACCTACCTGTATGTGGTTGTGGTGGATACAAAAGAACTGTATCTATCATTATACACAACTTGTACTTCCTACATGTTATTTAAAACAACAGAAACATTGGCAAGATAAATGTTTATTTGTTGTTAGATAGTGGTGATATGATTATCAATATGAGGATAAAAACATAATTAGGGACCATTTGCGATAGTTACAACTTATTTAGTGTGGAAAAAATACTACTTTTTAAGAGTAATAACATTCAAAACTGTATATTTTCTACTATCATATTATATACTAGCAGAGTACCCGTCCTTCGTACGGGGTTGGCATGTAAGTATAAAGTGACATTAGCGTATGGTTTGACAGCTCCATTTAAGTAATGTTAAATAATGTTTACATTCAGGATAGTGACATCATTATTTTAAATATGATCCTTACCCTCTCTGTTCTAATATTCATGCAGTATTTAAATGAATGTTTGAACCAGCTGTATGGAATTGTGAAATCAAAATTAATTTGACAGTTAGTACTGCTTGTTTACATTTTTAAACTTTGTAGGTTTGTTCTTTGTTGTCATGGATACCATCAATCAAAATTTACTTTGAAATCTCTCACCTCCGATTTTTGAAAGCCCACGGGGCAGAGCCCGAGGTCAATATCGAAGCGGGAATGGTTCTATATGTATCCTCGGAACTGTAGCTTCATGTGTGTGCAATTTGAGCCCAATAGGTTCAGTAGTTTTTGAGATTAGCTCATACAAACACACACACACACAGACACCACCTCTTCTTTATAATAGTATAGATTTTGATATATTGGTATAAGAAACGTGAAGAAATGTGCTCTCTTCAATTTAGCTAAGTTAAGAGTATTTACAATGGGACTAACTGTCTCTTGTGCTTGGTTGGCCAACCGTACTGGCAATTAAACAGTAAAGAATTGTTTTTACATTAGCTGTCTCTGATGCTCACTTTGCCAGAACCTTTCTCCTGTATCAGCTTTGTAGCCATCATGGCATCTTCTTCCTTTCAGCTTAGATTTATTTTAGTTTCTAAAAAACAATCACCACTTAGCAAAAATCATAAGAAACCACATTTTAAAAAGTGTTTTTTACCAGTGTTGCTAGCTCTCTGAGCATTGAATTGTTTTTACACCTGTGTGTTTTACCCTATCGACATAAACTCCCAGAAACTGATAAAATTTAGAAAATGAAAAATTGAAAATTTTGAATTAAAAATGAGTTATTACAGTGCCACTGCCTATTGAGAATCAATATAATGTTTATCCAAACTTCAGTGTGAAAGTACAGCTGGCCACCCTAATTTTTAAAACCTAACTTATACGGTAATTTGTCTTTAAAATTAAAAAGGGTTAGCTACAAATAAAATAATTAGGAGAACATAAAATATTAAAAAGGTTTCAATAATAAGATTTACTCACATCTTCAATATGCGGCTTTGAATCCTCAGTTTCTCGTGTTGTCCACAGCTAAAGCAGACCATTCAGAAGGGAATAAGAAATTTTAAATACAATTTTAATTTCACTATGAATAGCATGATAGAACTGATTGTAAGCTATTCAAATCAAATGTATAATCAGTATGGCACATTTTTTACAATGGAAAAGAAACGTGTACCAGTTTGAAATATATTCAATCTAGAAACTTATAAGTATTTTTTTAAGCTTTATAAAAAAATTTAATTAATGATTTATCTATAATCTTTTCTCAATTTCAATCAGCCTCTTTGTACAACACTACCAAAAGTGAACACACCTTACTCTCGCTAGGGATGTAATGTACTTCCGAGTCATCATCGTCAAAGTCCGGCCATGGAGTCGTCGCCCACATCAGAGGCTCGTGGCTGTCCTCGGGTGAGTCAGGCATGCGGTAAATACTGCACTCGTACTGGCCGTAAGCACACAACAAACTCAGTCAAAACTCTGAGGTTTGGAGAAATTGTCAACAGCTACTGTCAAATTAAATAATTCAACATTGTACAAATGGACATTGAAAAAATCCTTACTTGTTCATACAATTAATAGAACTAGACATTCCGTTCTAACGTTAATGTTGTAGCTAGTTGTTAAATGAAACTGAGCTTGGTTGGATTGTGCCACCTACAGGGTGCCCTAATGTAAGATACTGATTTCTGTGGAATCTGTCAATTTAGAAACCAAGTCAAACTGAAAGGAGAAATCATTTTAAACAATAGCATCCTTTATGTCAAATTAACTATCACAGCAAAATGAACTAAAGGCAGATATAGAATTTTAGACTACAACACACTCTGAAAGAGGATCATTCAAACTACTGTACGTTTGGCTATAGTCGATCCATATAAAAGAGATGTTTATTTCAGTATCCAAAAGTCAATGGTAATATAACTGGCACAGTAATCAAAATCTCAACAAGAAAAAAAGGAGTAAATTATTTATATTACATTTTCGCCCATGAAATAATTTTTCCAGTATCTGGATTGGCCTTGTTTCTTTTGGCCTATTATGTAAAATTATGTTAGTAAAAATTTTTATGGTAATTATAATATTTTATATTTGTCCCTTATCAAATTTCAAGGAATTTAAATGTTTTTCTCTGTTGAATAGTTATAACAATCATATTAAATGGAGCAATTAACCTCATAAGTAGTCATGTGAAATAAACAATGGATTAACAACAAGACATGTAACATATTTCATTGTGAATAATTATACACTTCAAATTGACCATAATGACTTGTATGTTGATTTACAAACTCTCATATTTCTCCACCATGACCATGACTATTTACATGACAAGCTATTTCTGTACTAACCTCTTCGGTGGTGAGCTCTGTCGGTTGCAGGGTTGATTTCACTGTTGCACTCATAGATTGTGGCAACACTGGCTTCATTGATAAAGTAAAATCATTGACACTTCTTCTTCTTCTTCTTCTTCTTCTTCTTCTAGTTTTCTCCTGAATGCCAATGACTTTTGCCATATTTTCAAATATTTTACATAATTATACAGCATAATATTTTTATACAAAATGTCAGCGTGTATGCAACAAAAAAGGTTTAAAACAGGTTGGCAGAACACTTTTTTTCTAAAATATCATTATCAGATGACATGTAAAAAAAAAAATTAAAGCCAAAGAAATCACCTATTGTATACGGTGTTTCAAAGAAAAAAGGTATTATTTTCATAAATACTTCTATTTCTAAAATAAATCACCCATTTCAGTACCAATCATGAAAATCCATACTGCCACAAAAGTCTGCATTAAAAAAGTCTATTGGTAGGTGTTGCAAAATACCTCAATTAGTCTGAAAATTAACGTTTTGCTATCATGTTTGACCAAACATTGTACAAAGATAAATGAGTATAGATGATTCAAGTTAAAAATTTTATTCAACAGGTAAGAGGTGATAACCATAACCATACAACCTTTTTTATGCAGGCTCGTCTATTTTAGCATACTACAATAACTTTCACATAGAATAACTTTAAATCTAAGACTTTGAGGAATCCCAACTTACTTCCTCCAAACTCTTACTTCCGCTCCCTTCGTAATTTTCTTCCGAGGAAGAATACACCGATGCGTCAGAACTCATGGTGTAGGACACCTGTAGAAATACAATGCTTTGATTGTATTTTGAGCGGTTAAGACAAATATTTCATGCATATAAATAGAGGTATCTATAGACTTACTCCATGGCATTGGTCAAGTGCCAAAACGACATATTCCTCCTTGGAAGAACAACAAATAGAAGTATGAAAGAAGATTGTTGGGATTCCGACAAAACCTTTCCCAACTTACATCTACTTCCTTTTCTTTGGTTTCATCCGCTGAAGAATCTTGCACAGGAAAAGCATCTTCTGCACTAGAGCTCATGGTGTAGGAAATCTCTGAATACTGGAATACACTTGGATTGGTCAACATTTAATCCATATTAAATCTAGATTCTTTTTAAGTTAAGATTAATGTATGGTACATTTATCATAAACAATAAACAATAACTTTGTAACAATCCAGGAACAAACTTGATCTCCACCATATCTACACAAATTTGTAGAGAGGAGGGATGCAATCTAAACGATACCTGATTTATAGGGTTACAGAGGATTGTTACGATTAGGAACATTATCTAAGAAAAGAATGACTGAAAGTTAGTTCAAAAGGAAAACGTAACCTCTCACACTCAGCTTAGATTAGGCTTAATTAAACTATCATAAGACCAATTTTGTTTGATGGCTCAAACGAGAGACTCCAAAACTGTTAAAAGAGATTTAATTTTTTTAATTTGAGAATTATTTCACCAGAAGTGAACAATATTTGAATATAAGATGACAAGTAGATTATAAGTATAGCTGTAGTTGGGCCAAACAAATTTAGGGAATAGGTTAAACAAATAGCAAACAAGACAATAAAAAAACACAGCTGAAAGATGAAGACTCTCTGGAAGATCTAAAACAAAATTGTAGTATCGTGATTATTATAAAAATATAATTACTTTAAGACAGTGAGCCACACCAAGGTGCTTATTTTAAACTGAATAGGAATGCAAGATGAGTGTAGAATGGAGGGAGGTTATCTGTGTTGTTTTTTTACTGGCTTAGATGAACCGTTTCTTTAGGCACGATAGTTTATTTGAAGCCCAGTGATCAGGGACAGCTGGTTCCAGTTTTGAGCAATCAAAAAGCTATATTTTCTGTTTCTCATGAGAAAACTGGAAACCTTTTGATTGAATTATAACCATTCAACTACCCAGACAAATTACCCATCAGCTCGAGAAAGAGACAAGAAGATGACAGACCTCAATGAAGAGGGATTACAAATGACTGAAACTTCTGCGTATGATTTTGATGAGGACTGGAACAGACCGGGTTACAAGTGGAAACCACAGAAAGTATTAAGTAGAATTAGAACAAGAGTATTGTGGTTAACAAGATTAGTTTTGTAAAAACAAAAGGGTTTTAAAGTATTCATAACAGAAATGCTACAAAGGAGAGCCATATAAAAACAGTGATAAGAAACTGTTGAGAGTATAAATATACATCAATCAATGAAAAAGGATGTTAAGTGAATAGAAGAATGTGAAGCGGATCACTTGACATTCAAGCAAAGCTCAGAAAAGAATAAGTGACTGAATTTATCATCTATAGACTTGATGGTACTCCTTACATCAGAGGAACTGCCAGATATTGCCTTGGATCCGCTGCTCTCGTCTGTAGAATCTGAGGAAGCGGGAGGCGAGGAGTCAGGCCCGGAGTGAGGGATGGCTGACATTGAGACGTCCTTTGACTTCTTCTCTTCTTCTGACGTCAGTGAAATCTCTTCAGTGGACTGTGAAAGAGTAACACATAATCATATTATAACAATGAAAGGTAAAAAGTTGATATTCAAGGTGTTCAAAATGAAAATATATTACTGGTATTGATGTAATATGTTCAAAGTATTGACTTAATATTTTGAAAACAACTTGGAATCCTCAAATAGTGAGCTTCTAGTATGTAGTGAAGTCAAAGGTCAGACTCAAACTCTAACTCAAACCATTCATTGGTCACAAAATATTTCTGTTGGTTCCAGCACCTGGTGAAATATGTGACAAGTCAATAACTTAATTACTAAGACTAGACTGTGAATAAGATAATCCCTTCACAGAATAAACTATATAAAAGAGAAGAGAGTCATTTCTACGGCAATACATTTAATCCAGTTACAGAGATTGAACTTCTTTTTTAAGTCAGTGTAGAATGTTGTTATATTTTAAGTTTAAATATTTCTGTCAAAATTGTACATAATCTTATCTTATTATAGAACCTCAGTTTTATCCTCAGAGGTATCAGAGCTATCATCATCTTCTTCTTCATCATCATCGTCAGAGCTGTCATCATCATCTTCGTCATCATCATCAATGTCGTTTTTGTCTTCCTGAAAAATAAAAATAAATTGTAGTGAAATGTTTTGTGAATAACAGAACAAGTCTTGTTTTTATCATTAGTTATTTTCCTATTTACCAATAGTTTATACTTAACATAGGCAAGTAGTTATATTAAAAAGTCTAATATCATTTGAATAGACAAGGGAGTCAACAATACAGCTCTGTATACATTTAAATTGAAAGTGGAAATTACATCAATTTGTAAATTAAGTTAGATAAGACTGAAATTAGAATAAAAATACTTTTAATTGTATAGCTTCAGAAATCAGAAATCAGAAATCCTTTATTGTCCTTAAGCAAAACAATCTTGCAATAGACATAGTCACATATTATGGTAAAATAGGGTTACACAGTAACCCAGTCAGACTAGATTAATAAGCTAATATCACAGACAATAACAGGTAAAAGTTTAAAAGTAAAAAGAAGGCTGTTACTTTAGTTAAAATAATACTTCATATCAATATATTGAGCGGCTGGAAAATACAGTTTTAAACACATACTACTGGGTATAGTACTAATTAATTGATTACTTTTATGATTTGAGTACTTACTGAATCTGAAGATTCAGAGTATGACTCATAAGTAGATGAAGACCCTCCTCGTTCCTTTCCAGACTGTAAAAGATCAAACTTGGTGAAATATCTTAGAAATATTCAAATCTTGTCTCATATTATCAAAAGCTAATCCATGTAAATGTAGTTAGTTCTCAGTAATGTAAAAGTTCAAATGTTAAGAACTACATCAAGTAAATAAATAATAAAATTTGTAGAAAACATTAATGTGGATCTGGCTTAACAATAAAGATAAATTACTAATAGTCAGTGGTAATGGACCCACAATTTTTATGCAAATAATTTTTTTTTTTTTTTACTTGTGAATATTTTTTATTCCTGAAATACAATATATTTGATTGGTTTTTCAGGAATTTAAAAATTTTGCATCAATACATTTATTATTTAACACACAATTGATAAGAAAACAGGTAAGTAAAACAATTCATGTTGAAATACAATCAACATAAAGTACTACAATCCTATTGTAGAGAATTAAAATGTCAATAAAAATCGTAAGTAAATAAGTTGCAAAAATAAGGACAGACCATGTATTTCATAGTTTTATTTCACAGATGCAATAGTACAAAAACTGTAATTAAAAACTTATGTTATTAAACGTATCAAAATATTTTGTTAAGTAGAAATCAGTCTTCAAAGATGACTTCTTTTTCGTATCGTTTTGGCGGGTCATACATTTCTTCCGTCGGGTCTTCACAAGTTGAAATTTCAGAGGGGTGAGACTTGGCTTCCGACTGAAAAAGTAAAAATGAATTAAACTGACGATACATATTCACCTTAATTTACTTTGATAACAGAAATTTAAACATAAACTAAAAGGTAAGTTGTTAGTAAAATCACAGCTTTAAAGTTATTATTTTATTTTAGTCTATATGATTTAATACGACTCTACCAATGTGAACTAATACCGATGTGTGCCTCAGTGTCATAATGACCTAATTAAGTAAGATACAAACACTTGGTTTAGTTACATAGTTTTGAGGTTAATAAAATCACTGGTCAAAAGTTTTGCTCTGACAGTCTAAACATGAGTTTTGTATTATTTTTCTGAAATCAAGTGAGGAACTAAAATTAAAATAACTTCCGTTATCCTAAAAATTCAAAATTTTACCCTGAAATCTCCTTTGACTAACCAGTAGGTCAAAGATGTTTACAGTTAACGAAGAAATAAAATGATCTAATAATCTACAAATTATGTACACCTTCCAAAATTCCAAATACAAATTCCAGCACATTCCCAATTCAAACATAGTCTTTTTCTGCCAATGATACATGATTGATGTAACGGCTATTGATGATGGCGGATTGATGATTGGTAATAACGGCTTTAAACATATAATTATCCAATTAATTATCGGTAGTGCTCTACTAAGAAGGTATAAAGTAGCCTGGAAAAGTTACGCTACTTCAGCTAGACTTCCAGATAGCATAATCAGATTTTTATAGTAAGTTACACAAGATGCTGCCACTATGGAAGATGAAGCAGCTGAAGGCATGAGACAAAGCCGAAGTAGAAGACACACAAGAGTCAGAGGACATAGAGGGAGTTAATTGATGAAGCAGAATGTCTCCTTTGTTATAAAAACCAATCAAGCATGTCATCACTAAAACCGTTAAGCCTTATAAAATAAAATTATTAGTTTTGTATTGATAAACTCACCTTTTTCGGCATCCTGGACTTGGTCGGTCGCGGAGGGAGATTCCAGGGCATGTAGAGATCTGAGAACTGTAAACACGAGTTACCCTGTAACTGCTACCAGCTGTTCAACTCACTTAACATTGAAACTCAACTGCTAGGCAAAGTTAGCCGATAAACCCGTGAACAAGGGACAGCGACATCACACGTGATCAAAACATGGATATTATTTTCAAAATATATCCATACAGGGATAAAAAAAACATTTTTAGCAGAGGATGGCTCTACTTTAATACTGAAAACTAATTATCAGGAAAAACTATGTAGTGTAATCTGTGGACTACTATAAGCAGTTAATTTGTATTCATATCTTCAGTTTCCTTCATATCTACTGTCTTATTCAGCATAGAGAACTCCAAACGATTCTTAAGATTAAGGAAAGTGTATTTACTACAATGTGCTTATAATTAACTCTTTAATTGGATTGCTGTATATTGTAGTAAATTGAATATACAACACAACCTTCTTATTTAAAATTATTAAAAAATAAAATGTGGCCTTCCGTGATAGAATCTACATAACAGAGTTACTATCTAACAAAAGGTTGACATAAGACCAGGGTTTGGACCGTTCCCAAAAAAAACAACTTTAAAAATGCAAATAGCATCGAAACACAATTAAAAATAAAGGTTATTCCTCCTAAATGAATTGTAATCTTGGTATCAAAATCAAGATAATATCATAAAGGCATCAATGTATAAACTTACCTCTGGAATCAAAGAATTTGAGGAAGACAGAACTTCTGACGTATCCACTGTTGATTCATCTTTAGCCACACCAGATTCTTTTTCTTCCTTTTCCTGCTGTTGAAGCTTCTTTTCAAACTCCTTCTTGTTGAACTTCACTCTTCTCTTTGTGTTCTTTGGTTTTTTCGCTTCCTACACAGATTAGTACATCAAACATAATACATTTTGAATCAAGTTTTTTTACTATACCTGTATCTATCTTACCAACAAAATGATTTATAGTTACAAAATGTAATGTGTTGTAAAGTTAATTTTAAATAAACCACTGTTGTACTGCAATGGGTAAGAAACATACATCCTCAAAGAACGTTTTGCAATTATCATTATCAATTGAGATGGGGACGCCACCTAGGTGTGTATTTTAACCCAAATATGGGAAGGATGAGTGTAGAATGCAGTGAGATGATCTGTGTAGCTTTGTTACTGATTACGATCAGCTGTGTGTTATTAGTCAAGATCATCTATATTTAAAACTAGGATAAAACTATAAGCTGAATGAAAGGTCTTAATGTGAAACTTCCCCGAAAATATCAGTTTTTCGATAAACCCTCCCATAAGGACAGAAACCTCAATTAAAGGGATGCATTTTATCACATTTTAAATATTGAAGATACATCAGCTGTTGTATTCGATTTGTTTTAGTTTGGCCAAAGATTACATATGCTAACGCAAAATAGATATTGCAGCCAAGCCATTTTTGTGATATCAATTTCCATGCGAAGCCTAGCGAATGTCTTCACAACCTAAGACTTCATTGCCGACACGACCAGCTGTTATTTACGTATTTTTTGTTGTTGTTTATTGTTATTGTTATGGTTAACCTTTATTTATGGTTGTTTGCTTTTGCTTATGTAAGTAACAGGAGGTTTGTTAGAAGATGGATTAGCAATAGTGAAGAAGTGTTAGTATTATGTGTAGTGAATTACAATTGTATTATGATGTGGATATTTTCAGGAACAATACCAGGTATTAAGACGAGTGTAGCTGCCTATGTGATAAATGGCAAACACGGCAATCAAAAAACGGCAAGGCCTTCCCGACACTGCTTTACATTCACGTTTAGTGTGTGAACTGCATTTTGAACCTAACTGCTTTATAAATAATATGAGAAGTAAAAAGGAAGCTGTACCAACATGACTAGTTATGTACTAACAAACTATGGATGTACATCAGTTGTCACTCAGCAGTCTGCACTCATTACTGCCTCTACAGACGATCACCACCGTCTCGCGGCAGCCCCTTCATCACATAGCGATAAATTCACCAGTATTTCTACTATCAATGTCTCATTATCTTTAGAGTCTGCCTTATGATAACAGTTATGATACAGTTCCGAAATATATTATTAAGTACCTTCATCATACTGTTATGCAATAATTTGTCATTTATTGTAAATTGAAAATAGACGTACGTTGAACGTAGTGTTTATCAACGAAGACCACTAAGAGGGAAATAAAGTATCCTAGGCTATACAGGGTGATTGATAAGTGTGCCAGCCGTTTTATTCGAAAACTATAAGAGATATCAAAAAAAGTTAAATGGTAAGTCCCTTGGATTTTTTATTAAAAAAGTTATAGTCAAGTCAAAAAAATTATTTTAGCCGCCATTTTTCCAATATGGCCGCCAACTTTGATTTTTCTTATGGAACACCCTGTATTTTATGATGTATTCTGGTAGAAAAAGTAATTTTAAGACGATTTTATTCTTGTGATTTTTTTCATAAACCTAACCGTTTCAAAGATAATAATGGTTTAAGTTGTGAAATTTTTAATGGTTTTCGAACAAAACAGCTGGCATGCTTGCTTAGGCCTTTATCAAAACTCTTTCTCATGCAGAAATTTCAAAACTTTAACCATTATTATCTTTGAAACGGTTAGGTTCATGAAAAAAATCACAAGAATAAAATCGTCTTAAAATTACTTTTTCTACCAGAATACATCATAAAATACAGGGTGTTCTATAAAAAAAATCAAATTTGGCGGCCATATTGGAAAAATGGCGGCTAAAATAATTTTTTTGACTTGACTATAATTTTTATAATAAAAAATCCAAGGGACTTACCATTTAACTTTTTTTGATATCTCTTATAGTTTTCGAATAAAACGGCTGGCACACTTATATCAATCACCCTGTATATTTATGGGGTTCAAATTTGGAGAGGGGTGGTTAGGCAATTTCTGCTCCAGGGCGCTCCAATCCAAACCTGACTATGCCAATACAATGCCTTAATGTTGATTCAGGAACTTACCATGAATGGCTGTTGTAAAATGTAGTCACAGGCTTCCGGTACAAAGTATTCGACCTATTGTTTAATATAATGTTTAAAACAGGCCATACCGGTAAATTGGGATGTCGGGTCACTCGGGTTAGTTCACTTTCGTGTGATTGCGAGAGTGTGACTGACCTCCAATTTCCAACCTAAATGTCGTTTTTACCTGGTAAAGATAACCTCTTTAATTTTTGTACAATTAACATTCCGCTGTTGTTAAAACTATGTGTTTTTAAATTTATTTTATATAGTCGTCAGTTGAAATATTTGTTATATAAAACAATCCAAATTTAAAATCTATATTTTATATCTTATGCTGTACATTTTCTTCAAAGCTCTGTTGCAAACGGCACTTAAAAAACACCAATAATGTGACGAGATAATACTTAGTTTGAAAACAAATGCCGATCTTTGTAGATAAATGTTCTTCCTACAAACTACTATGTGTATATTGCTATGTTTAAAAAGGTCAAGTAGCCAGTGAATGGTTAGGTAGTAGTTGACTAACCATACATTCCTCATCGTGAGTTAGTAGCAAGATATTGCGTGAGTCTAGAAATCCGGAAGCAAACTTTGTGGGTCAAAATTCCGAAAACAGAAAAGTCAACGAACTCGCAAATTGTCACTAATTATTAAAACTTGCAAGATTTATAAATTTCTAAATTGTTAAGAGTTCTCTAAATGTACGTTAAAATCCAATGCAGAAAAACTAATATAACATTGTAAGCTTATTATATCACTGTGAATGCAATTTTTGAAGATGTTTATAAATTCATGTTTATATCAGTAAACCTTTAGTATCCTTTAGCTCTTTGTTACGCGGTCACTTTAATTTTAAATTAAATAACTGTCATTTTAGTAAAAAGATAAAGTTATGGTACATTAATGATAGCTGTGCGCTTTCAACAAGAGATACGATGACGACGGGTCGGCGAGCGCGTTGCGTACAGGCATAGACTAACCGTATGTTTTATCTATGGTACAGGCCTCAGTATAGTCTTTAAATGTACAGGCAAGTTAATCCCGAGCACGCGAACATTACCGAACTCACCCGAACTTGAATGGTAATGCAGATCGAGACTTGACACAGCGCCTCTGTTGAGGGACCACCCAACTACGAGAAGGTGGCCCCATCCAAAAATGACTTGGCACAATTGTACCGTAAGGTGCAATATCTATTTTGCGTTAGCATATGTAAATCTTTGGTTTGGCTGTTTACTTTTCCTTGACTTAACCTTTTGATTCTTCCATAGATTTCTATATTGCATCAAAAGAATAAGTGACAGTAAGTGCTTTCTTATTAAATGGCGTCCATACAAAGTAGGTATTTTAAGCCAAGTATGAATGGAGATAAGTGTAGGATGAGTGGCGCAATCTTGCAGTCTTGTTAGTGACTAAGGCCGACATTCCTTAGACACAGCTGTTAATTAATAGCCCATACAGCTAATGGCAACTAAGGGACCTACAGTTTATAGTGGAATCCGAACCACATTTTTGCCTTGGTGTATACTAATTGGTCTAATTACTAATTAGTAATTATGAGGATAGTACTGCAGATAGTCGAAGTACTCACTCGTGCAGAGTATTAGTTTTTCTTATAATATGAGATGGTGTTCAAACCTTTGAATTCTGTTTCAATTGTTTACTTATTAGTTCAGTATTATATAACTTAAAAACACAGCAATTTATGTTGCAGACAAATGTTGTGCACATTAAGTGACACAACGGGCAGAACATTAGTTTATTTAAAGCCCAATGATCAGGAACAGCTGGGTCCAAAACTCTCGTCTCTCATAGGAATCATCAAATGAGACTTGACAAATGACAAATGACAATTCTTTATTGCACATAACATCTGTTTAAGTTATTACAAACGTAATACACAGACAGGTACATTGTCAAGGTTTCTAATAAATAAGGAATTCTAAATCCTTATATATAATTCTGTAAGACAAAATCTTTACCAGAAAATTTTGGACGTCTGGTAAGTCACAGAAAAGTGGGAGGGGTCTTAAATTAAAGGTCTTGACCCCAGGGACTCGGGAAAAATAGCAGAATTTCCATAAAGTTACCAGAAAACGAGATATAACGTAAAATGTTCTCCATAAGAATAGCATTAGAAGCCATTTTCTGCTAATTTTTGTTTACTTCATACAGCTGATCATGATTTATCATCAAGCCAGTACGCAATGTTAACATTTGGATTATACTTATTTGCCAGTAAGTTCAGCAATGTACTATATAAAACCAGGGATAACGTTACCTATAATAATTAAGACTTTTTAGTTACTGTACGTTATATAGAATATGGAAATATATTATTTTACTGTGAAACTTTTCAAACTTGTGTTTAACAAGAAATAACCACATTGAATAAATAATTAACGAGCTACCTTAATAAACCAGTATTTATTCACAACCAATTATATGTTTGCTGCCTTTATAGTGTGGCCTTGCTTTAGCAGAGTTAAATCTATGTAGTGATTCGAATGATTTATTGAAAATAACATCAACAAAGACAAACAACAAACTGTTTTTTACACAACAGATATGGCATATATACAGGGATATCTATTCTGACACATAGATAATATATTTCTTTGTTTGTTTAAATATTAGAATAGTTTGTTTTATATTATTGAGCATTTTAGGGACTTATGTCCCTACAAGCCACTAGTATATAAAAAACCTAAGATTTAGCCAGTAAGTTACCCCTACAAAAGCTACAGCATGGTGGAACTGTTTATGTTAGGAGATCAGGACTTATTCTTATGATAAAGGTTGACTTCTTATCAAGGCTCGCAATAACATGTGATTATGGATTTATTAAAGGTATTGTTAAATAGTTTTTTTTTTATTATAGTGTGTTATAGTGGGCTGAATGAAGATTTAATATGCAATGGAACAATGATTTGGTATAATTTAATATTAATATTGATCAGCTGGTTTATTGGTTTAAAAATAAATGTAATGAAAAGAACATGAGTTTTATTAGCAAAATAATTTTAACTAATAATTTTGAACATTGGTGCCGAAAACCCGGGAATCAACTAAATGTCAAATAAAGGAATTGTTACAAGGTCCAAAGCCAAAATGTTAGACAACAAGATGGTGAAGATAAATTAAGTGGTAAGTCAGTTCCTAACACAGCAAAATCTCACAAAACTAGTTCGAGTCAAAGTAGACATAGAAGTGTTACAGAAGTTGTTGATGAGCTTATAAAGATACAGGAAGAGGAGACAGCTGTAATAATTTCTTCTGCACAAGCAAATGCTTTAGCTGAAAAGGCTAAGGCTGAGGCTGACAGAAGACTGGCTCAAGTGCAAGAAGAGGCCAAGCTGAAAGAAATAGAAGTCAAGAAGAGGTTACTCGAAGGTCGTCTTTCACTTCTTAATAAGGGATCGTCTAGAGATAGCAGTAAGTCATCACGACGGACGCTCGATTCACTTCTACAAGAGCCAATATCGACTAAGGATGCTGTCGAACAGTGGAAGCAGGTGAAGGAAACTGACAAATCTGATCAGAAATTTGGTTTGGAGCCTTGTGGCATGAACGAGATGAAGACTTTGAGGAGGAAGATATCATACAGCGACAGGATTTTCAGTCTAGTTTTTCGCCTCGAGAAGAACATTGTGCTGGTCCTCGAGATGCAAAGACTGAAACACTGGAGCTAAATGGAAAAGATAGGAAGCATATTCTTCGAGATGTTTTGTGTTCCCCTCAAGATATGCAACCTAAATCTCAAAGTTATCTAAATGACAATCAGTTTGAATCAAATAGAAATGCAGTGGTAAATAATGGATGTTTAACTAACAAAGAAAAATTGGTTAGAGATAAGATGCCTGCTAGGATTTTATCTGCTCTTCCAAGCTTCAGCGGAGATCTTGACCAATGGCCCGCTTGGATAGCTGAGTACAATCGTTCGACTGATTTGAATGATTACACGGACCTAGAGAATCTTCAGAGACTACAGAAGTCCCTGTCCGGAAAAGCAAAGGAAATTATTTCAGCCCTATTGATATATCCCGAAAACGTAAAAGAAATTATAAATTTGTTGGAAAAACGTTTCGGAAAACCAGAAATCATAATTAAGAACTTAATTGCAAGTGTGAGAAGTCGCCCACCCACAAAAGATTACAAGCCTGACACTTTGGTGACTTTCAGCAACATGGTGCGAAACTTAGTGGTGACAGTGAAGTCCTTGGAAGCAAGATCACTATCTGTTCAACCCCCAACTGATGGAAGAATTGACTGATAAGCTATCCACCAACATGAAAATTAATTGGGGAATGCACGTCACATCACCACAGTCTCAAATAAATCATCCTGTCGGCCTGGACACCTTTTCAACGTGGCTTTCTTCTATGGCAGATGCAGCAACTATATGTGCTCCTAGTTCATCATCTTTACCTGGGAACTACAAAAGTGCAACAAGTGGGAATTCAAACCAAAAAAACTACGTGCTTATCCAAGAAGAAAGTGACAAAAGACCTGGACAGCGGATGTGTCTTTGCTGTAAGAAAAAAGAACATTGTTTGGAAGACTGCAAGCAGTTCTTAGAATATGATGTGAACAAGAGATGGGACACAGTCAAGAGTTGCGGTGTGTGTTTCAATTGCCTGAAAACGAAGCACCGAGCAGCAAAGTGCTGTAAAAGGGTTGCCTGTGGAGTGAACGGTTGTACCTACTCTCACCACAAACTGTTGCACTGTCTCACAAAGAAAGAAGATGAGAACACAAAAAATCCTGAACCAACTGAAGTACAAACAGAGCACGTAGGGTACCAAGAGGAAACGATAGCAAGGGTTCTCTTAAGAGTTCTCTCTGTGACTTTGGTGGGAAGAAATGGAGTGAAAATTGACACGTATGCACTTATTGATGATGGTTCTACCGTTTCCATAATTGAAAAAGATTTGGCGGAAGAACTTGGAATTGAAGGTCCTGAAAAACCTATATCGTTTTCATGGACAGATGGGTCTGTTTACACTGAAGAGCAGTCTCAAACCATATCAGTGACAGTTCTTGGAGAAACAGGAGAAGAGTTATTACTGGACAATGTGAGGACATTGAGAGAGTTGCAGCTACCAACACAATCAATTAGCATGGAGAAAATGAAAAGACCCGGTCGCATCTACAAGACATCCCAGAGGAAGTATTCAGACGTGGTCGGCCAAGACTTCTCATTGGACATGAACACATCCACCTGACAGTTCCTCTGCAAGTTGTGATCGTGCCTACCAATGCACCTATTGCACTGAAGTCAAAGTTGGGATGGACAATTAACGGCCCCACTGGAAAAAACATTTACCAAACTCGAGTCAATAAGGAATTTGTGATGTTTAAAAGCTCAGAGATGGAAGAGCTTAATTCGATAGTCAAAAGAAGTTTCGATACAGACTTTTTTGATTGCTCAGATTACAACTGTAAGAAGACTGAAGAGGAAGTGAGAGCAGAAACAATTTTGGAAAATACATGTTCTCAGAAAGAAGATGGATGTTGGCAAGTTGGTTTGCTTTGGAAAAAAGACAATCCTCACTTACCTGAAAGTCGGTCTGTTGATTGGCGAAGATTAAACTATGTCGATGAAAAAATTAAAGAAAATCCAAAACTTAGCGAACAATATCATAAACAGATATTAAGCTACGCTGAAAAGGACTACGCAGAGAAGCTGAGCCCAGAAAAAGCTAACAACAGAAGTGAGAAGACATGGTATCTCCCTCACTTTTCCGTGATCAACCCAAGGAAACCAGACAAGTTCCGGTTTGTGTTCGACGCGGCTTCAAAATCTCACGGCCAAAGCTTGAACAGTTATCTACTTCCTGGGCCAAACTTGTTTAACAGTTTGATTGGTATTCTGTTTCAATTTAGAAAACACAAGATTGCGTTTGCAGCAGACATAGAAGAAATGTTTCTGAGAATAAAAATAATCGCAGAAGATCAAGATACACTACGCTTTCTCTGGAGAGGAGAAAATAGAAACCTTGAAGAATGGTGTATGACATCTATGATTTTTGGAGCGGTGTGCTCACCTACTAGTGCCATCTATGTCATGAGGAAAAATGCAGAAAAATATGGAAAAGAAAACCAAGAAGCTTTGCATGCTATACAAGAACAGTTTTACATGGATGACTATCTGGACAGCAGAGAAACTATTGACGAAGCAGAAACTTTGGTAAAAGATGTAGTAAATATCTGCCAGAAAGGAGGATTCAACTTGAGGAACGTCATCAACAATTCACGTTGATGACGTGAATTACTGAGGAACGTCATCAGTAATTCAGAGGTACTAATTAGTTCACTGCCCAAGTCAAAACGGTCAAGCAATTGCTCAAATGAAGAAGTGGGACTAACAGCCGAAGATACAGAACGAGTTCTCGGACTGCACTGGAACTTTGATGAAGATGTCCTTGTCTTTAAAGTGAACTTCATTAAAGTAAAGAATGAAATTGTACAATTAAAGGAGTCACCAACGAAGCGACAGGTTCTGCAGGCTGTGATGTCTATTTACGATCCATTGGGATTCATTACTCCGATTACGATGAAAGGAAAAATCCCTGTACAAAACCTGTGGAAGTTAAACATTCAATGGGATGAAGTAATACCAGCCGAATTAGAGAAGTTGTGGGAAAACTGGATGAAAGATATGAAAGAGTCAGAAAACTTGAAAATACAACGTTGCTACAACCTAACTTCAAACTGCTCCTTGCAGCTGCATATATTTTGTGATGCGAGTGAAAAAGGATTTTGTTCAGTGGCCTACGTCAGAGTGGAAAAAGGAGATCAAGTTGAGGCTACATTTGTACTGGCAATATCTGGCAAGATGGAACTGATGAAAACCAAGCCCCAGGACATTTCGCTAAGGGGATAGTGGAGGTGGCAAGATGGCCAAGTTAGAGTAGCGGACGTTCGAACAGCCACCGGAGTCTGGAGGAGACCTGTAACCAAACTGGTGAAGCTGATGACCTGAGAAACCCCCCTGGGAGAAATGTTAAATAGTTTTTTTATTATAGTGTGTTATAGTGGGCTGAATGAAGATTTAATATGCATTGGAACAATGATTTGGTATAATTTAATATTAATATTGATCAGCTGGTTTATTGGTTTAAAAATAAATGTAATGAAAAGAACATGAGTTTTATTAGCAAAATAATTTTAACTATTAATTTTGAACAAGTATTTTTGAAAATTACATTTTTTAAGGATGGCTTGTTATCAAGGGTCTTGTTATTGTGGTGTTATTGTATTTCTGCAATTTTTACTAATGTTGAAAACTTCAAAGTAAATACCAAATTTCACTTGATTTTTACCATAGTTTTTTTTTATCAAGATATTAGTAAAAAATCTACTCTTGTTTTTATGTAGAAAACACTTAACAGAACAGAGAAATTCTTTGAAAACCTTAAAAATGTAATTGTATGTTTATATTTTTTGGTGTGAATACTTAAGTTTTGAGATGTACCATTAATTTTTAGACAGTTTTAATCAGTTTGTTCATTAAAAAACATAATTTTGAAGCTGAAAATGGTTTAAATTTCTCTAAAAGAAAATTACCTGATATTTTAATAAGATTAGAATAAGCCCTTCATAACAAAGTACCTAAGATAAAATTCAAAGAATAAATTTACTTACCCTTTTAGAGATTACCCTTCTCTTATGAGCATGTTTTACAAAGGTCAAAGGCTGGTGGCCAGCATTGATGTCATGAGGATTCTGAAACGAATATCAAAATTATACTCCCGCCACAACAAACCTGAGACTTAGGCAATTTCCATCCTCATTGGATTTTCACTTAAATATTTCCTTAAACATATCAGATTTATTCCCCGTTTTAAGTAACATTAGGTTTAGGTTTGCTGCTACAGGGAAGGTAAAAAGGGGTGTTTTTAGTGAAGTGTTAATAGCTCAGAATGAAATAAAACAATTTGCCGAATTTGATCAAATTCCTTATACATACCAACTACAACAGTTTACTTACTTATAATGGTTTAAGTACCTGCATTCAGTAATCCAAACTGCTGCTTGTGGCAACTATAGTATCGGTTCAGCTAGGAACCATCTTCAGGCTGTACATGGTGTCGTTATTTACATCCGTATATGAAGGTCGTCATTGATAATAAAAGTAACTAAAACACACACGAACACGCACATTGATCACAACTTCCGCCCGGTCGCGTCAAATGTCTCGTGTCCATGAGTACTCGGTTGTTATTAAATGTTAAATGTTCATCTATGAATGTGCGTGTTCGTGTGTGTTTTATGTTCTTTTATTATTAATGACAACCTTCATATACGGGGGGCAAATAATGACACTTTAATTGTACGGATGATGGTTCCTAGCTGAACCGAAACTATGTTGCCACAAGCAGCATTTTGGATTACTAAATGCAGGTACTTAAACCATTATAAATATTGAAACGTAATCCAGAGGCTAACAACTCTAGAAAATAAACCTTTACTTACTGTCCATAAGAATTACATGGGAATTTTAGATTTACAAATTTTTTTAATTCCCCATAACTTTCAATTGGACCAACATACCTGAACATACCAAATAATTTGGGTTTTCTTCTCTAAAAAATGGTTGGAGATAAATTGATAAATTCTATGTTTTGAGGACCATAAATAACTAAAACCAATTTTTACCCCATAAAACCCCGTTTTCATTGTACAATCATTCTGGTTTGCGAGCTTGTAGGTTTAAAAGCTTGTAATGAATTTCATTGAAATCGGATCATTATTACTCGAGTTATAGTGCTAACGAACATACACACACACACACACACACACATATAATTATTTATATGAATTTGAACGGATGGTGTTTTTGGCCTCCGAAGACAAAGACACAAAAAAGTAGATTGGTTCCGGGTTCAGGTCTTACCATGAGTCCTACGGTGATAGCTTATTCTCTGTTTATGGGAAATTCACTAACAACAGATTTTAATTCAAATAATTGTTGTTGAGCAATAAACAACTGTTTATAAGTATAAAAAATAAATCCTACAATAAATTTTACTGCAACAGCGATCACAAAAAAAAAAAAAAAAAAAAAAAAAAAGAGCAATAAAGAAAATAAAGGCAATTTTGTTTGCTTTGTTATTCACTGTTACAAGACTAGCTATTTATGAATCTTAGAGGAGTGGCTTGATACCTCTAATTAACATTTACAAGCTTTGTTTACTATAAAAAATGTAAGTTTATGTTATTTCAATTGTCTGATAATTTTAAAGCAGTTGTGTTAAATATTTACATTCTGTAGATTTAATAACATAGGCCTAAACAATGCTGATCAAAAAGCCATTTATGCTCATTTAATCAAATTAAGATTATCCAAAATCAATTGATGAGTACCGTACAAGACACATGAGCTCATTGTAAGAAATTTACTTTACTTACTTCTTCCTTTTGGTTCAGCCTGGTTTTGTCATTTTCAACGAGATGCTGTAAACACAGATTTAATGTTTGTAGTTTTTTAAAGCAATTTAATTTCCATACAAACATACAAAAATATAAACTTTCCTAAAATACAAATTTTATAAAAACAGAAGATTTTAAACTAAATTTTACAAACCAATGGCCTATAAAGTATTTTAGGAGCAAAATCTGATACACAGACTAAATGAACTACAGTTATGACACCACAATACAAAATTATAAGATCAGAGAAATACTAGTTTAGTATGAGCTTTGGAAGAATTATAAGTAGAAACATTTCAAATGGACCGACTAAAAAGAATGTTTTATTATAGTAATTTACTTTGCTGAAGTTTTGTAATTGATTCCAAAGTAGCTATGGAGTTGTCCATTGTTGAAGAAATTTTTCATCTACCATTAAACTTTGCTTCTCCTTTTAACTACTATGAATTTTATTCTTGAACTGCTAATCACTAAACTTATCAAGTTTAAAGACACTTTTTTGAGATGTTTTAATTTAAAACCAAACGTTACAAAGTCGACATTTTGAAAGATTTTAGTGTATTTTACCATAGACTAACCAACACGAGTAGACTTCTCATCCCATTGTAAATTTTGATGCTCTGTTTTTGTGTCTACTTCATGTCCAGTGACACTGATCGCTAGTGTCAACAAAATTTTGTTTCTATTATTTTAAGGCTAATTTCATGATTCGTGCTTTACAGTTTGGTTATATAAATAGAGCATGAGTTATGTTCATGATTATATCGTTTTATTTGGTTAAACAAGGTTTTAAATGACTAAAAAAACAAGAAAAAATTGCAAACAAAACACGACCCCTAGAGTGCATCGGACAGAACTAACAATAAAATTTCCTTCAGCTGTTCCACGAGGTTGAGAAATCTACTAAGGTAGTATGTTTTTTATCTATTATTTTATTAAAAAAAAAAACTAACAATCCAGTAAATTTACTGTTTATCTTTGAAAATAAAACAGTTTAAGTAGCATCAATACTGTAAACATCAACAGCTGAATATAAAAAGTAAATGAACACTCACATTAGGGTCATCATGCAACTGGTGATGTCCAAGAGGAGACAGCTTTGAGCTTTCTCTCCCATTTTGTGCTTTATTCAGACTGTTGACTGCGTTAACCTGAAAAAATAACTTGCTTTAAAATCAGCAATTGGGAAACAAATCAGTATATAGATTATCTTTCCTACGTAGTAAAAAAGATGTATTCCAACAAAATGCTGTGCAAAATAAGATTGACAATCTGCTGCTTCAAGAAAAAAAAACAATATAATAGCACTTTCGATTGAAATGCAATGGAGCTAACTATAAATACTGACTACTTTTAACAAAATTGTCGAGAAAGCTGTAATTGAAATAGTTGTTGAAGAGTTATGAAAGAATTGTGATAATATTACAGTAAAAATGTTGTGATAAATAGTGTGTGGGACATTATTTGGAGCTCAATGAACTTATATTGCCATAGAAATTACTTAACATTCCTTTTTTGTCATGACTTTCGCAACACAGGTCACGAGATAAAACACACGAGTCTCCGTCACTTGTACTCACTACAGATTTCTTTGTTATAATATTTTAATACAGACTAAACTAGATTTTTATCAAATGGCACATGTATGCGATTGGCATTTGGATATTTGGCATTTTACTGCATCTAATCTATATATTAATACGCAAGCAGTTTTCTTTTCACAGTCATAACTCGATAACGGCTGGACGGATTTTAACGTTTGATCTGTCAAATTTAAGGTATTCTTACGTAGATGTGCAAATACGTCTCAGAATATTAAGAAAGGGCATCACTTAAGTACAGTTAAGGGCTAAAGTTTTGGAACATTGGTGCTATCCGTCGTCATTGGATCAAACTTAATTTACTTTGTTTACAACTAAATATGGACATGGTTTGAAATACGGTACTTCGGTTAATCACAGACTACAGGACTTATATCCAGAGCAAAGTCGGAATTATTTATATTTGTATTTTAACATCTCTGTTTATGAAGTCTGTTTCATTAATACTGTAAAGTATTTCCTAGCAAATGGAGAACTGAAAAGTCTCCAAAACAATGGCAATCAAACACAGCTTGATGACTCAGTCCAATCCAGTAGGCAAGTACCATTTAGTTTGTTTTCAATCCCAATTTTTCCCAAAATTTAGAAAGGTCTTGAAGCTATATTTACTGAAATTATATTTTAATGAGAAAAGAAAATTAAATATAGTTTTATAAGTTATAATTAATATCACCCAAAATCTGTTTACTTATTTAAATAATCTTGACAAATCGGTCTCAATATTATTTACTAATCTCTAAATTTTTTTAAATCATATTTTATAAATGCAACCACTTGTATCAATTTCAAATTGTAGGCCATCTAAAATAACTTGGTGTAGTTAGTGACTTTGTAGCCCTTTTCCCTTTATAACCAGTATGTTACCTGCGCGTTGGTAACACTGACGGCTGCGGCTGCCAGTAGAGCCACCACGGGCCACCACAACCTTCCTCGACACGGCCCCATCTGATAATGACTACTGTATGGTGATAAGGAGATTCTACCACTGATAACTCTAGATTACACTATGTTTTACATAACATAAGTATAATTTTGTGAATATTTTATGAATATCATACCTTATTGTAACACACCAATTTAATGCCACTTACCTCAGTGACAGTAAATTGAGTTAAAATTATATCCAATGCCCCCGCCATAGCAAACCTGCAGACTAACCGAATTTCCATTTGCCTGATTTGATTCTCAGTTAAATCTATTTAAATGACATTAGGTCAAACAAGTACCGAGGTTTGCTGCTACAAAGGGGGTAATAAAGTGTGTTTTTTAGTAAAATATTACTAGCTTAGTATAAAATAAATAAATTGGTCATGTTTCATCAACATATCCATAAATGACCAAACTACAGCAGTTTACTTATTCTCCATAAGAATAACATAGGAATTTTAAATTTACATATCTTTGGATTTTCTCCGCAATTAATAATCGCACAAAAACACTTCAATGTACTAAGTTTTGTTTTTTAAGCTCTTTAAAATGGTTTTAAGAGAAATTGGGAAATTTTGTGATTTGAGTGCAAAAAATGAGAAAAACCTATTTTTACCCAATAAAGCCCCATTCCCTTAGTTCGATCATGATGGTTCGCAAACTCAAACATTTGATGAAAAAGGCTAATTTGGGGAACCACATGTTGGGCAGCAATACTCCTTTCACTTAGTTGTCGATTCAACTAATCATTTACACAGCTTTGTTTGTCACCTGCAAAAATGCATCATTACATTGTTTACAACGCAAAAAGAATAAACATTCAATGGTTATTTGTGTAACAAGTGTGCGAAGTGGCACTTTGCTGCACATGAGAGAAATGTTTATTTTTAGTCTATTCTAATTTATAAAGGGATTATGCACATCTACAGGAAAACATCTTTCATTTGGTACCAACAGTGTGTTATTTGGTCCGGTAGTATGGCCAGGCTAGCTGTCATAAGTTTTGCAAAAGTTTTTTAGTACAGAAGATGAGAAATATAGTTCAAGAGTTTCAAGTCACTAAAGTGCTCAACTTCATCAACGTGTTCCAAGTTTTAAAAACATTGTATTACAGCTTTATAAAAAGTGGAAACCCCAATTGAGTTTGGCAAAAGTAAACTGCAGCCAATTTGAGAATTTACCCAACAGCCAGCAACATAAATTACAGATACACTACCTAAAGAGGCTTGAGCCAATCGAATCAAATCAAATATCTACTGTATTTTTGGTAGGTATACAAAATTACATTTGAACACTCCTACATAGTTAAATAAATAATGTTCTTATAAAAATATCATTCAACAAATACAGCTACATTAACATTGAACATTTCATTTATAATTATATCTGTTTAGAACGAGTCACTTACTGATAACAATGCCTTATAAGATGAGCTCCGTGTTGAGATGACACCTTGCTTCTTAACACAGCTGCTCGCTGTCTGTGCTGTTGTCTACGCTTACTCGAACAGCGGAAAAGGTTCTGTAAGTTCATTGTATTAAAGTTTTTATAGATTTAATAAAATTTAAAATTTCTAAGCTAAAAAAATTTAAATCTGTGTTACTTTAGTTATAAGGTAGAATAGTGATGTTTTAAACTAAGAGAACTGCTTCAAAATAACACCATTTTTAAGTACCGTGTAATAAAATATTTTAACTCTCAACTACTCATTATACTAAACTTGTAAACTATTGAGCCAATCAATTGGTCCAGTTTTCATTTGTTTCTTTTCAAATAGACTTGCGTACCATTTATCCATTGTAATTTTATAATGTGGTGTGTCTGTTAAATATTTGCATATTTTTTATAAAAAAACCTACTAAAGGAAACCAAAATCAGTTTATGCAATGCCCGTAATTTATAACTTAAATAATTCATTTTTACAAATTGTAGCGGGTGAGCAGTTAAACTGCAGTATTTACACATTTGCCTCCAATCCAATTCATGAGAAAAATAAACATTTTTATCAATCAATGATCCTTTTAAAAAAATAAAATAATATAAAAACAGTATAATTTTACTTGGGTTTTTTGTTTTTAGGACTCTGATGAAATCAGTGATGAAGAAACAAGCGACACAAAGGAATCTGGTATTCGAGGAAAGCAGAAAACTGGAAAGAGGAAAACTGGGGCTCAAGACAAATTTTGGGTTCCTACCTATCCTGGAACTAATCCGCTGAACAGGAAGAAAATAGAAATAACAAATTCGGAAATTGAAAGGTTTGACAGTTCGATTGACGAGTCAATATCTGGAGTGAATAGAAATGGCACAAAAGCTAAACACAAGACATCTAAAACAGAGAAGGACCTTTCAAAATTGCCATATTTCTGGAGTGGGGAGAATATGTCAAATAACATAACTGTGAAAGATCTAGCATCTCTGGATTCATCTTTTGTATCGGTGGACTCTGAAATATTTCAAGATGAGGATTCAACAGATTTCAAAAAAAACTATTCTCCTTTTACTTGGAGTAACAAATCCGAAAGCTCTGTGGAATCTTCTATTGAAAGTAGAGATCACTCATCATCATCATCAAGCTCAGAAGAACGTTCTCCTGAAAGTAGGAACAAAAATAAAATTAGAAAAAATACAACTCCTATTCCTAAAAAAGTATCAAGGAAAGTTACACCAGTTATGAAAACAATGGATGAGCACAGAACAGCCAAAATGAAAGCCTATGATAATATGATGTACACCTCTGAAGATGCTTCTAAATTTACAACTAACCCAATAAAAATCTCGGAAGAATCTATCAAAGGACCAGAGGTAGGGTCAAACGAGACAGTTCTCTCAAGAGAATACTACAAAAAAATGGTTGAAGCCGCAGTAGAAAATACAAAGAGAAAACTAGGTTACAGGGAAATATCACAGATAATTGATCAAACATTTAAACCGATTGTTCCTGACAGTCTTAAAATAGACAGCAAGAGCTCAGCACCTGATATCTATAAAGTGAACATGGATAAAATCAGTCGTGAAAAAATAAAGTCTGAGGAGGAAATAAATTTTGAAACAAAACACGACCAAATTCTGCCAAAAGTTTCTAGACCAGATATAGAAAAGAATAAAGGCAAGGGTAAAGAAGAAAGAGTAAAGAAGTTAGCTAAGAAACTTGTAGAGGAACCAAAGGATGAAATAATTCATTGGAATTTAACACAGAGTGAACTTGATAAAGTTTACAAAAAACAGAGAGAAGTAGATTTTCCCTCTTCTGCCTACTATGATGCATGGTCTGATGTGCTTTTAAAAAACAGAACACAGCGCAAATCCAAACAAAGAAAACCAAAAACTGCAAAACTGTCGAGCTCCTATGAGAGATCGTCTGAAGATATGAGAGCCTGGCCAGGAAAAAATATTAGGGAAAAGGCTGATGAAGTGAGAAAAAAGGAGGGAAAACTTTCAAGAAAAGATAAAAGAAAAAAAGCACGAGAAATGATGGCAAAAACTCCAAGAGGTAAAAAAGAGACTGACAATATTAATTATGATGATAATTACAACAACGTTTATGAGGATTCCTCTGATGTAGGAAAGAAACAAAGAGGAAAGAAAACTGGTGAAGATGATTACAATGGAGAAAGCTTAGATTATGACTCAAGATTAAGGGGAAAAGGAGGAGGAACAAAAACAGACTATGACTTCAATGAGTACTCAGATTCTCCAAAGAAAAAATCTCAGAAAAAACATTACAAAAAGGATTATGATCCCAAAAATCCAAAACAGAGATATAGAATGTCGACAGAAGGTGAGAAACGCCATGCTTACAAAGAAGTGAAATCGTATTTGGAAGATATGGATAAAGAGTACGGTGGAAGACCAGGTGGAGAAAGGAGAGGAAGGGGCTCTGGAAGGGGATCAGGCAGAGGAAGAGGATGGAGTCAACGAGACAATGATAGGGGGAGGTATAGAACAGAAGGAAGGGGAAGAGGAAGATTTGAGAAAGGGGAAGATAGAAAGGGATATTGGGATAGGGGAGAGGAGAGAGGGCAGAATAATTGGGATGACAGAGGTCGAGATAGGGAGCGAAGGGGTAGAGGGGGAGGAGGATGGGGGAGAGATGATAGAGAAAAAGGAAGAGATAGGCGAGGAAGGGGGAGAGATGATAGAAGAGAATCGAGAGGAGGGGGAAGAGGAAGAGGAGGGGGAAGAGGATGGGGAGGTGGAGGAAGAGGAAGTGGGGGAAGAGGAAGTGGAGGAAGAGGAGGTGGAGGAAGAGGAAGTGGAGGTGGAAGAGGAGGATGGGGAGGAGGAGAAAGAAGAGGGAGTGGAGGGAGAGAAGGAGGAGGAAGGAGTTGATAGCCAACAGCCGGCCAACAACACACAATATGTATACTGACATCACCACTCAACATTTGTACATTTTATATTGTTATTCCTGAAAAAAAATAAATTACTAGTATTGAGGAAGCTGTTTTTGTCAAGTATAAATCAAAGTCTGTTACAGGTACTTTTACACAAAAATAGCCACTTTCAGAGAAACACATTTAGAGTTAAAGAGTTGCTAATCAAATCAAGGAAAGTGTATTTTAATGAATGCAGTTCAACGTCAAATCTTAAAACACTTACTTGAGAATTAATTTTAATCTTAAGTTTACTATTTCAATAATTTTGAATAGATTTATGGAGGAAATGGATATGGTTAGTTTTCATGTCTTTTCAGCCAAGGTGTTAATCATATTTAAAAATCCCTTGTTTGGTTGTCTTAAAATTATCAGATACTTTCTTTTCGTTTTAACAGAAAAAACACAGTAAACGATGGTAAATTTTTAGATTTTTTACACACTACTCTTTTATTCCTCCAAACTTAATACCGCTGATATGAAGAAAGGAAGCGCAAAAGTATTGTAAAATCAGGTTACATTGCATCTCATTTAACAAAAGTCAACCATATTGTCATTGGAAATGAATATGGATTTTAGCTTCAATCTGTAGAAAGAACAAGCAAGGCAATGGCTGACTAAAGTATTCCAGGCTAGACTAAAAAATTAATCCTGGTACGTTTCAATACCAAAATATTTTTCCTGTTACAAATTCCAAAACAAAAAATAAATATAAAAGAAAAACAGTCTTTAGGTGAAATGGTGAAAAGGTGGATGAAAGGTGAAATGAAGAGACCATCAAGTTCCTAAGTATTATTTTCTTTATTTAATTTAATCAAACAAAACAAGTGGTTTCATTTAAACTTAGCATAGCATAGAAACAATAGTTTTATACTTAGTTAAATTACATATTCAATCCGTGGGAATATAGATTTTCTCTCATAAATCAAAGGTTTAAAAAAATTATATATACTGTATATATTATAAAATGGATAATAAGTATGGTTGTGATTAGGGCTACTACTATATTAATAATTGGAAACATTATAACAACATTAAGTACCCTTTTATTTGTTATTGTATTTGTATAAAAACATTAAGTGTCGAAACATGTAGTTTGTTAATTTTAATGAATTTAAAAGGGTACTTAATGTTGTTATAATGTTTCCAATTATTAATATAAAATGGATATATTTTTATCTGAGAATTGATTATCATTGTACTGGTACAGTTAAAAACTACCTATCTGTAAAAAAAATCTAGTTTTTTTTTACTAAAATTATTTTCATTTTAATAGAAATATTTTTAAGATCAAATGATCATGTTTTAATGACATTGAATTTATAAAATCAATAACACAACTCATATGAAACAAATTTTGTAAGTTTTCCATAATGATGATGTTCAAATAAAAATAAAATCCCTGAATAGGGACTTTATCATTCAACAGAGTGTTATCGAATCAAAATTTAAGAAAAAAATATGTTCTATTTTTTTACAAATAAGAGGTTATGATCTGACTACAGGCTTACTATTGTGTTATGGCGTTAATATAAAATGCTGTACACCAACAATAACACTTTTTTTCAAATGCTTTTGTTTTAATTTTCCATCAGAATTAAAATTGTACCTCTTAAGGTAGTAGGGTTGATTGCAAAGTTATTTACTTAATATATTTTTATCTAGTTCAGGACAAAGAGTAGGAGATTATCTACTCTGAAATGTTAAAATATACGATTTACATCAAAATCTAAATCTTACATACTAAAAAACTTTTGCAAAACTTACGACAGCTAGCCTGTCCATACTGCTGGATCAAATTACACGCGGTTGGTACCAAATGAAAGATATTTTCCTGTAGATGTGCAGAATCCCTTTATAAATTGAAATAGGCTCAAAAAAAGCTTGAAAATGAATTTGAAATGTTAAAAAAATTAATATGGGCATTATGGGTTGCTATGTTGGTGACAAAATATAAACAGAAAATCCAAACAAATTCCAATCACATGTTTTATTTACAGTGTAGGGTGAAAATAGAGAAGTCTGTACATTACATATTTTTGGTCGAGTTTTCAACAACTGGAAGATTTCTATTTTACTATATTAAGTATTTTACGGGGTCGTTCGATGAAGGAATTGTCTGTGGCAGTTAGATTAATGTGTATCTAGTATGTGCAATACTAAACTGATATGGGAAGGGAGAGTGAAGTACTAAAATGATATGGGAAGGGAGAGAAAAAGGTCCATGATGTAGGAAGTGGTGAAGGAAGTAGTAAATGCGAGCTGTGCAGAATGTGGGAACCCTTTGTGGCAGTTAGGTTAATGTATCTGCAATACCTTAATGCTATGGGAAGGGAGGAAAACGGGTCAACGACTTTGGAAGTGGTGAAGGAAGTAGTAATGGCAAGCATCGCAGAGTGTGGGAACCATTTGTGGCAGTTGGATTAATGTATCTGCAATACTTAAATGCTATGGGAAGGGAGGGAAACAGATCCACGACGTTGGAAGTGGTAAAGGAAGTAGTAAAGGCAAGCAGTGTGGAGAGTGGGAACCGTCTGTGGCAGTTAGGTTAATGTATCTGCAATACTTAAATGCTATGGGAAGGCAGGAAAACAGGTCCACGACATAGGAAGTGGTGATGGAAGTAGTAAAGGCGAGCAGTGCGGAGTTTGGGAACCTTATGTGGGAACTGTAACTGAGGGATGAGTATAGTTGGTAGCTAATGTGTTAATTTAGTTGGATGGACTGAAAGAAAACATGTTTGTTTTATTAATCAAAATGGAAATTTCAATAAACATCCGGACAAGATGTTAAGGCTATGAGTATAAGATTCAAGCTAGTTTTGTCAATTGATCATATTTATGATCCATTATATTGAGACTGTTACTGTTCTAATATCTGTGGAATAATGCTATCAGCTATATTTATCGATCTACTGCATTCAAAAGTCAAAAGCTGATCTTATTCCTTCGTTTATGTGTCAAATATTGCTTCCATAAGGATTATATTGAAACTTTGAGACCCCGTGGGGCGGATTCCTGAGAGTTTTTTTCAACGCCATATTTGTTGGCACTCACTGATGGTCTTTATCACCAAGCAAAATTTGAAAACGATTGCTTCAGCCGTCTAAGGGGAGTTTGCGTATTACGAAATGGATAAGAGTCGACGTATAAGAGCATCGCTCGCTCCGCTTGATTAAATAAATAATGTTTAGGCAAGAAATTTCATTATTATTTTGAATAGCGTGTTTTAACATTTCATACATTTGTCATACAGAACTGACATTTAACTTCCAGTAGATTTAAAAAAAACCTAAAAATCTAAAATGTGTGACATAACATTACAATAAGCCCATTAGGAAGACATTTTCACATTATTGAGATATGCTATCATTACAATCAAACCGAGGTTATATAATCAATCAAGACTCCTTTCAACATTTTCGGATCATCGACCGTTAGTTTTGTGGTTCCTAAGTTGCTAAACTCGCTTTCTCTCCTGGGGGATATGCTATGCATAGTGTCTTCATTTGTACAACTCTAGTCATCAGTGTTTCATCAGTTTTCAGCCAGCAACCGTTTGTGGTTAGTGGTTTTGTCGCAAAAAAAACTTAAACCTTATCTTTACTAGTTTTTCTCTTTCGATACTAAACAACTCAAAAATACTATAAGCTTAGTAATTGATTAGATTCAGTGTAGATGATTTACTTGATAGTGGCATGAATAAATTTTACAGAATTAAAAAAGTAAACTTCACGACCGTCATTTATGAATTTAAAGTCTGCATTTATATTGACTAAACATCCTTGACTACTTTAACTAAATATGAGAGGCTTTACATTTCTTCTACTACAATAGCTCAGTCTTTACTATGTTTGATACATTCAATACATACAAAAATTGGACACTAACACAAAAAGAAACCAATAAAAAAACCTTTACGTTATTAACTTTCATGTCCTATGATTTGTTAAGTTGTTTCAAGTACCTAAGACCAGGTTACTGAAGAGAAAAGTACAGAAAAGGGCACTAAATTTCACCATGTTCATGAACTAGACCATTCATAAAATTAGCTGATCCAAAAACAAGCAACATGATAACGTTTAGTTTTATTGGCTACATCACCAGCTAAAGTGAATTAATGTTTGTGTTATTAATCTTATACTGTGTCCAATCTTCTGTTTAGTTGTCTATATACTAGTTACTAGTTTACTAGTTTAGTTATCTATTTAGTTTAATAATACACAACACAACTCACATTTTACACCAGACTTTGAATTTGGTACAAATAACTTTAACAGTGTGATTTAAATATTAAAAGAATGATAGAAATCAATTATCTTCACAGTTCATTTTTACATTATTAATACCAATTATATAAAACGTAGTGGTCATTCTATTGTTTAGAATTTAGATTACAGTAATTAATTAATACAATTTACTAATAATAGCAGCAATACAGGGAGGATTCACTATGTTTCAGAGATTTTCCCATTTTAGGGAATAAGTTATTACCGTAGTAGGTCTCATGGTAACTTCTGGATGATTTACTTTTTGGTTTTGAGCTCCCAAGAGGCCAAAAACTTTCTTTGTTCAAATAACAACACATATATATATATATTTGTGTCCATTAGTGTGAAAACTCGAACAAAAATGATCCAATTTTGATTAAATTTGGTACAAACGTGTAAAATTACATTTATTCAAAGGAATTTGCAAACCAGCATGATCAAACTATGGCAACATTGGTTTATGAGGGTTTTGATGGGGTAAAATTTGGTTTTTCTCATATTTGACACTAAAAACATAAATTTTACAATTTCATACCAAACCATTTTGTAGAGCTTTAAAAAAATAAATAATTTAGTATATTGAAGCTTTGTTGTTTGTCTAAAGGTTACGGAGAAAATTCAAAATACTATAAATTTAAAATTCCCATATTATTCCTATGGGAAATTAATAAACTGTTATAGTTTGCTTGATTATGGATATTTGTTAATCAAATATGGAAATTTTGTTTATTTCATAAAGCTGGCTATACTTTAATTGAAAAACACACTTTATTCATTCCTTCCCTGTAGCAGCAAACCTAAGTAGTCATTAAAATTATTGTTATTTAAATAGGAAATATATCTGACAGTTGTTTTAAGGGAATATTTTTGTGAAAATCTAGCCAGGTAAATGGAAATTTGCTTAGTCTGCATGTTTGCTGTGGCAGGGGTATTTTATATATAGCCTACATATATTTATATATATATATATGTGTGTGTGTGTGTGTGTGTGTGTGTGTGTGTGTATGTGAAATGTGTGTGATTTTGATGAAATTTTGTGTAAACCTACATTTATTCAAACCAGTTCGTAAACCAGCATGATCGGACCTGATCGAACTACAGTATAGGAACGGGGTTTTATGGCGGATTTTATTGGGTAAAAATCAGTTATTCTCATTTTGACCCTAAAACATAAAAGTTTACAATTTCTTTCCAAACCATTTTGTAGAGCTTAAAAAAAGAAAGAGATATTTAACCACTTTTGTTATATTTACAAAAAGTGATGCAGAGGCTAACAACATGATGCTTAAAACCCCATCTATTTGGAGCAATGGTTTCAGTCAATTGATATTTCAATATAACAATATAAAAGGTATTGTAATTAGTCTACCTTGACTACTTTCTGTTTTGCCAGTCACTTTGGAACTTTTGTTTTGTCCCAAGACTTCATTAAATCCTTCAAGGACTTCTGTAACAACGCTAAGTTCAAGCTTAGAACTAACAAAGCTTATAACTTTTAAGATTGTTCAAGAGGTTTTTATTTTAAGAAAGCCCTAATTTCTAATTGGTTTCAGCGTTACTCAGAAAGCTTAAAAAAGGTAGTTCCTCATCACTACAGCCATGACAAAGAAAACCCTCACAGGAGTATGGACAAGGTAATAACATAGGTTTTACCAAGTAAAAAATATAGTAAATTTCAATATATTTAAAAAATTGTTTTTATGGACTACATTAGTTATTTTTCCACCAACACAACCACTCTTCAATCATGTGTGTGGAATTACTGCCGGGTACTCTGTATTGTAAACCGAACATTCAAAGATTAAAAGTTGTGTGTAAAAAAGATGGTAACAAACTTGGATTCTTTAGAAACCATCATTTATAGTGTAATAAGTAGACATGTGTTTTCAGGTCGCGCGGGGGCATAAAGTAGAACCCCGCCAACCACGTCTGAGGCCCCAACCAGAGGTTCCATGGCTACAGTGGGTTCACAAGGGGCGCTGGGCTGCTCAAGCGGACCGGGTAGATACAATATTTACAGCTAGTTATCCATTGAGCAAATGATATTTTAAATTAATATATTAGGTACATTGATATTTAAAGCATTTTAAAGTGAGGCCCTGATGAATCTTGCAAAGCTCAACTTTCTTAGAAAGTAACAAGGGTCAAAGATAAAAATACATGCCAAATTTCAGCTCTATACAGGGTGACCAACTCAAGCAGGCCGCAATTGGGATGTCGGAAACGGTAAGAATTAGAAAAAACTTTAAATGGGCTGAAGTAAATAAGTCTTAAAATAGCATCTACATTCAAAAAAACCATAAAATATGTAAAACATATTAATTCTATTATCAAATAAACAGTATCAGCAATCTGACACATACTTTCTCCCATAAGCTTGTCAACAACCTTTATCATGGGTAAGCGGTGGCAGTAACTATGATATTTTGTATAAAAAAATTCACAAAAGTTGCAATAACTTTTGAACCATAATTAATTGTTACAGCAATTGGGGTTTGCACTATTTCTTATAATAATTATATTCTCCGTAACACATTTATTTTGATCAAAACTGGCTTTTTTCCTAAACTTTGATTCTTCTTTATTTTATGGGTTTTTTAATGGGAAAATAACATAAGTTACAATAAGTATTGAACCCTAAGTTTTACGGAAATGGGGTTTGTACCATTTTGTTTATAATTTAAAAGACTATAACATACTAAATTTTGATCAAAATGGTTCGGGCCATTTTTTGGAAAATCCTAATTTTCCTTTATTTCATGGGTTTTTTAGGAATATCACAATTAAAAATCAAAATTTCCCTACATATCAAACTTCATCAAAATCGGACCACAGATGTAGTCTGTAGCTCTGTACACATCCACACACACAGACATCACTTTGAAAACCACTTTTTTGGGTTCAGGGGGGCCCAAAACGGATATATCCACTCAAAACTCAAACTCGAAAATTTTGACAAAAACAATACTTTCTCCATATACTATGTATAGGAGGAGAAATTTAAAATGGCGGCTATTTTCCAAAAGGGCAGCAAACTTGAAAAGTGAAAAACTGTGTATTTTATAGACTTTTTGAAATGTAGATACAATTTAAGACTTACTTCTCACATTTTTGCTCTAAACATACTCGTTTAGGAGCTACACATGATGCAAAATGTACACCGGAAGTAATTTTTTCATAGGCTGTAACTCCTAAACGAGTAGCTTTATAGAAAAAATGTCAAGAATAAAAAGTTTTAGATTTACATGTTCTATCCGAAAACATGATAATATTATAAGGGTGTTTTATAAGAAGTTTCCAAGTTGGCCGCCATATTGGAAAATGGCGGCTGAATTTCAAAAAACCAAATTCGTAGTTTTAACTGCTACAAAAATAAAGGAATGTCCCCTTTTAAAGTTTTCTCTAATTCTTACCGTTTCCGATATCCCAATGTTGGCCTCCTTGAGTTGATCACCCTGTATAATAAATGTAATTACAGTATCATTTATTATCTACCTACTTGAAAAAGAGACTTGTAGAACTGCTAAGCACTATCAAATGACCCACAAAAAACATCAATTTCTCACAAAAAAAACTACAATCAACTGTTTTTCTAATTTAGTTGAGTTACTTTTAGGTCTTGTCTGATCCTGTTAACAGTTCAAGGCTTCAATTTAACAAATAATCTTTCAAAACATAATTTTCAGAATTAAATATTTTCAGAACTCAGAACTACACAAGGTTCGAGCCCGGCTTTTAGAGGAGAAACTAAAACCAAACCAGCTTGTATTCAAACCACACATAAACCCTCAGTTGAAACCTAAACTAAGACCAATAGAAAACACAAGAACAAAACGAGAAGCGGAATATGATGAAATGGAACATAAAGTAAAAGCCAGAGACAAAAGGGATGTAGTAATGCATCAATCATACCCTGAAATAAACCGGCCACCACTAATGGATACCAAAACATCACAGCATACAGAACAGGTATTAACTGTAGCTGAGGTCATTAAATGAACAGACAAGTCTAATCTAACATGTCTAAATGAGTATCATGTCTAGGCCTACTCTTTCAATCTATGCTGAGGCTCTAATAATCCTATTTTGCAGGAGGCTATTTAATAGAATATTTCATCACTAGGGTGTAATGTGACTCTTTTTGACATGAGCTCAAGTTTACTAAATGAGCGAGGGTTGAAAAGATACGTTTTGCCTATATGATGAATTGTATTTTTGTAATTTTGCACCAGTATTTAGAAAAACTCACCATCCTTTTGCTAGTTAAGGTTTAACATTACAAAAATTCTGAGAAAACAACCTCATGATAAGCTCTATTTAACATGAAACTGTAGTAGACTCCTTTTTGTTGGAGTGTTTTTGGGACATATATTGGATGGTTTCGATAATCACTAAACTATACTACAAAACTAACAAGATCCTTTTTTTACTTTTTTGTGACCAGTATAACACAGTGTATATTATAAACAATACAACGGAAAATGAAAGTAGTTCATTTGGCAATAATAATATGTTTTTTTTTTATTAACTCCTAAAGGTTTGGATTATGGTCAAGTTCTGAATTGATTGAAAGAGTCGGAGTGTACTGAATAGAAGGCTTGCTAGAACCTAGTTCTAGTCACAATCATTAGCCCACATATTTCAACTAATATTTCTCATTTAAAATTTTCAGCGAGACATGATTTTGATCTTGTATTCATCTTGTGTGAACAATATTTGTATTTCATGAATTGTACTACTCACGTATTCATTGCTGAACATTAGCCATTATATTATGAATTTCTGTGATGAGTAAATTGATTTGAATTGTCAGTTAAGAAGTAAATGTAAACTAACACATTGAATCCATAGGAAAGTTACAGACTAGAGTTCAATGTTTCAGAACCCGCTGAAAAAACTCAACTTCCATTTTTACAACCCCTCCATTTATTACCCAGAAGCGATTGAAGCGTTAGCAAACTTAAGCAATCCAGTATGTATTTTTTTCAATTCAAGCTTTCATTTAATCAAAATCAACTGAAAAAAAACAAAATATTGATCACTATAAAGCTGGGTTTTCCTAGGCGCGGAATCGGCGAGCGGAGAGAGGAACGCGGAGAGCAGACTCCACTTGTCTTAGGCAATTTAATGTTACTGTTTTCCTAGAAGCGGAGCGGAATGCCATGTTAATTTCAATTCCGCTATCCGCGTTCCTCTCTCTGCTCTCCGCTTCCGCGCTTAGGAAAACCCAGCTTAACTTTCTATATAAAGGGTCATAGTACGTTTCATAGGTTTTACTCTCTTGCAAGCAAAATCCAAACTTCTCTTTCATTATCAGTTATTTTTAGTATAAATTTTGTATTTACATTATGATAAGGAAATGTGCAAAAATTTATTGTTAAACTAATTACATTACTTGTTTTTTGCATGTCTTAGATGGAAACTGAACCGATATTGAACTTTATTACCTATTACTTAAGGTTTAAATTTCCTTATGTACAATGACAATATTCCCACTGTAAAAAGTAATGTAGCTAAAAAATACCAATGTCAAACCGCAATTTGTTCTTACATCCGAAAAATGCAATGTATAACCTAACAAAATCTAATTTCTTGTTTCAATGTATCAGTAAATTTCAACTTAATGTGCAGAGAGTGAGTTCAACCAAAAGTTAAAAAATGTTCGCTAGTTCGCCAAAAACTTAATTAATTAAATATTTCATAAAAAAATAGATATATAAAATTTTTTTTTCTAAGTTTCTCTTAATATTGAACTACTGAAACCTTGTAATATTTTAACTGCATCAAAATGTTAAAAGTACAACAAAAATTTGTTCATTTCAGTTCGGAGGAAGGGTAAAAGAGTCAGAGAAGCGAGATAAAAGGCAGATTCTGTATTTTATAAACCGACCATTCCAACTGATGGCACGTAGCCCGCGGACCACACCTAATCCCTTCATACGAGACACGCACATAGAGGAGTATGACATTATACGACCCGAGGTGGGGGAGAGAGAAGGGATGATCCCGACGATAGAGACGGGCAGTTCCGACCCGGGCAGCTATCCCCTTGTGGTAAGCATCCTAATGAGCTACAAACAAGTTGTGTGTAGATACTGACTAAGCGCCTTAAAAAACTGACATCTTTGCATACTTTATGTACCTTTAGTTATAATAAAAACTTTCTAAGCTTATATTTTTTTAAATGGTCTGCCATGTGAAATACCAGTATATTTTGGTAAAACCACTAACTGATTAACTTTTTTTTTTAATCCTCCAATTTAACTCACGTACTTATGGAAGTATAGTTTTTATACATGTACCTACATGATTTAAATCAGTATTCTAATTGATGTCGGGTGTAAGTTGGAGTACATGCAATTCTTAGAGCTAATTTACTGGTTTAGTCGTCAATAAGCAAAAAAAATAAATTAAAAAGAGTAATGTTAAAATATATTTTAACATTTTACAAAAATTGTTAAGGTTTTAAGAGTTAGCTCTTTTTGGCCACTCATGCAGTAGGCCTACTACTTTTTGGTATTATTTTCTATTTTGTACTTATTATTTTTGTTATCGAATTTACAAAAGTATGCAAATGGTGTCACTTTTGTTGTAGCTGTCACCATAATTAACATAAATTCTTGAATATAGTACATGGAAATTTGGAACAACAGTTACCGACTGAACTGTGCAAATATCTTTGATTGATGATTTCACTATGATTTTTCTCTAGTTGATAATTGAACAACTATAGCTCACAAAAAAATGGAAAATAACAATATATAATCTCTAATTCTCTAATAAATTATTAAGCCTAGTTACAATCAGTGAATCATGGTTGTATGATTCATTATAAATAATTTTTAAAGTTTTGTTAATCAATCCATCTCAAAATCTGTAGAGACCGGGTATCAGTGCTCCATCTAAACTATTTTACAGTCAGCCCGGATATTTTGACTGCATGTCAATCTACTTTCTATGCAGAACATACCACTGATACTGATGGATCATTCAATTTAAAATTTGTTTTACTTTGCAGTTTTTTCATCTCAATATGTACATATCTTATTGTTGAGATGAAAATTAAATATCAAAGGAATTTAAATTCAAAACTTGTCTGGAATTTGCGTTCAAATTTTACAAACATTTGAAGCCTTTTTATGACTTGAAGCACTAATGTACATATATAAGTATTAACAAAAAAAAGAAACAAATGCAAGTAGTTTAACATGCTTCCAATAACAACTGATCACAGGACACTACTAGTTATTGTTGGTCCATTTCATAAAGTGGAACTTTTCAATTTCAGCACAGACTATAGTCCAACAAATGATCATAAATCAAAACAGGTAACCAATCTGGTTTTTTATCAACAGTATTGCAAGTTTGGAAAGTGAATGTAATGTATTCTTTTAAAAACATTACCATTTCTTAAAGAAACCAAAACATAGTTTAATTTAATAAAAATCTAACTTGAAATTTGTAAACAAACTTTTTAGAAATAAATTACAGTGATGAATGATACTGACTAATACTAGTAATAAAAATTGATTGATTACTTCATTAAAACTAATAATTTATGCTAAATATGATTAAACATAACGCCTGATTGGGTACAGTAAAATTATTACGTATATATGGGAAAGCTATACAGAAATTAGTACAAAAAAGAATAATAACTCATAAATTTGTTGTCAAAACTTTCTCCCAGTACACAAAATAATAAACTTGTACTTTGAAATATTTAAATTTTACTTATCCATGAATGTGACATAATTGCCAATATTTTAAACGTTTTAACTCCACACAAATTAATACTGTAGTTATAAATATAAAAAAGAAAAAGAAAACCAACAAAAAATAAATCACTGATAAAGATTGACAAAAATAAAGATAAACAATTTGCTTTTTAAAACTATTTCACTAACCAGAATATCAATAACTTAAAAATCTAAGATACAAAAGCCTTGCACAGGAAGACCATTTAACAAACGATTCTTTTGCTGATTTTTTACAGAACATTCCCCAAGCTCTGTTTCGCTTTTTACAAAATGCCAAAATCCAAATCGAGCAAAGGTTACTAAATAAAAAACCTGATCAAAACACAGTAGTAGAGGACAATCACATACGGGTAAAACGAAAAATGTCCCAGTTCAGACGAGATCGAAAACAAATGACAAGAAAAAAGAAGATTGGGAGGGCAAAGAAAACTAAAGTGAAAAGGCTTCCAGTGAAAGTACGGAAATGGTATGACAAAAGACAAAAAGTTAAGAAGAAAGGAGATGGAACTTATAGGGGAGGGAGGGGACGTAAACCACGACAGCATAAACGGCCAAGACACTACAAACCGCCGATGAACGAAACAAGTGACTATGATTACTACGATAGCAAAGGAAACATAAGAGGAGAGAATCATGAAGGACCTGATGTTGCCGACTACTTGAGTTATGTCTCAGGAGAATATTCAGATACAGAAGAAGCAGAAAGAGCCAATCAGGAGATGGAGAAGGATTATCAGGAGCAACTAAAAAGAAGGAGACTTCGAGAGCATAAGCAAAAACTATCAAACAGCACAACAGATATTACTGAGGAACTCTTTGAAGAACCGTATATTGAATCAAGTGAAAGCAAAAGTAGACAGGAAGTAAAGAAAAAAGACACAAATAAAGAAAAGTATGTGAAAAAGGATAAGATAAGTAATGAAGAGAGTAAGGAGTATGAAGACAGTGACGAACATGAAGAGAGTGAAAAGGCTCAGTCAAAGAAAACAGAATCAAAGAGAAAGGAGAGTGAAAGTGCGGTAGAAAGTACAGAAGAGAGTACAAGTGAGGAAAGCGAAGAAGAGAGTGAGGAAGAAAGAAGCGAAGAAGATACTAGTGAAGCAGAGACAAGTGAAGAAGTAACCAGTGTTGAGGAAAGTACTGAAGAAGAAAGTAGTGAAGAAGAAAGTAGTGAAGACAGCAGCTCTGGTGAAAATGGGAAGAAAAGAAAATTCCCTAGAAAATACAGAAAAAGTCCGAAATGGAAACAAGGAAAAGTAGGAAAATATGAGAGTGATCCAAAAAAGATAAAAACCCAACAAGGCCTAAATAATAAGGGTGATGACAATTTACTAACTATAGCCAAAGAGCAAACTCAGAGCATACAAACAAAGGATGATCACAAGGATGCAAATGTTTTAGCAAAGGAAAATACTCAAAATCAAGATAAAAAACAGATTTTAGCAAATAAAAAGGTATCGGCAAATGTCAGAAAAGCTGCAAGGAAATTCAATTTTTTCTCTTTATCTTCGTATCCAATCATAAGGAATTTCATGACTCCTGGAATCAGCCCTTCAGAAAATGCACATAATAATTACATGAATCCTGGGTATCAACCACTAAACCGTATGTCATCCATGAGATTTGAACCATCCCCAAATATTGCGATACAAAAACTTCATTCTATGACCTTAAAATCTTCTCCAAATGCTGTATCCATGACAAAACCACGCATAGAGTCTAGAGGTGGTGAAAATCTGCACAACTTACAGTCAATAAAACAAGATATTCCTTTGAAATCAGCAGCTAAAAAAAGAACATTTGATTCAATTGCTCAAGAAAAACCTAGGGAAACTCTGACTTTAGTGTCAAAAATAAAAGACGAGAGGAAAAAATGGACATCAATTGGTACTAATAACATGGGAAATATACAATCATTGAAATCTGACCCAGTTGTTTTTAATTCGATTGCAAAGAAAATCCCTGAATTGAAATTTGATGAGGCAAAGACAATACAAGATAATGCTTTTGAAACTGGTTTTACAAACCACTATGTTAAAAGAACCCAGAATCATGGACCTGTTTTGACATCGATAGCAAAAAACATCCCTCCAATAAATATTGACAGTGAGGAAAAACCTGTAAAATTTAAGAGAATGGATTCAATGATGCACGGAAATATGGAAGGAAGTAAAACTGGTCAATCTGGTTGTGACAAAGAGTTGAAAAAAAACAATAGGAATAAAGAGAATTTAAATCAAATAAATTTACAGGAAGATAAAGGTGTGAGGACAGTTGTCAAACGTGAAGTCAGCAAAGAAGGACAAAATGTATCAAGCTATGAGGAGCTGTCATCAATTCCTGATGGTGAAGGAATTTCCATGACAAGCGATGAAATAGAATCAGCTAGTGATAATAAAAAATAAATGTACATATTGCATACATGCTCTATATTGAATTACATTCACAATTCAATAAGGTATATAAGAAATATATACCATTATATTATTGTATTAAAAGTGATAGACATCAAACAACTAGTAAGAAAAATGATTTTATACATTAAATAAATTAAGCATAACAAATAAGATAGGCTATATTGTCATACATTTTTCATGATGCATATTTTTACAAAGTAAATTATATTACAAAAACAATGAAAACTGTATGTTAATAGTTGCAAGCATGATCTGATAATAAAAATAAATAGAATTGCATATAACTTTTAGAAATATTGTTATTTTATTTTAAGCATACTCTACTTCCCACCTCTGTCTAAAGAATTAGCAACAAAGTCTAAAAATTCAAAAAATAAAAAATATTTGTGGGTAAATAAATTAAATATTAAATTAATAACAAAATAAGTGAATCTCCATTACTAACTACTATCTAATTAGAACATTCACACCTTAAGATTACAAAATATAGTTTCCAATTAATAAATCTTAAATGATCTAGGTGTAATTAATTACTAGAACAATTTTTTCTCTTAAATTAAAAACTCTTAATAATCTTACGAAAAATGTAAACTATATCCTAAAGCTACAAGGACAGGGAAATGAAGCAAAAATTTATTCCTTCTTTTTCAGAGTGAAACATCTGACCTAGAATATGAGTCTGATTACACAATATCAATGTCCGATTCAGAGGAGTGGCACAACTACCCTTTAACAACTCCATCAGGACCAAACCCAGGATGGCAACTATCTACCCTAGCAGACATATATCAGAAACAGAGAAAACCCCAAAACCAGGTATTGAAACCAGAGAGAAAAAGTGATATGAAAACAATTCTTCACGTCTGGCCTTTAAATGAAAACAAGCCACACATCCGAGCCAAACGCTCACCAAAAGAGCGGAAACGTAAAATAGGAGCTTACAAAGAAAAAATAAAGCAAAGGAGGAAATTGAAGGACCTGCGGAGAAAAAGACGAATAATTCGAAATAGCAAGGAAGACAAAGCAGTGAAAGAGGTTGTTAAGGATGAAAAAGAAATTGAGAGGCTACTTCAAAAACCAAGAGCATTTCCACGACAGACAGCTTATCAGATGGAAGATACATCAAAAGAAATATTATGGACTAATGGAACTCACAATATAGTGGAGGATAAAGAAGCTACTGTTAAATGGATCAATGAGACACACTATGTCATATACAGAGAACAGGACAATTCTACTGATGAGTGGTATCATAAACATCATGTCCTCCTCTACAATGATGAATGGGAGAACAAAACCAGCGAAGAAAGGCGAAACATGACAATAGGCTTGCAGGAGGAGGAGGTAGAAGAAGTTAAAGAAAAAGATGAGAAAACAAAAGTCAAGACGGCAGTCAAGAAAAAACCAGAGAAAAGGAAAGGTAGAAAGGGTGTTGATAAAAAGGCACCAAAACCGAAGAAAAAATCTAAGAAGTCAAAGAAAATCATGACTGTTAAAAATATACATGAAGCACCAAAGGATCCCAGAAGAGATCCTAGGGAAAAGAAAATAGTTAAAGACACTTCAAGCAGTGAGGAGATTGTAAAAAAGAAAAAGAAGAGGACTAAATTGGAAGATGAAAGTGATCAATCCAAATCTAAAGAGAGGAAAAAGAAGAAAGTTAAAACTGGTAAAACAACTGATGTCGAAGATGATTCTGGAAAAAAGAAAAAGAGAAAAAAAGCTAAATCAGAATCAGATGAGAAAGATGCCTCAGAAAAGAAACTTAAAAAGAAAAAGAAAGAAAAAACAAAGGACTCAACCGAGAAAAAGGCTGATAAAAAAATAAGAAAGAAAGAAAAAACAAAAGACTCTGCAGAAAAAAAGTCTGATAAAAAAACAAAACTTGTGAAAGAAAAGAAAATAGACAAGGAAAAAAAGAAGAAACCCGAAAAAACTAACGATTTGAATGAGGATGAGGGTGTAAAGAAAAAGAAGAAAGACAAAAAGGACAAAGATATAACCGGGGCGAAGGAAGATAAGGATGAGACACGGAGAAAGCGCAGTATTTATCGCTCATCTGAATCTGAAACAGTTGAAATTAAATGGGAGAAAGTTCATAAAAAGAATGACTATGACGGATGGCAGGTTTTTGGGGAGGATGACAAGTCAGAGGTCTACGACGTCAGTTATGAACTCATCGAGACTAAGAACATCACCAAAACACATTGAAATTATTAAATTCCTCACTCGTTATATCAACAGTCTTATAACGTGTTTATCAATTTAAAGTTTGATAATAATGCTTTAACCACTTTTTGTTTTTTTTTTTGTATTTTTAAGTAGATAAATGTTTTGGATCTGGTATTTTTAAATCATAGGGAAAATATTATTTTTTTTAATACCGGAAACAACCTTTATAAATTTTCCTTGACACAATCAAAAAACCATTTTGCCTAATTCAAATAATTGTTATTTTATGAAAAAATAAGAAAATGATCCCTAAGAGACCTCTACATATCAAATACAGATTGAATAAAACTTGAGAAAATAAGAAGTTAAAATAAATCAAAGACAGATTAAATACAACTTGAGATAATAAGAAGTTAAAATTAATAGCTGCTAACTATAAGTTAGGATAACCTGAAAACATAATAAAACTAAATGATGTAAACTGCTTTGATAGCCAACCACCTGGTATTAACTTAATTATAATCATAAAACAAAAACACGATAAATTGCAAAAATACTTAAGTCACTTCTGCATTTAAAACTTGTTAAATAGCTCAATTATTTGGCAAATCTTTTCATATTATAGGCTAAGTAAATAAAATTTTAAAAAAACCCTGTCTACAACGTTATTTAAATTATTTTATTAATTAAAATATTTGTTTACAATTTTCTGGTCTTTTCCAGACTTTCCAAAAAGTTCTCTCAGACTTGACCAAAAAGCTTAATAATCTGAGCAAATTGATTGGGGGACAAGATGGTAATTTGCCATCGGTTTTGACAGAAAAAAGAGAAAAACGTTCTCCAAAAATGAGTAAACTGAAACAGAAACAGAAAATTGAAAAGAAAAAACGCAAAAAGAAGAAACAAAAAGAACTGTCTCCAAGGCAGATAAAGCACATCCGGCGGCAGAAAGAGAAAAAGGAGCGAAGGAAGAGACTGCATGACAAGAAACTAAAGGAGAAACGTAGATTAAGACATAAGAAACTAGGAACAGGACCATACAACAAGACTATAACAGATTACTACGGCATTTACTATGAACCACAGAGCAGCCAGTTGAATGAATCTTTGTACGACTCAATCTATGACACAAGTGAAATAGACAGTGATGCCATATATGAGGAAAGGATGAAAGAGAGATACGATGATTATCCTGAATCTGAATCAGAAGACTCCGATGCCTACTATGACGAACAAATTTATGGGGACACTAAAGAATCTGGTGAAGTGAAGGATAATGATGAAGGTGATGGAGAGGGAAGTAAAGAGACGAAGAAAGGAAACAGTGAGGGTTTAAACAAGAAAGGGTCTGGAAAACCACAGGAGTTTACTGCAAATGAGTCCCATTCAGAGAAAAGGAAGAAAGATACAAAGAAAGGAAATGTAAAAGTGGAAAAGAAGGAATAAATATACTAGTTTTATTAGGGAAGTTAATGGGAGTTAGGCCTGACAAATAATACCATCACATAACTAAAAATGTTCAATCAATTTTAATAAACTCATTTTGTAAATCATAAACAACAATATTGACAGTTTATTTCATAAAAGAAAGTTGTATGTGTTTATTTAGTATTAGTTGTATGCTAGTATATCAGTAGTATGTTTAGCTGATCTATTAAACACTACTGTAAAGTTTTAAATAAGAAATCAACCCCTAGTCTAAGTCTTTCAATTAAAATTCAATTAATCCATTAATGATAATAGCATAATTAAAATATGAAGATTGCTTCTTTAAAAGGGCACTACACAATTCTGATACTGTAAATAAAATAATGACTTACAAGGACATATTACTCCATGGATAATGTTTTCTGACCTAAACCACTTTCGTTATTAGCTGATTAAAACTTGTACTTGTACAATTAATAATGAACTGAAATAAATAAGTTTTTTATATCAGCCTGTTGTTTTAATACCTGTTGTTTTGGTTATGTATATTTATACTTCTATGTATTATCACACAATTAACAAAACCAAATACACCCAATTTTAAAGAGGGTCATTACTGGTTTTTTTCAGAACGAAGAATCGCCTGAATTTTTCAAAATCATATCCCAATTCTATTTAACTGCAAGTGAAGAGTACTGGCCAGATATTCAGCAATTCGCAGACAACATTTTAAGACCACTTTCACAGCTAACAGTAAAAAAGGAGGAATTGATCAATGCCCTTGAGAGAGTTAAAGAAAATCAAAGAGTCAAATTACAACAGGATCCAATAGAAAGGTATAAAACAACATTAAAAGAAAGTGATGGGGCGACTCGAGTCAAACGAAGAGTGAACAAAACGTTGCAAAGGAAACGAGCGAAGAAGAAAAAACAGCGGTTGAGAAGGTTCGAGCGTAAGAGACTCAGAATGCTGACTCACGCAAGACGAGTGCGGCGGCAGCAAAAGGCTAAACAGGCGAGATTGCAGCGTCATTACGCAAGAATGAACATGTCAACGACCGAAACACCAGACCACCTTAGAAATCACACGGCGGCTGGGGATGAAGATATTGAAAACGATACAAGCAGAACTGAAGATAGCGAGAATGATGGTGATGAGGAATACGAGAGTAGCGAATACGAAGATGAAAGTGAAGATTCTAAAACCAGCAAGTCCAGCGATGATAGTCATCACAGTGGGACATCTGAAGTTTCTGATGAAGATGAAGCAGAAGATAGTGAAACCATAAGTAATCCTGACTATGGAAATGATGACTATGAAGATTATGATGAAAGTGACGAAGATTATGAAGATGAGAGCAGTGAGGAGTCAAAGAAGAAGAAAAAGAAGATCAAGTCATCGGGCAAAGGTGTTGGTAAACGAATGCAAACAGTCACTAACAATAAATATAGTGAGAGGAAGAAGCATCAGAGGGCGGATATAAATGCAAACCCTTTAAAAGGAGCAAACCTGGGATTTCCACATAAAGATGATAAAGTAAACTACAAGCACAATCATAAACTCCATGAAAAGGATAGGTTATCAAACGTTAATAGGCATACTTTACGCAGTGATTTAACACAAATTAATAAGCAAAATTTTAGGGGAAACAACCTGATACACAATTAAAAACAAGAGAGACTTCATGAAATATTAAAAATGAAAAAATGTTATCATGGCTACAAAAGAACAAACAATTAATAAAAAATTGTGTTTAAAACCTTAAAAAATAGGACCCAATTTTATATTGAAATTCTATATAATAAAAATGGACTGTATTGAACTTACATATCCTACAACTCATTTATGATTGTTTCTAAACTTATTGTTGTTCCTAAAATTAAGCTTATTGATGTTAAAGTGACGGATGTGGTACTATTTTTAATTCCGGGTGATTTGGTTTTGTTACTTTTTTTATAAAAAAAAATCTTTAACTCCTCCATATCATCAAAAAATAATGCTCAAGTTACATATTTTGAAACCCTTTCCAAGCAGCTAAAAATCAACAGTTGGTGTTTAAGTAAAAAGATTTAAAAGAGTTTATTTAAGTTTCAGTTTTAAACCCATCATTCAAGTAGGTCTATATTCTACAATAACAAACTGCACACTAAGCAAATTTATAGTTCACATATTGAATTTTGGTACATTATCATAGCAACTTTTTAAAGTATATTTTATAGTATTTGAAAAAATTTCTGTAATATCACTATATTACAGAAATTATTTCACATACAATACCAAAACCATTAAGCTATATAAGCTATTTTTTGTATCTATTTCAAATCATAAAACTAGCCGACCCGTGCGAAGCATTCACACTGAAACCTTCTCAAATCCCACTTATTGAAGTAGGTACACAACATACAGTTAATACTGCGTAGTAAGTGCATCGTAGATTTAAGAATGGGCCCTTATTTCAGGAATAGATGTGGGTTTACATTTTAGATAATTAACCTTTTCAAAATATAATGTTAAGATATTTACGTTTTTACATGTTTACAGGACATCTTTGAACACTGTGTTTGAAGTAATAATATGACCATATTCAATTGTCGTGTTGATGGCTTTGTTTTTACACAGACATAGCTTTCACTGAAAAAGCAAACCCTTGACAAAGCCAAAAAAAACTGAATGTGTAAAAAACTGTGTCTGGTACGTACAATCCTTCCTTGGTAATCGTCTGTCCTTGTACATTATTTAAAGTCATGGCAAAGGTAACTTTTACAGGTAATTCCTTCTTAGTCAGTTTGAAAGGAGTACGTACTATTGCCTAATAACACTGTTTGACCAGAGTCAGCCATCTTTGCATTGATAGTGTAGGTGCCCAAGTGAGCTACAACCAATCTTGGACCCTGCTTAGGTTTCTCATCAACATGATAATAGAGTTCTTTTTAGTATGGATTTATGAATAGACGTACCCAAAGGGCTTAATGAGTTAAAATACTCTAATGGATACAACACAGTGTTTTACGTCCCTTGGTAAAGAACCAAATCAAAACCGATATAAACCGTTACCTATCAGTAACAAATTTGACTCAACAAACCATTCATTGAAACGTGTGATAAAGAATAGATAAGAGGTGATGAATTAAGGCTATGTTGTAAATAAAGAACTAAAATACCCCCGCCGCAGCGAACCTGACTAAGCGAATTTCCATTTGTCTGAATTTATTTTCAATTAAATATATTAAAATAAGATTAAGTCTAACCAGGCTGCTTCAAGGAAACTAATAAAGTGTGTTTTTTAATAAAATGTTTATAGATTAGTATAAAGTAAATAAATTTGCCAAGTTTTGTCAAAATATATCCATAGACAAGCAAACCTCACCATTTTACAATATTCTCCATAAGAATAACATAGGAATTTAAAATTTACAATTTTTTAAATTTTCTCCCTTACTAACAACTGTAAAAAACACGTTGATACACCAAATGATTTTTCTTTTTGCTCTTTAAAAAAGTTTAGAGAGAAATTGGGAAATGTTATGTTTATTATTATTATATATGTATATATATATATATATATATATATATATATATGAGTGAAAAATTCTTGGCGCGTAATGCAGCGAAAGTACAAGTACGGGGTCACGCGAAGGGCCGAGGTTTTGTTTGGGTTCGGTGCCGGGATGTCACTTACTTTAGTGTCTACCTCACTCCCAACGAGGCCATCCGTGAATTTCGTGAGAAGATAGACCGCCTGGAAGAGAGCGTGCGCAATACCACAGGAGACGTCGTCGTGGGTGGGGATTTTAAGCTAGGCCTGTCGAGTGGGGAATGACCCTCACCAATTCCCGGGGCAAGTACATTCTGGACTTTGCTGCCAGAGCCGGACTCGTTGTCGTCAACGAGGGAAACACGCCAACTTTCCGGCGCCCTGGGATGCGGGGAACGATCCCAGACATAACCCTTGCATCTGAATCCCTTTTGCCAAGGATCAGGGCCTGGAGAGTCCTGGAGGATTACACAGGCAGTGACCACCAGTACATTATTTTTGATGTCCTGGATGGTCATCAGAGACAAGTAGCCGCGTTTCGTCAAGTGCCCGTTCGATGGAATATTAAAAAATTGGACGTAGCACAATTCAATGAAGCCATCTTACGAGGGACACCAGTGGTTCCCCCCGCAACTAGCGTGGTTCACGCAGAGGCGTTAGTTACATCCATGATGGGACTGATCGTCTTGGCTTGCTATGAGTCTATGCCTCGCAGGAGATCCCGGTACAATAAGCGACCTGTGTACTGGTGGACTGCCGAGATTGCGGAATTGCGTCGGTCAGCATTGAGAGCCAGAAGACTTGCTACCAGGGCCAGAGAACCTGTAGACAGACGTCGTAACTCGGATGCTTACAGAGTGGCTAGGAGGTCTCTTCGTCGAGCCATCAACCGGAGTAAACGCAGTTGCTGGGAGACATTAAGGGACGATATCGATTCCAATCCGTGGGGCCTGGGTTACAAACTTGTAACCAAGAAACTTTGCACCCACTCTCCACCTTCTGTCATGGATGGGGCCACTATGGAGAGGATAGTCGAGTCCCTTTTCCCGGCTCACACGTTGCGCCCACTGCAGGATTTTGGAAGGGTGGATGACGTACCACTTTTCAGTCTTGGAGAGGTGGAGGCGGCCGTCCTATCCCTGAAGAACAATAAGGCTCCTGGACCCGATGGGGTACCCGGCGAAGTCCTCAAAAAGGTTTTGACTACTAACCCCTTGATCCTTTTGCGCATGTACAACGCCTGCCTAGTCGAAGGAGTTTTCCCCTCGTGCTGGAAAACAGCTAGGCTTGTGCTTGTTGGGAAGGGGAAGGGAGACCCAGACCTGCCATCCTCTTACAGACCTCTGTGTGTATGTTGGATACGGCTGGCAAAGTCCTCGAGAAGTTGATCCGTTCCCGACTGAATTCAGCCGTGGTCGCTGAGGGGGACCTGTCCCCTTGCCAGTATGGATTCAGGATGGGGCGATCTACGGTTGACGCTGTTGAGGAGGTGAAGCAAGCCGTGATGAGAGCTGAGGATTTTAACCACTACTCTCGTAGGGTTGTGCTGCTCGTAACTCTCGATGTGCAAAACACATTTAATTCCGCGAGGTGGTGCGATATGCTGGATGCTCTGGAGAACACCTTCCACATCCCAGCATACCTCATGCGTATCATAGAGGATTATCTCCGGTTCCGCCTCCTTATGTATGACACTACAGAGGGCCCACGGACGATGAGTGTCACTTCCGGTGCTGCCCAAGGTTCCATACTCGGCCCAGACCTCTGGAATGTTGCGTATGACAGCCTTCTGAGGTCTGAAATGCCTGAGGAAACTGTTTTGGTTGGGTACGCCGACAACGTTGCAGTTTTGATAGCTGCACGTAGCGTTGAGCTGGCTCAGCTAAAGCTGAACCGAGTTATGCGTACTATAAACGCATGGATGACAGACCACGGTCTCTCGCTTGCTTTGAGCAAAACTGAGATCGTGATATTAACAAAAAAACCGATTGACACCATCGTGCCGTTGAGGGTAGGGGCCGTCGAAGTCCAGACCGTTCGTTCTGCCAAGTACCTTGGGATTATGGTGGACAGCAAGCTTAGCTGGCGGGATCAGATTTTCCGTACGGCGTACAAGGACTATAGGGTGGTCTCCTCTCTTAGCCGGTTGATGGCCAATGTCGGAGGGCCTCGGTCCAGCCGTAGAAGGCTGTTAATGTCTTCTGTCCAGTCCGTACTCTTGTACGGTGCTGAGGTGTGGTAAGGAGGTATATAGGATGCGGCTCGCCCGAGTGCAGCGTCAGGCAGCACTAAGAGTTGCATCCGCCTACCGAACAGTGTCCGAACCCGCCGTCCTGGTGGTTGCTGGAGTCATCCCCGTCAAACTTTTTGCAGCGGAGAGAAAGGCAATTTATTAGGACCAGGCACGAACAGAGGAACGCACCCGCACCTACCAACTGTGGCAGGAGAGCTGGGAACAGGAGACTCGGGGACACTGGACCAGGCGACTGATACAGCAAGTACAACCTTGGGTTAATCGGTGGTGCGGAGAGGTGGACTTCTACCTCACCCAATTTCAGACGGGTCACGGCTTTTGATTGTATATACTGCCCAGGCATTCCCGATGACGTGGAACATACCTTTTTCCACTGCCAGCGTTGGGAAAGGCCCCGCCTGGAGGCTCACTAGTAAGTAGGACTGTTGTCAGTGGAAACGGTCATACCGATGATGATGGAGGGTGAGGACAATTGGACCTGTGTGTCACATTACATCCAGGGTATTCTCCGCGCCAAGAAGCTTGACCTTGACCGGGATGTGGTGTAGGTCATGAAGTATCAAAATGCCAAAAACCCCTGCGAGCCCTGAGGGCTTAGGTCACATGTTGGCCTGACTTGAAGTAATGTGACAAACAATTCCAAGTCTGTGTCCAACAGAGTAGAGGGGGTTTTTTAGTGAGTAGTCTGTGATAGATTCAGTAGTCTCACACAACAGGCTGGCTACAGTTTGGCCAAAGTTTCTGTGC